GTGAACCTTGACTCATCTGAAAACATCACATTGCTCCAGCGTCGATTATCCCAGTGTTGACGATCCCTACACCAACGACGTCTTGCCTGAATGTGATGATCTCTCAAACAAGGGATCACGCGAGGACGTCGGGCGCGAAGGTGACCCCTATGCAGTCGATTCCGAATCGTCTGGCCACTCACTCTCACACCAGTGTCTGTTTGAAGACGAGCGCTGATCTGATTTGCTGTGATGACACGATTTCTCAAGGCCAAGGTACGGATAAATCGATCCTGGGCTTGAGTTGTCGCCCTTGGTCGACCTGAGCGTGGTCTGTCCTGTACAGATTGTGTATCACGGTATCTGGAGCATAGCCTGCTTATGACAGACTGAGAAACATTCATCGTCCGCGCCACAACCGCCTGTGTTGTGCCGATCTGTAGCATGCCAAGGGCACGTAACCTTTCATTTTGTGTAAGCCGACGCATATCAAAATTTGTTTTCTGGTCACTAAAACAATTAAACTGATGTTTCCACCCTGGAATTCAATGCCACAATGACTGTAACATTCAAAGTCAGAGTCGTGCAAATCTTGGGTTGGACCCCCATGATGATCCCAAGCATCACCTGCATTCCATGCGGTAGCTATTGGTGCGTTTGGGCGTCACATGTAACTGGAAATGTTTCTTCTGTTAGGTTCTATAGTGACTTTTTTCGTAGTCATTTGCATATTTTAGTATTATGCCCCCAAAATCAAATATCCCCTACTTTTTTTGAATAGTATATTTAGATCGGTTATCCATGTCTAAGACATCTTTCAGAATTTTCTTTTCGTCCGCATTGCGATTATTTCTCCACACACTACACGGCTTGAAAGTATTTATCGCCCAAGAGTTCCTTTGTAAAGTATTTTTGGGTACAGTCCACTTAAAACAGTCGGTCAAATCCTTCTCTGAACATACCGAAAACCTTCAATCATGGTTAACTGTCAGAATTCGTAGAAAAGAATGCCTTTTGGTCCAAATTTTCGACGTCGATATTTGCATTCACATCTATTCCATCGTCAATATGTTGGCTAAAAAGGATTGATTATTCGTATTAATATCCATTTTGTTTTTGCTTTCAATTCAATAGTCCAAAATGGCGACGTATAAACAAACACATGCACGTAATTGCACGTGATTACTTCGGTAATTTTCGCTATTTGGCGGAAACTATCGAGCAATTATCCAATCGTTGTCGCCTTTTAATGGAAGAGCCCATTAAATTTAAGGGTGAAATGGCGTTGTATATGTCGGATATAAACCTACTCTCCCTCGGATTGATATGGTAGGTTAATATCCTATACATAATGTGTATTAGTTAGTTAAAATTGTTAGTTATCAGGCAGTAGTCATTAAACAGGTGTTTAGTCACTAATAGTAAGTGCAGGAGGACCGCACTCCGCGCAAAACAAAAATATAAGACAAACCTGCGGACAAGACAGAAAATAGACATTGCACCAAATAAACAAATATCAAATCAAGGTGTTAAAACTGTGACTATTGACTGATATACACCACTATTGTCCAGATTTGTGTATTCAATGGTGATGGTTGTTATAGTAAGTCACACGAGTAGTGACATCTTTTACAGCTAGTTGCACACCTGCTAATTAATAACAACTGTATAATTTCTAACCACTTTCTATACATACACTGACCACTAATATGATTTGTCATTACTAAAAGGCCTAGCTTTATTAGTCAATGGTATCAGCTTATCAGTGTATACTAATAGTGAAAGAATAAGAAATAACATGAAAAATCTTAGAAAATTACCATCAACAAACACCCACTTTTACAAAATGCAATTATTGTTTTAGTTAATATACTGATATATTTTAAAATGGGAGCCATGGTGGTCAACTGCGTAAGACGCTGGCTCGCTAGCTTTCAGGTTGCAGGTACGCTCCCCGTGTTGGCCGAGAAAGTTATCGCGATTTTCTGGCGTGGTTTCGCCTTGTCAGTGACAGATGTCTAGTCGTTCGGATGGGACGAAAATCCAAGCTCGGGTGTACACAATTGTGACAGTATTGGTTCTTTAATCAGGTTCGGATGACAAGACTAGTTTAACATCTTAAAATACTTTTATTCTCTGCTTCTTCTAACATATTATATACAAAACTTAAAGGCTCCATAACTAGCTTGTGTTGAGAGAGCCATGCCCTAGCTCGGCTAGGCACGAGTGTGCCAACTCCCAACTAACTTACATTACATGGCCGTTGTCCGGTCTTAACTCCAGATCTGCGTGGCCTGTCCTGGCCGGACCTGTCTGTCTATTTGTTTCTTAATCTGGGTTTATAAACCTTTTCAAACAAAGGATCTTATTAGGCATCTGGCTAATGTATCATATCAAGTTTAACATTCGATACATGCTAATCAGACAAAGAAAGTTTAAATAAAACATGCCAGCAAGTTAACGTTTACATAATCACATAGACCAAGAACTTCAGGCATGTCGATAACGAACAGGTGTCAAGTTGGCAGGAAGCGTCTTTAACATCAGATAATCTGATTATGTAACACAATGGCTTGCACGTAAAAGTTCCCCTGGCAGTTGGAATTCGATATAAGAGTAGGCCTTAGCGGGGCTGTCAGGGCAAAATTTCCCTCATAGCATACTAAATGACGTATGGCCGTCTTCATTAGCCCATTTCATTTCATTTCATATTACTACTGTTCAGCATGTGCATTTTGTATCCGGAAGGTCCATTGGCTGATTACGCTATTTTACTGAGATTTCGTCTAATGGTTTTGATGCAGCAATGACGGGTGTGGCGGCCAGGAAAGGTAAGCCTACTCTTCCGGGCTGTACATCATGTATTTTGTATATGGTGAACAGTCCATTTGCTGATTACACTATTTTTAGGACTTTCCTCTAATAGTATGGAATGAAATGTGGTCGTACACTGTCGTCCCCTCCAGCCGCCCGGCTTCCGGTGTCCATTATTCCTTATGAACCATTCAGAGTCATTTCAACATTTCGGGACGAACAAGGTTCGATTGTATTTCAATGATTCGCTTGATAGTGAGAGGAAAATTGTGGACCCGGATAAAACCCATGAGATTGCCACGTACAACAAGCGGGGAATTGAAACCACGCCACTCAATAATAGACTTTGTGATTTCACGCGCATGCGTTAAACAACTAGACTAAATTCGGATAATGAATAACGAAACAGAATCTCTTTCATTATTCGTGACCGATTTTTTTTCATTCCAGACACATAAATCTGTTGTATTTCTTAGCTGTAATTGTAGACGTTTATTTTCACTTTGTTTATTAAGGCAAGGTAACCTGTACATCCAGTAGTGTAGCGACAAAAGCCGTTAAATAGACTTAAACATATTCTTATCACATAATAGTGATCTGTTATTTACTCTAAGTAACACCTGAGGTATATTATTCAATAGTGATCTGGGGTGGGGTGGGGGTGCGGGTCTAGAGTGTCCCGCTTCGACCTCTAGCTGGCCTGTCACCTCTGCCTTGCGGTTGTGGTTTCGATCGCTGGTATGAGCGTATCACCTTCGGTGGAAGCGGACGTTAAACTCTAAGAACAACAACAATAGTGATCTGTTATTTACTGTAATAGTAAGTGTAGGAGGACAGCACTACACGTAAAACAAAAATCTACAAGATAAACCTGCGGACAAGACAGAAAATAGACATTGTACCGAATAAACAAATATCAAATTAAGTGAATGGATCCGGGGGCCAGCCGTAAGCGTCCACTGAGCTGTACAGTCCCGGGTTTGTAGTGACACAGACTTCACTCAAATTTGAAAACAATCAGGAATACAAAAAAGACGTAACATAAATAATGCGACCAATCTTTACAGTGGTCGCCTCCTCAATGGCGATAGTCTGTCAGTTGACGTCATGAGTTAGAACGTCAAACAATTTTAAAGCGAGAATTTCATATTTTCTAAGAAAATCAAAACATAATTATTTCTTTGTCTTTTGCTCAATAGGTTGTCAACTCACTATTATACGATCCATTCTCACACTTACAAAAGCCTTCACCCCGGAAATAATAACACAAATACCTCCCTTGTATTTCTATTCCCCCAATGGAATGACCTTCTTCAAACGTTTGAATTTGAAGTTGAAAATGATATTTTTGCTAATTTCTCAACTGGCAATAGGAATTATAGGTAGGACTGTTTATAGATACCATCTTTTTTAAGGCTTTATTTTAATACATGTTAAAAAGATAACTTAAAAATATGAAATTATCACTTTAACAATAAGGGCGATAATCCGGATACAATCTCGGAAAACTCTAAAATAATAGAACACCTGTGGTATATATAGGAATATTAAGAGACATGTCACATGGTAAGTAACAGGATAAGATTGACGATTCATCTGTTTCAGATTATATTCTGATTAGTATAACAAGTTACAGTACTCCCTCTCCAGGTTATTCATCTCGATTCACCAGCGATGCAGCGAACTCTAAGGCAGTGTGTGTAACACTATATGGACACAGATCACTAAAGATTTCCCCATTGACTCCAATGTTAATTCTCGTATCTTAGACCGGCTCTAACTTTTTCCCAAATTTTCGTTGGGTAGAACGCTTTCTACCACAGATGGAGCAACATGTGGCAACCACTTGCCCAAAAGCACGTATGAGGTTCTTCATGAAAAACTTGAGATACACAAGCTGGAAGTAGAGACAAGTAAACATGCAATTTCAGGCCCTACATTTCAACGTAACCAACCTCTCAACTCTTGTATCCTTCCGCATCAAAATTATGAATATTCACCAAAACCTGGCAGAAAATGTATTTTCAAACCCTTTTCCTCAATTCTACACCAAAAAGTCAACAAAAATCGCCATGCAAAAGGGGGAAAAAGGAAAAGGGAGAGGAAGACTAAAAATAGCTTTGGCCCTTGTTTCGTGGGTGACGGGGTGAAGGCGTAGGAATATTTGGTGATCTGTGTCCATATCTTACAGATAACAGAATATCAGCATAATTATAAGACCTTTATTGAGAACATGAAATAGACATAAATCGAGAGGAGCTCTATTCCAAATCTTACTTGCTGTTATAAAGCCTCTAACAATTAGTTGAGGTGGACAGGGGTGATAATCATATATGGTATTGTTTATTATCAATTATGGTGTTTGTAATTAAACTACATATTTCTTTAAAAGTCATTGTCAGGTCAAGGTATATATGATACATTCTCTTTGAAGTTCAGTCTAGTGTTACACGTGGATCATGTGTAGCTTGTTAAAGAACATCTTGAATAAACTAGATGTTTATTAAGAACGTGTCTTCACAGAAGTTGTCGAGAGTTTAAACGTCAACTTCAGTTATAGATCAGATTGTCACACCAGGTTATTTATTAAAAATAAATAACGAACATAATATAAACGTCAACTTCAGGTATAAATCACTCTGTTACATGTGAAGTTAGCTCAATCTTTGTTTTTGCTTATTTTTTGCGATATTGGCGAATAACGAAAAACAAATAGCTCGTTTTTCGATATTTGCGCATGTCGAAATACGAGCTACTCGTTTTTCTATATTCAAACTTGAATCTCAAAAAAGCAAATTTGATGGATGTATATCTATCGCAAGGAACCGACATCGTTGGGTCATAAACATACTTTCCAAGTGTGATGAAAATCGGGTAAAATTTTCACCGCTTGAGTGTCCACAGTGACGACGGCAATATAAGTCCGTAGGAAAATGTTGACGTATAATAAATATGACAAAGATTAGCAGCCATGTAATAAAAATTCAACGCTTGATTTTCCGCAGGGGCGACGACAATATACGTCCATAGGAAAATGTGGACGTATACGATTAGCATCATGTGGTAAAGATTCACATTGTGCTACAACTTTTTGCAATTGAACATTAAAACATGTCCTTTAATCCGAACAAAAAATGTCATATTGTATTAAGATATTAAAACATTGTATATATCATGTTTATTTATATTTAACAAAGTTAAATTCTATTATGTGTACAGAAATTGGTGAAGGAAAGAATAAAATGCAATAAAAAATAAAAACAAAAAAGCAGCAGACAAAACAGACGCACATCACTAAACAATCAACCTTTATCAGACGAGGAAAATGGCAGATTTTCTTTCTATATTAACATGATTGACCCCACCATATATTGTCTTTTAAGCTCCAAAGGAAAAGAAACATCAACAAGTTTACATAGAATAATCAGGCATTCTTTTATACCCTTTTACCGTATTCATTTGGTAAATACAGAACAAGGGGGAATTCCCTGCTACCAAAATGAAGCTACATGTATATATAATGAAGCTGCAATGAAATCGGGCCCCTAGTTCACAAAAAATTCTCAGACTTAAAGGGACTATCCCTTATTGAACAGAGTCTCAAAAATAAAAGTCTGAGTATGTATGCAATTTAAATGACAAAATATAGAGGAATGGTGTATTGACCGTATCTCAAAATTTCAGCTCAAAATATTGAGTCGTTTGGACGTGACCGTCAAAACTGCTTATCCGGACACGTAACCCTTTTAAGATTTTGGGTCAATTTTTTCGGTGGGAGACCTGATAATCGATTCCCGTTCATTGAGAGGTCTATACAGTGAATGGCCCAAATGCTGTACTTGATAATGAAAAGTAAATTTCACCTACACATTATTTTTATACAAAAAATGTCTGGTTTTCTCTAGACACCCCATAATACAGCTTGGGACACCGTTCTCCATTTCCAGATGAAGGCTGACGGGTTTCAGTTATTTGAAAACGTATCACAAATATTGAGTTAGTTGCTCGGCCCTTAGGTAGAGGATTTTAAGGGATTTTAAAAGAAAATTAAACAGTTTTGTTCTCCAAAAAATTATCGGGATTAGCCCTTTAAGTTAAGAATTTACTCAACTTTCAATCACTGTTTATGATAATTATCTTTGATCCAGAAACACATAACTTTGCACATAGTTTCTTATTGATGTATTTGATACATTAAAACAACAAAAGTTGTATAAAGGGTTATATTTAGTCCAAATAATTAAGGCGACCAAATTTGAGTAAATTCTTAACTTTTGTCTGAGAATGCTTCGTGAACTCGGGGCCTGGTACTCATATATAGTGACAGAAAAATAATAAGTTAAGGGATTAAATGTCATTTTACCATATTATTGATTGTTAATATATGGAATATTTAGATTAAAGGTTTTAAAGGCCTGCAATTAAGAGATAGGAAGGGTTACGGTTACGGTTAGGACTATTTTTACGACTATTCAGTTTTTAACTTCGCCGATGGGGGGCTGTGAAAGCATCGTCGTAACAATAGCCTGAGGACTATTTTTACGACTCGTCGTAACAATAGCCACTGCCTTTATAAAATACAACACTACAATATGAGTTTGTAATAGATGACAATTGGATATCAGCTTATCAGAAATAATTATATAATGTGTTGGTTACCACTGATAGCCTTCTGCTGGCAATTAAACAGGTTTAAAGTCAATAATTCCACAACAATGATAATTTTATCAGGAATGATAATTTTTTCAGTTATTGTTTATCCCGAATATTGTAACCTGTATGTATCAATGTGTTTAATTACTAAATGCTTACATTTAGCAATAAAATGTTAACTAAAAATGAGCCTTTAAGTTGATTTATTGTATTAACTAAAGGGCCTAGCCATCATAATACCTATTATAAACACATATTTCTGATTAAAAGTATTTGTGGATATAGGAAGAAGTATATGTGTTAACATGTAGTAAATATTTATTTTATGTATTAATATAAATATTTCAATAACTATATTGCAATCATAGTGTAATACACACGTGTATAGCTGAGTACATTGTGCTGCTTGAAGATGTTAGTTAGAATTAGCAAACCTACCTGATATCTTTCAGGATTCTATTAAATGCCTATTTCTACTTTCTAGGCAATAATAGGTTGGAAACGAGAAAATGACAAAGCATCGTGAAGACTGTGATTGTAATTATAATAAGAATTTCATTTATATTTTATTCTTTATCTTAAAGGGCCAATCCCGATAATATTTTGGAGAATTAAACTGCTTAATTTTGTGTTAAAATCCCTTAAAATTCTCTATATTAGGGCCGAGTAACTAACTCAACATGTATGATACGTTTTCAAACAACTTAAACCCGTCAGTCTTTATCTGGAAATGGAGACCGGTGACCCAAGCTGTATTATGCGGTGTCTGGATAAAACCAGACTTTTATTTTATAAAAATAATGTGTAGGTGAAATTTACCTTTCGTTATCAGGTACAGCACATGGGTCATTCATTGTAGAGACCTCTAAAGGAACGGGGGTCGATTATCAGGTCATCCAATGTGTAGGTGAAATTTACCTTTCGTTATCAGGTACAGCACATGGGTCATTCATTGTAGAGACCTCTAAAGGAACGGGGGTCGATTATCAGGTCATCCAACGAAAAAATTGACCCAAAATCTTAAAAGAGTTACGTGTCTGGATAAGGAATTTTGACGTTCACGTCCAAACAACTCAATATTTTGAGCTGAAATTTTGAGAAAATATAAATACACCATTCCTCTATATTTTGGCGCTTAAATTGCTTACGTACCCAGCCTTTTATGTTTGAGACTCTGTTCAAATCGGGATAGTCCCTTTAATGAACTGACAAATGTAAGCTATATCGGATCAAACTCTGGGTTATGACAGCAAGCCAATCCCCAAAAATAAAGGGGATTCTGAGTAAAATAAAATTATTCTACAAGCCTACTCATATTCATTTAGACCTCATGGCACATTCTTCAAGAGTTTGTGCAGCTTCATATTTTCCTTGTATTCTGTACAGTTCTCCAAGTCTTTTCAAGGTTAGTATCAAAGTAGGACTAGAAAAAACCCAAAGTATAATGAAATGTGTTAATAGAAAATCTAAAATTAAATTATTCACATTACAAGATTAAAACTTTCTCTATTCATTCTAATCAACAAAACCAATCTCGAAAACAGTTTACAATTTAAGTTTCTAAACAATCCAGGGCCCTGTTTCTCGAAATTTTAATTAAAGATAAAATCCAATTTTAATAGATACTTCAATTTTGATTGGCTAAGCACTAAAATCAATCTAATATTATCCAATCAAATTACAAAAATTTGGATTTGATCTTAGTTAAAATTTCGTGAAACAGGCCCCAGAACACAAAATGAATGTGTAAAGTGTAGCGACAATCCTTGATCCTGCTTCAGATTTACGACAACAATTCTGGTAGTATTGTAGGTCCTCCTCCCCATCCAAAAGAAAATCTAACATACATATTGAAAAACAAGAAGAGTACCTGTATAATTTTGCTTGTGATTTATGCCATTTACTATAATCAGGAGGGGTTGCTCCATCTTTATATTTACCCTAGAATGTAATAACAACCTTATATCAGTCAAAAACATAACAATCAGTCAAAAACATAACAATCAGTCAAAAACATACAATCAGTCATAATCATAAAAATCAATGAAAAACATAACAAGCAATCGTGTCCTGATTGTAATTTCTATTTGATCTATTTGTCAATAAACAACTCAACAACTAACCTTATTTTCTTCTCTTTCCTCTGCTCTCATCCAAATAGGTTTATTATCACCTAAAAACGTAATGAAAAATTAGCTAAACTTCTTTTTGAAACTGTGTGACAGAGATCATTTGTCCAAACAATGGAGGCTGGGTGGTTGGTGGCCTAATGGTCAGCACGTGTGCGCTGTATCATAAGGCCTGTCGTTCAGTCAACTGGCGTGGTTTCGATTCCCCGGGTTGTACGTGACAAGGAGTAGGGTCGCCTGTCCAGCCTCGTGGGTTTTCTCCGGGTCTCCGGTTTCCTTGCACTGATAAAGATCCCTACGCGCAAGCGAATTATTGAAATAAAATTGAACCATATGTTAGTCCCGACATTAGCTAGTTTGTGTTGAGTGGACGTTAAACCCCATCTCTCTCTCTCTCTCTCTCTCTCCAAACAAAGTTTCAGTTTATTGAAGTGCCTGGTAATGACATTCTTGTATTGTTAAAAAGGTGTGACAAACAGATAGACACATCCATTTTAATAGTCACCCTCTTTCTTCAAAAGACAGGACACAATTAATAAAACTATGACCCGACATAATGACCAATCAGTTTTAGATAGTATTTAATGTGTCATAGTTAATATAAATCAGGATAGAAGCTAATTAGTTAAGTTTTTAATCCATTATTGTTTATTTATGTTAATGTCTCTAGTGATAATCCTGTATAATATATGTTTTGATGTCAACACTTGAGCTTATCCATTCATAGTTAGAATATAAAAATGCTGATGTACATCAATAGGCAAGTCATTAGGTCACCCGACGTAGTAGCAGCTACAAATGTACGTCGGCCATTCACTGTGCTCTACACTGTATGTATTGAATTATTTTCATTTGTAAGATATGTTTAAGTAATTAAGAAATGAAATTGAAGAACCATTCCAGACTTATTAGTTATTGAAGAACAATTCCAGACTTATTAGTTATTGAAGAACAATTCCAGACTTATTAGTTATTGAAGAATCTAGTGGATATAAAACGACCCAAAACTTACCTTCTACTTTCCCAAATTTGTTCTCATATGCTCGTGTTAAAACTTCTTTATATAAACCTTCTGCTTGTTTATATTTTCCTTGTTTTAAATACACACGTGCCTGATAGAGAGAAAGCTATACAATGTAATAAAATATTTGATCCAAAAGCATATCACATAAAATAAATCAGTTAAAATCAGACAGCTAATGATGTTACAAATCATAAAGGAAGAACAGCAAGCGGTTTCAAGTTGTTCTCAAAGTTCAAATTCTTCCATTAAATAATATATCGAGAGACAAACTAGGTCATTTCAGGACTAACATATGGTTCAATTTTATTTCAATAATTCGCTTGTGATTAGGGGTCCTGAGCAGTGGGAGGAAACCGGAGGACCCGGAGAAAACCCACGAGGTTGGGCAGGCGACCCTACTCCTTGTCACGTACAACCGGGGAATCGACACCACGCCAGTTGACTTAATGATAGACCTTATGATTCAACGCGCACGCGCTAACTATTCGGCCATCCAACCCTCACAAATAATATATCATTGTCATTTGTGTTTTAACGATAGTGATCACCTGGCTGTTGCCCGGTGATAAAATATTTTCACCTGAAAAACCAACACTGAAATGCAGAGGGCATGCACACATAAAAAGAAAAGAAAAAATAAAAAAAAGAAGGATTTGACAAGATAGACTGCACACACTGTATTTATTTCTTGGCTAATTAAAGAATAATATCCTGACAATTAACGTTACAATTTCTGTCTTTTCGGAAAATACTTAATCCAAATTTCACGAAATTGGACACATTTTATTTACTGAACGTAAAAAGACAAAAAAACAAATACTACGTATTTTATATTATATACACATTATACAAGAGCTAAATCTGCCTATTGTGGGCCTTTCTTTAGGTCTGAAATGTTATATAACCTATTAATTAGACATTTATTAACAAAACAAGACCATAATCAACTCTCGATGGCATCGGATAGTCGAAATTTTAACTGGATTAAAACGGTTTGCCATTTAAGAATTTAATTTAAAAATGGGAAAGTGACGCTAAGTCCTGATTATACCCGTGCCCTGGTTACCACTGTGCACACATCTTGTCAAAACTACAAACAATGATAACATCGTTGAGAATGAAGTAATTTGAATGAAATTTTCAATATTTTCTTTTTTTATCATCTATTTTTGAATTATTATAGCAAAAATGAACAACTCTTTATTAAATTCTTTAACTGAGTTTCTACAGCTTAAACCAGTTTCTTTCAATAACAGCAAACTTTCAAACTTGTCTACAACTATAATTTAAATTGACCAATGGAACAATTTTAATAAAGTGAATAGCGTATTCGTTCTTTGAGATTTATTTTCGATGTATGTCTGTTTGCCAAAACATAGACCGAGTTCATCAGTTTATAATATCCACAGTTTTCTAGGAATTACAAACAACTCATGATCATAGGTCCTGTGTACTTATAATGAATTGTTTAATTTTCAGTCTTAACTGTCAAATTTCTGAAATACGGAAGTCGATCATATCCAAGGAATTTTGTAATCACGCAAAGAATCAAAAGTTCAAAGGTCAGTTTAAATACAAACAAATTAGTCCCACCATATTGAATGCATCATACTTGGTATAAAATACCTACTACTAATGGTATTTTGATTGCTTTTTGAAATCTATTCTAATAATAAAAATCTTCAACTCGATTGAATTAATTTATCAAGCAAGATATAAACATAGAACAGGAAAAAATACAAAAATAAAAAGGTATCTACTTCATCTACAAGACAAATTTACCAGTAAAATATACCACACTACACTATAAATACAACATACAGTATAGTCCAGGAGCTACTGACAAAATAATATGGTCATCAGTTACAAAAGGTTTGATCCCTCAAATTTGTAGCAGGTGTCGGTAGGAGTAAAAATCAATTGGTCAGATCGGGCACTGCTGGGGCGTAAAGCCACAGCAGCACCTTTAAGTAGCTGAAACTTTGTAGGGACAATGGTATCCATAGTCGGAGTAAATATTTCACAAATCTAACCAAAATTTCCGGGGCTTTCCCCAAGTCAGACCACGCCCAATATCGCCGCACGGGGCTAATAATATGGTCATCAGTTACATGGCTGAAACTTACCAGAAACGAAGATCCACACTTGGTAAATACAATTTTCAAAAATCTAACCAAAACTTTGGGGGCTTTCCCCAAATCAGATCGCTCTAAAGTATGTCAGACCACATCCTAAAAATGGGGCTTTTTATATGGTCATAAGTTACATGGCTGAAACTTACCAGAAACAAAGATCCATACTTGGTAAATACAATTTTCAAAAATCTAACCAAAGTCAGATCGCTCTAAAGTATGTCCGACCACACCCAAAAAAATTGGGCTTTTTGTATGGTCATAAGTTACATGGCTGAAACTTACTGGAAACAAAGATCCATTCTCGGAAAACACATTTTTCAAAAATCTAACCAAAAATGTTGGGGCTTTCCTCAAGTCAGATCGTCCAAAAGCCCACCTGGCCACACCTTAAAAGTGGGACTTTTTATATGGTCATCAGTTACATGGCTACAACTTACCAGAAATATTGTTCCATGCATGAAAAATGTATTTTCGAAAATCTAACCATAAATGTGGGCGCTTTCCCCAAGTTATAAGGGCCTTAAAATTGCAGCCCCACCCACCCCCTCTATATAAATCATCTAAACATATTTACATTTTAAAAAGTATGAAATTAAATAACAGTGTTGTAATATCTGTTTTATAACTTGGGTCTTGCGGTTCCCATGGTGATCATTAGAACAGGTTATCTCTGTGCCACCAACAATGAACTTTTTTATCTCATAATATAAATAGTTTGTACAATATAATATTCTATAGGTGTACATGTATTGTATATTAGTCTTCAGTTACAGTGTCTCATAGAGTAGAATTATTTTGTTTTCTTCCATACAAAAAGTATGTAACTTTTATTGTCGGAACAAATTTCATTCATTTTGCAAGTTGAAGTCTAAGAACTTAATACAACATGGAAATTGAAAAAGACGATGGTAAAATCAATCCAATTGGTAATATAACTGAAATTTCCAAATATTCTGAATTAAGGCATAAAGTCAAGCAGTAATATATATAAGCATGTATATGAATTAGAGTAGATCCAGTACAAATATGTCCATGTTTACGGTAGATAAATACATACAAAAATACAAATACGTCAAGTTGGCAAAATCAACCACCCTTACTTCTTTATTCTGGTATACATCATATCGTACGAAGGCTGGTGCTCTCTTCATTCTGACAATGGTGTGGATGTCGGTCGGATTCTTGTTTTTAAGAAAGGTACTCTACAAAACTGTCAACAAATTTTAAAAATCCGTAAAAAGTCACGTTTGAAGTATGCTGAAATTATGCCCCCCCCCCCCAAAGTTGTATATGAGTTAACAGGATTTCATATGGACAGATGTAAAAGATTTACGGAGCTATCTAAAATTCAAAAGAAACAGAATGATGAAGTAACAGAAAATGACAATCCAAATTCCAATCCAAAATTGATGTGATCATGTTTAACATTGACTTCTGCATCCAGTTCCGGTGTGTTCGAGAAGGTCTGCCGGTTTTGCAGAAAATCAAACAGAAAACATCAAGGTCACAAACAGACAGTAATAACCTGTGTCACAAAGACAATCGAAAAAAAATATTCAAGAATATGCAACAATTCTTCAGGATGAAAATATGCTTAAGAACAATCAAGATATAGATTTCATTGGCAACGACATTCATTATCATGCAATGTGCAGAATAGAATATCAACACAAAGCTGAAAAGATGCGAGAAATAAGCGGGTCATATGATAAAGTGAATGACATGATGCTAGAAATATACATACCAAAGCATTTGATGTTTTATGTAGTATTGTGACTGACACTATACGGGAATGTTTATTAGAATTTGATGGCGGAAACTATACAGAGTTGAGAATATTTCAATTGACAATGGAAGTAAAAGATGTGGTAATATTGTCTTCAGTAAAGGTTTAAATGTTGATGACGCTGTTCGCAAGGCATCTGACAACGCCAGTGAAACTGAACATACAGTTCAGAACTTCAGGGTGTCACTTTCTTACTCCGATGAGAAATATTCAGTACGAAGAAAATGAAACTGCCTGAAAATTTAACCATACAACATATCATAAATGGTGAAATAGCAGTACCAGACATCGTCCCCGCTTTCTTTACACATCTACTAGTTGGTCCATACTCTAATTGTGGATAAAACAAAGTCAAGAGAATTAAATCCATTAGTCAGCATGTCATTTACTCTTTAACCAGGGGTAGGACTAAGCCATCAAAACACCTACAACTGGGTCTTGCAATGAAAAGCCTTGCAGGCAGTAAAAAGGTTATTGAGATTCTTAATCGTTTTGGACATACATTAAGTTGCAATAGCTTTGAGGAACTCGAAACAGAATTGACATTTACATCCAGTGAGCGCAACCAAGAAACACTCATTGGCATGATGGTGTCACCACACCTATCAACTGGGATTGCTTTTAAAAACTACGATAGATTTGTTGAAATTCTTTCTGGTAAAGACACTCCTCATGATACAGTAGGCATTCGGGATTTCGTTGAGACTGACAACCAATCACCAATAACTGCTTATAAGCCAATAAGCCGTAAACGAAGATTTGAAGCATCCAAGCACTCACTGGCTTTGATCATACTGCATCGTATAATAGGAAAGGGAAAACCCGACCTTTAAAATTATTAGAAAAGGGTGTTTACGTCCAGCCAGAAAGCCTTGTTTTCTCTCGGTAAAAGTGAATCCATTCCTTCTGGAGTAAATAGTTATTGAAGGATTTGTTTGTAGTATCTATGGGATGCCTAAAAATGGATGTCTTTCTGGTATTAAAGGCATAGAAGCAAGCTCTTTGCCGCCATGCTCACAGGTATTAACTTTGAAAATCAAGAGAGCGATTATATTTGTAGTGTCTAGATAAATGCGTCAAAGAATAATCTCCCCAATTTCCATCCAAAGAATAGAGGGTGGGTTTGAAATGATGATGGGGTGTATGAATGAAAGTGGTTTGATGGTGATGTTGCTCCCGTGTCAGTTGAGAGTATTTGCATAGATGAAGATAGTGACCAAGAAAGCAAGGACTCCGATGACAAATCAAACAATTCTTGTAGAGACGATGAAAGTGTGACAGATTAAATATTGGCATCACCCAGCCACACGTTCTCACTTATTTTAAATCATTAATGTAACTTATGACCATATAAAAATCCCCATTTTTAGGGTGTGGTCGGACATACTTTAGAGCGATCTGACTTGGGGAAAGCCCCCAAAGTTTTGAAAATTGTATTTACCAAGTGTGGATCTTCGTTTCTGGTAAGTTTCAGCCATGTAACTGATGACCATATTATTAGCCCCGTGAGGCGATATTGGGCGTGGTCTGACTTGGGGAAAGCCCCGGAAATTTTGGTTAGATTCGTGAAAAATTTACTCCGACTATGGATACCATTGCCCCTACAAAGTATCAGCCATATAACTTATGACCTAATTTTAGGCCCCCAGCAGTGCCCGATCTGACCAATTGATTTTTACTCCTACGGACACCCGCTACAAATTTGGGGGATCAAACCTTTTGTAACTGATGACCATATTATTTTGTCATTAGCTCCTAGACTAGTAGGAATGTGTTCAATAATATAACTAGTGTGTACAGTCTTAAATCTAGTCATCCCGATAGTTATCTCCCTTAATTCTTACCAAATTATGTTTAGTATCAGCGACGTTAGGATCACATGGGCTAAGTTTTGATTCGTAGATCTGTAAAGCTCGCTGGTAATATAGTTCTGCCTGCGTGCGTTGATGATAAGATTGAAATAAAGCACATTGATATATTTGTTAATTTTAAAAATTATTAATTGTAAAATTATCATTCCATTTGCTTGTCATTTTTATTTGAAATAAGTTCATAATAAATAATTCAAGAACTTTAATAACCCTTTCATAATAACAAGCCATGAATCACTTCATGTCATATGCAATATTTATTTTAGGTTTTACATATATATATATTAACATAGTTTAGAGTCTATTGACGTAACAAATTATTCAGCTGCTTAGCAACACCAGGATGATCTCTCCCAAGAAGATGAATAATAAATAAAGGAATTTATGCCATATGCAATATTTACTCTAAAGATCTTCCTTACCTCTTCATATTTGCCTTGGTTATGACATAACAAAGCCAAATTATTCAGCGACTTAGCAACATCAGGATGATCTTTCCCCAAAACCTTAACAATAAATAGAGATGTGTATCCATGTCCTAGGCTGACCTTTATTATACTATATACCCAATTGTTTCAGTGGTATTTAGTAATTGAACTAGAATATACAGGTCACAATTCTATGGAATACAATTACTGCTTTTTACAGAGCGACATTTCGACTAGGCTTCTCTAGTAATTATGATTGCTTGATAATGACCAGAGAAGCCTAGTCGAAACGTTGCTCAGCCATAAGCAGTAATTATATTTCATAGAATTGTGACCTGTATATGATAAGCATCACAATTAACATCTATATTTGCACTCCCTTTAAACAATAAAGTACCATTCTCAATTTTACTGAATAACATTTTATACATATTTTCCAGGCTGAGTACCTTTTGTCTGATCTCTAAAGCTCTTCTACACAGTGGTACTGCTTCTATATATTTACCCCTTATTCCATACATCATAGCTAGATTGTGTAACGTAGCAGCAACCTATAAATTATAAATACATAAGGTTCTTATTCCTTTTAAGGCTACACTGAAAGTGCATGAAGTTAAAGTAATAGGTTTCTTTCCGCCGCCCCCACCCCCACCTACATGTTGTGAGTTAACATATGTTTATCTGAAGAAATTATCTGTTATATAACTATAAAACATTAAAGTTAATACTTATTAACTTTATTTATTAAAGGGACAATAACACTCTTGCTGCCTTGACAGCTCCAGAAAATAAAAAATAGTCTTATTCTAAGTACTAGATGTGTTAGTGTTCTACCTGTTGTGTAAATTATCCATTAAATCCTATTTTACTTGTCCAGAGGGTTCGAAAATATTTTTAAATCCAAGTCACATTTGAAAAGGTTTACGTTAGGCTTTTCAAATCATTTAGTTGGATTTTTCCAATTTTTTATATTAGGTGTGATAAGATGAAATTTGTATCACCAATTAATTGGAATATTGTAAAATAATACAATTTGTTGACCAGAATAAAGATTGGAACATATTATTCAGTTACAACAAGAGTGGGATTGAGCCTTTAATATAAATATTTACAAAAATAGTTAACAATACTTTATTCGTGGATATAAAATTTTACCACTGCCTTGGTATTGTGTCATTCAGCATGCTTTGCTAATGTGTATTAAAGGACAATATTGGTGCCATATGTGATAGAGCTGGTTAAACACATTCCAAATATAATTTTAACACAGAGATCATTGCTACGATAGCTGAGTAACACAGGTTTCCTGAATCGGAAGTGACGAACGCCAAAGGAAAACACGAGTCATCTCTTCTATGTGTTAAAATTATATTTGAAATGTGTTTAAACCGCTCTATCACATATGTGATAACGACTGGCACCAATATTGTCCTTTAATAAGACATTCTAAACCGTTTCACCGAAAGAAACCTTTAAAGTAATGTTTTATATCCAAATAATAAAGGTTAAATTAAGGTTTTAGTTATTCAGGGCTGTTTCTATTACTAAATTAACACATGTAGTTTATTCATGGAAAAAATTATGTTGTCCTCAATATTTCAAAAATAAAAACACCCTTATACAGAAAATACATAAAGATATGTAGAATAACCCTATCCCTGTTCTATGAATGACAACGATTACACGTTCACTTCACTATAATGCTGTTGTTGGTGTCCACCGATATAACTGGTCCACAAATATTCTATTAATGTTTAGTGTTATAGTAAGACCCCAGTGTATATTCTAAATTCAAATTCTTTCACCTAATGCAAAATCAAACAACAAAAACTTTGTGTAATCACGATAAATTTATATAATCAAATTTTGCTGTAAAACAAAAAGCTAAATAATCGTAGAAAAATTACAGACGACAAAGATCACCGAAAATGTACAAACAATCTCAGCATGCAACATTGACACTAGTGAGCACGCTACTCACAACATCAAGAGAGGAAAAGAAAATGTACGTGGAGTTCAACTTACGACAGGGTTGGACATTCCCAATGTTCTTTCTCGGATACCGAGAGCATCATTCAATAGGTCTGTTGCTTTCTTATATTTGCCTTGATCACTGTAAACAAATAGGTCACCACAGTTGATAAATCTAATTCACATCAAAATATTACTGGGAAATGTTATGGCGGTTTAAATTTTTAACTTGACATTTAGCTTGCTAGATAATAACAATAAAAGCTGCTGATCATCAATGGGATTTTTTGCCAATATCTCATTTTTCACGCTAAACATTTGATTAAGAAAACAAAATCGAAATATCAACACTAGATAACCCTCCAACTTGAATTCGATTGGATTTTTAAAAAAGGTCCACTAAAAGGTTCTAGTAAAATCTATAGATGCCATTCGCATGTTTTGATCAACTCCAAATCCATCTCCATAGGATGTAGATTGTGGACAAAATTTCATTTCATAATGTCTTTTGTAGAGCTTCAATATTTTTCAAATGACGATCAGAAATGGAGTTAGGGTTTGACTTCTTCTGAAGTCTTGAATAAAAACTCTCTTCAGATTCGTTTTCTTTAATCGTTTGACCTAAGATATAACTTTCTGAACATTCCCTGTCAAATATTATCAAGTTAGTGGTTTTAATCAAACTGCCATCATATGTATCAGATATTTAACATTGAAATTAATCACTCACTGCTGGATGACCTTTACCAATAATTTTTTTCTAGAATTAATCAAGCATCATAATGAAGACTACCCGTTTTTTATGTTTCACCTGGTCTCTGTAATAATATCAATCTACCCTAGCAACATATATTTTATAGTACAAATTGTCGTATATAATATACTTCACTTTTGCACAAAATCCAAAAATTTAAATTTGACTAACGTGTTTAATTGTTCAAAATGATCCATGCCATTCAAGTTAAAGAAGTTTGAAACAAAAAATGTACCGGTATTTGCACCCCGACCATTATTTTTTCAGGCGATATCTAACTTTCATAGTTAAAGCTGTACTCAAGGTCATTATTTTAAATGGGATTACAAAAACAAAACACAATTATCATGGTTAACGAAATGAAATGAAATGAAATGGGGTTTAACGTCCTACTGTTCTGCTCCTAACCTAGGCTAATGAAGACGGGCATACGCCATACAGTGTGCTATGAGGGAAATTTTGCCCGGACAGCGGCACTACGGCCTACTCTTATATCGAATTCCAACTGCCAAGGGATCTTTTACGTGCACGCCAATGTGTACACGGGACCTCGGTTTTTCGTCCCATCCGAACGACTAGACAGCTTTCCTTGTCAGCCCCTCCGTCCTGCATCACTGACAAGGGAGAAACACGCCGGAAAATCTGGATGAACTTTCTCGGCCAATGCAGGGATCGAATACCCGACCTCCAGGTTAGCGAGCTAGCGTCTTACCCACTTAGCCACGTGATCCCATCATGGTTAACAATTTTCCGCCAAATATTCAACCCGATCTTACCTAGAACTTGTGAATGGTCAAGGCCTGTTTATATCATTTGCATAAGATGTCGATTGTTGAATTTTTTTAATTCATCATTTAAATACTGATGGAAATTCAGACATTTTAAAACTGACAGACCTTTTAAAAATTCAACTTTCACTATATTAGATTACAAGGGACTGGAAGTTCTTCAAATCAAATGGTGCTCAATAGCTAATAAATATTATCAATGCAATAATTATTTTGAGCTGATGACATTTCCATTGGGTGTTTTACCATATATATGGCAAAATCATTAATAACTATTGAGATACTGCCGCATGGTCTAAAATATTTATATAAAATCGAACTAGGCTTTTTCCTCTTTTGCGATCTAAAGTGATATAAGGTATCATTTCATATTTTACTATAGCATTTGATTTCTTATATCAACCCTAATATTGCATAAAGATTAATAATCAATAATAAAGAAATGTAGAATTTCATCCACCATAACGAACCTGTATATAGCAGCTAACATATCTAACATGGTGGCCACATCTAGATGATCATGGCCGCGCGTTTTTTCTAAGTCTTCTAATGCCTGTTTACATAGTGGGACAGCCACTTCATATCGACCCTCTGACTCATATTGGATGGCTAGATTATAAATCTGACGTAGTCGGGCTGGAATATCACTTGCCATCCTGGCCAGTGGACTTGGTTGTGTGGGAGATAAAACTGTGCGAAATAATATATACATGTATAAACAAGTTGATGTACCTCCCTTAATCCCACAGATGACAGGCATTAATTACTGATTTTTTTTACAAAACATTCTCGAATGAGACGCAGAACTATTGTCCTCCAAATTCTGGACTAATCAAATTGATTATCTCTTCTTCGCCGAAGTAGAAAACGCATGTCTTCGAACTCAGTCCACACATTCACCGTATGAACATCTAAACCAAGTTTGCTGTTTTCACAAAGGAGTAACGGCAGTCGGAAAGAAGATTCTGTTTCAAAAGTCTCATATTTTGTATCAAGAGAGAGAGAGAAATGGGGTTTAACGTCTACTCACCACAAACTAGGTCATGTCGGGACTAACATATGGTTTTTAATTTAATTTCAATAATTCGCTTCCGCGTAGGGGTCTTTAGCAGTGGGAGGAAACCGGAGGACCCGACGAAAACCCACGAGGTTGGACAGGCGACTCTACTCCTTGTCACGTACAACCGGGGAATCGAAACCACGCCAGATGATTCAATGACAGACTTTATGATACAGCGCGCACACGCTAACCATTCAGCCATGCAACCCCCCTTTGTATCAAGAACATATTAGCAAGGATGCTAATAATGCTAGTTTCATCCAATTGAAATTAGATTTTTAACCATATTAACACTAAGGTTAATCAAAAGATATATGGCCGTCGTTTCACAAAGCAATCTCAGACTTTCGTAAAGAATTTACTCAAAATTGTTTGCCTTATTTTAACTAAATGTAGCCCCTTCTAAACTTTTGTTGTTTTAATGTATCAAATACATCAATAAGAAAGTTTGTGTTTCTGGATCAAAGATATTTCTCATAAACAGTGATTGAAAGTTGAATCAATTTTTAACTTAAAGGAGCTAAATCGCTAATATTTTGGTCCTACAAATTGACACAAATGGGTCGCAAGTATATAATAATGTAATATGAATGTAAATAAAATGATTTACATTCAATCGTTTCCGTTTTTACTCTAATTTCAAAGCGGTTATGTTCGGCGAAATACGCCAGAAATCTCAATCGAATGGCAATCTCTAGTGACTGGTTATTCCAGACTTGTGGAATATGTCTAACCTCGTTCCTCGGGTAGCTTGTTACAAATTGCACTGAAACGCATTATGGTACACGATTCGTGTACCAATCGTAAAAAGTTTATTTTGTCTTAAATATTGGATATCAGAAGCCCATCTTTTCCCGGTAAGATCACAACACCAATGTTGATTAAAATTGACAAATAATTCGTGTTTTCAATGTCGTCACATATCAAATCATGAGAGTACATGCATTCTTGCTTCGAAGAAAGGCCTATCAAAGACATGACGGGTATGGACAATGTTTTTTAAAGAAAGAATAAAAAAAAGACATGATCTTACCTTCTAGTTGTGGACCATCATCATCATCATCATCTGGAAAACCTGCATCTAACGACTGTGATGACAGATTATTAGCAACAGATGCTGTTTCTTCCACAATTTGTTGCTATAAAGTAAAGTTGTTCAATTATTTAGATCATTATTCATATTAATTCAAATTAACTGGGATTTTACTTATGTCCAATTTTAATGCATTGTCATGATTTGTCTCCTATCGTATTTAACCATATAAACATAAACTCTAACACATCCATTGAAAAAAAAAATCAGAACCTAAAATAAATGACCATCCATCATTGAATGATGTTTCTCAATGATTTCTTCTTTTAATACCCAGGTCACAACTCTATGGAATACAATTACATCAATCAGTAATAAACAGTTATCATATTGCATAGATTTATAACCTGTGTATTATCATGTAGTTTCAGGTTTTACATGGAATATACGTATGTATAACAAGCGGTTGACATGCAAGATACGCTCAGATTTGCAAGAGATGGACAGAGAACGAGCTCATACAGAGCGACTTTTCGTACAATAAGGTGCCATAATCCAGGAGGTTACGGTCTGATATTCGTGAATATTGAAAGGAACCTAGATCTTTAAGATATAAACATACATTTTAAGTTTTACCAAAATTTGATAACATAAAAGAGTGTGACATCTAGAGGGGTCACGACCTTGGTTTTACCATCCTCGGTATCGCCAATGGTCTTATCGCGTTCTACTCCACGATACCCATGGGGTAAATAATGTATGTGGACCCTCAAGATGTCACATGTTTTATCAAATTTTGATAAATCTTAAAATGTATGGTTATATCACAATGATCACAGTTCCTTTCGATATTCACGCATATCATGTTGTTTACCATCATAAAAATAACACAAACACCTGACACTTCTTTAAAAATAAAAATAGCGGTAAGCTTTTTCTGATGACAACTTACAATTTTGCCAAGTTGATTAGTTAACAAAGTTTCATCTATCTCTGCTACTTGAAATGTTGAATATCTTACATCAGGTATATCCAATTTTCTAAAACAACTTTCATCTTTCTCCCGTCTAACATTAGGTAATCTTTGTAAAACTTGAACAATAGATGAATCTTCTAAAACATTCACTGAATATTTAACACTAGCTTTTAAATCTTCAGTTAATCTGTTAATGTCCTCCATTAATTTCACTAATTTGGATTCTTCCTCTTCACTTGATTTTTGCATTTCCTTTTTAATATTTTCTCCAATTTTATGAACTTCTGAGCAGATTTTATCCACGTGTGCATCTACTTTGTCGCATTCTGTTTTTGTACAGTTTTTGATTTCAATTAATTTACTACTTAAATCATCATGCTGTTTCTGAAAATTGGTAATCTGCTTTTCTAGATCGTCATTCAGCGTTTTTAAGTCTTGTCTGATACTTTGTCGGACCTCATCCTTCTTTAAATCTAAAAACTTATGTCCGTTATGATCGGCAACTAAACAGTTAAAACATGCAGCTAGTAAACAATCTTTACAGTATATTTTTACTGTCTCTCCTTCATGGTTTGGACAGAAATCTTTCGGATGTGTAACGGAAGTGGCTGAAAGCATTTCCATCATTGGATCGTTTGATTGTTGACAGATTTTTTTTTCATCATATCGACAAACAAAATGGTCTTTACATATTTTCATCTTATCATGCATGGTTTTACACGATTTACATAAATATTGATCACAGTCTCGACAAAAATATTGAGATTTATCTTCATTACATACATCACATTGTGGAATAGTAGAATTGTCTTCAATATTTAATTTGGGACTGAAACGCTGCACATCCCCGTCTATAAGACACCGACACAATGGACATTTGAATTGATCTTTATTGGAGGTTTTGTTCACATAATCTTCTAAACAGATAAAACAGAACGAATGATGACAATCGATTGTTACAGGTTGTTGAAAGTCGTTTAAACATATACTACACACTTCTGTGTCATCCATGTTGCTTCCCTGGTTGTATAAAATAAGAAATGAAACAGAATGCAAATGCAGGCACAATTATTTAAGCCAATATAACATGCGGTCTGCAAATCAATCAGTTAGTTCAGTATAACATACAATATAAAGATAGGTTGCCATGCAACGAAACATACTCCCACAACAGCTAAATCGTCCGGACAGTCAACAGGAGTTCTCGCATATTTTTACTTTTTTCGGTAATGAAACATTTATAATACACAAAAATCTGATTAAGAGTAACAACTCATTAAGTTATTATGGGAAATTTCTGAAAATCAATAGGCTTCCTCGACTTAAACAATGTGTATAGATTTAAAGTCAATCGGATATTAACTTTAGCCTTTAGAGCGTCCACAAGATATTTTCAAAGTGATCAAGGGCCATAACTCTGGCAGTAATTATCGGAAATCGCTGAAAATCAATAGGCTTCTTCGTCTCGTGGCTTTAAACACTGTGTATAAATTTAACGTCAATCGGATATTAACTTTGACCTCTACAGCCTCCACAAGATTTTTTGAAGTGATCAAGGGCCATAACCCTGGCAGCAATTATCTGAAATCGCTGAAAATCAATAGGGTTCTTCGTATCATGACCCTAAACACTGTATAAATTTAACGTCAATCGGATATTAACTTAAGCCTTTAGAGCGTCCAAAAGATTTTTTCAAAATGATCAAGGGCCATAACTCTGGCAGTAATTATCGGAAATTGCTGAAAATCAATAGGATTCTTTGTCTCATGACCTTAAACACTGTGTATAAATTTAACGTCAATCGGATATTAACTGTGGCCTCTAGAGGGTCCACAAGATTCTTTGAAGTGATCAAGGGCCATAACTCTGGCAGTAATCGCTGAAAATCAGTAGGATTCTTCGTCTCATGAACTTAAACACTGTGTATAAATTTAAAGTCAAGGGCCATAACTCTGGCAGTATTCGCTGAAAACCATAGGATTCTTCGTCTCATGAACTTAAACACTGTGTATAAATTTAAAGTCAATCGGATATTAATTTTAGCCTCTAGAGCGTCCGGGAGATTTTTCAAATTGATTAAGGGCAATAACTCTGGCAGTAATTATCGGAAATCGCTGAAAATCAATAGACCTCTTTGTCTCATGACCTTAAACACTGTGTATAAATTTAACGTCAATCGGATATAAACCTTGACCTCTACAACGTCCATAAAATTTTTTGAAGTGATCAAGGGCCATAACTCTGGAAGTAATTATCGGAAGTCGCTGATATTCAATAGGTTTCTTCGTCTCATAACCTTAAACAATGTGTGTAAATTTAAAGTCAATCGGATATTAACTTTAGCTTCTACAGCGTCCACAATATTTTTTTAAGTGATCAAGGGCCATAACTCTGGCAGTTGTTATCGACATCAATAGGTTTCTTTGTCTCTTGACCTTAAACACTGTGTATAAATTTAAAGTCAATCGGATATTTACTTTAGCCGCTAGAGCGTCAACAAGCAATTGTGGACGCCGGACGGACGGACGGACGGACGGGGCGACGACAATATACGACCACATTCACGTCACGAGTCACATCTTTGTCTGTCTGTCAAGCCCTGTTGATAACCGTTTGTTACAGATGCTGGCGGATACAAAATTAGTTCAATTAGCTCAACACAGATAGTTCAATATAACATCAAGATAAAATCAAAATGATTAAAACACTATACATGTAGTCTACAGTCGTCCTCCTGTTAGATAGTCGATAGGATCCATTAACATATCAACACTCCTTCTCTTCAACAAACGTCTCTGTCTCTCGTCACACCCGGGCGCCTTATCGTGACTTAACACTGACATCGATCACGTGATTACAAACTACAACTGTTAATCCGTAAACATTTGAGATATTTTTACTTCCCCGGTCGGTGATAACGTTTTGTTTCAATCAAATGCAATGTAATTTTGTCGTACAAACTTCCCAACATCTGCAGTTATACGTCGTGGTGTCAGGGTTAACATAAGTTAACTTGCTACAATTTCTCAGAAATTCAACTTTTACTTTCATATTAAAATATCGTGCTATCACGCCAAGATCTATATTTAGAATATTATCAACAAGTCACGTGTTTCGTCATTGTCATATAAAGCGATGAATAAAGTACGGTATAGGTGTTACGTAAGTGTAAGAATCATTATGTAATATAGAACGAAGCTCTAAAATATCGCGCGAATCGCGATTCTTGAGCAAAGCTCTTTTCCTGTAACACAGGAGCGTAACTAAATCTGCCACCACAGACTATTGATAAAAAAAAATCAGACCTGAACCGGATACACTGGTCAAAAATGGCAATGCGCATGCCAACTTACCAAATCTCGCCCAAGCGAGATTACGCGACTCATAGATATATATTTATGGCGCGTTTAATCAATGACGTCACATATTTCTGACGTCAATGAAAATAATTCTCACACTTTTTTGTTCTTTTTTTTTAAACAAAATTAATCATACAATTTAGATCTAAACTAAATTCAGTTCGGAAAAACGAAATTATTTAACATTTTTTGTATCAGTTGAGAAACTTAAATATATTTAACAACAATCACATCAGCTTCGCTCTACTCAGGCTATGCCTGTTACATATTATGAGAAATAGGTCACCATGTAGTTATCGAATTATGTCGGTATACTGTATATGATTGATGTTAATGGCGGTTAGAATGTGAGTCAGTATATTAAGAGTTTTACAACAGTTTAAATGGAGGAATAGGGACACCGTGTAGGTTATCGAATCCATACAATAGCCATAGGAAAATCATGTAATTTTCAGATCAATTCGGTATACTGTATAGGTTTTATGTTATTTTGTGTCGTCTGCTTGTGATTAGCACGCGCTCTAGTTATCACCGGGTTACATTAAAGTTTACTTACAATGAAATGAAATGAATGGCGTTTTACGACCCACTGTTCTGCACCGACAGGGATACTGAAGACGAACGTACGTCCCCTATCTTTCTCTCCCTCAGACGAAAAGCTGCCGATCAACCACAGACGATAAAATTAGACAGCGGACACAAGAGCAAGAAGAAAAAGTGTTATTAACGGAGTTTTAGCTGATGTCAGCAATACTTTTTGATATGACATCATCATGTACATACACCGAATACAGTTGTATACAACACAATTACTATTTATCATTCAACAACGACTTTAGAACATAAGGTCTGTCATTGAGTAAAGTGGTATAGGTTTGATTCGATCATGGCTTGTACGTGACAAGGAGTGCGGTTGCCTGTCCGATCTAGTGGTCTTTCTCTGTGTCCTCCGGTTTCTCCCCACTGCTAAAGGCCCCTATATGCACAAGAAAATAATTGAAATAAAATTGAACCATATATTACTCCCAATTTGACCTGGTTTGTGTCAAAGGTCGCTTTAAACCCAATATCTTTCTTTCTATAAACATCAAATTTGTTTTTATACTTGTATCGTTTCTGCGGGACATCTTGAATTTTTATATAAATGAATCGTATAAATAATTTGATGTGCTGTTTCGAATGATATTGGTACACATAAAGTCTGTCATAGAGTCGACTGGCGTGGTTTCGAATCCCCGGTTGTACGTGGCAAGGAGTAGGGTCGCCTGTCCAACCTCGTGGGTTTTCTCCGGGGCCCCGGGTTTCCTCCCACTGCTAAAGACCCCTACGCGCAAGCGAATTATGTAAATAAAATTAAAACATATGTTAGTCCCGAAATGACCTATAATCACCTGTGTCGAGTGGACGTTAAACCCCATTTCTCTCGCTCTCTGTTACAGTATATTAATTAATATCTCGCTCTCGACCATTAAACAATACTTAATGTCAAATTGTTCACAGTTTAATCAACGCTGAAATGTGCTCAAATTGATTGTTTAACATTTAATTAAGAAATCAAAATACCAACGGTATATAATCTCCTGGGTTGGTATCAAATCTCCTGGGTTGGTATCAAAGGTATATAATCACCTGGGTTGGTATCAAAGGTATATAATCACCTGGGGTGGTATCAAAGGTATATAATCACCTGGATTGGTATCACAGATATATAATCACCTGGGTTGGTATCAACGGTATATAATCCCCTGGGTTGGTATCAACGGTATATAATCTCCTGGGTTGGTATCAAAGGTATATAATCACCTGGGTTGGTATCAACGGTATATAATCACCTGGGGTGGTATCAAAGGTATATAATCACCTGGGTTCGTATCAACGGTACCAAATCTCCTCGGTTGGTATCGATCAGATTACAATGAGACCCATCAATAGATGTTAAATATATTGTCTACTGTGGATGCAGAATGTGCGAACTGTTCCAATTCACCATATCTGTGTAAATATTGAACGGAATTGAATCATTTATGGACTGATATCCATTTTAGAGATTCAACTTTTACTATATTGTATTTTACAGTGGATATAAACTCCCTCATCAGCTTTAAACATCAGATATTCTGTTTACTGATTTTAATAATCTTTTGAAATCAGGTTTATGTCAAAATTTCTTATTGTACAAAGATAACCTATTCATGAAACAATTTCTATTTATATCAAAGAGAGTTGACAGTTGTCAATTAATAACATTGCTTGATAAACAGGGGCGGATCTAGGAATTTTGAAAAGGGGGGGGCGCCGCAAAATGGGGGCACTGACCGCGGAGACGGGGCACGCCGCTGAGAGGGGATTTTTTTTTGGGGGGGGGGGGTCCCCAAGAAAATTATCCGTCATTTCCTTGCATCTGTAGCCATTCCAAGAGCTATTTGGCTGATATTTTCGTCTAAGTAAACGTTCGGAAATCGTTGAAAAATAGCCTTAAAATCTAGCAAAAAAGCCAGTTGAACATGCGACTCGAAAATTGTCAAGGCGAGCGAGGCATTATGATGGGAAAAAAGACGAATCTTTTCCCTAGCCACTTCACTATTTAAGCCTTGTAACTTGTACTTTGTACTGTCCACACATGAAACAATGCTACATCAAGTTGCACTCATGTGCGTCGGTGATGGGCATGAGTGTATACGCCGCCGATTCCACAAGATGTCTGTCTATAGCCACTCTATAGGATTAGGGCACCGTCAGCTAAACAACAAGAATTCGTTTGAAAGTGAAAGCATTAATTAGACCAGACTGGTGTGTTTGAATCGATGGTTTGAGTAATTTGGGATCACTGCGGAACGGACATATTTGGGTATGAGAAAGGGCACTTTCAGCAGTAAAAAAGGGCACTTGCGCGCGCCCCCTTAAATCCGCTTCTGATAAAGATACCTGTAAGAGTATTGAAACGTTACAAGTATTAAACCAAGACGTAGTCAATCTATAAAAGTGTGTGTGTTTTAAATTGCATATATTTATGTACATTAAAATAAATTATTATAAATATTGTAGATTAACATGATATTAGTTTCTACTAAAAAAAAGTATAGTTTCTTTTGATTATAGTTGTAAAATTTTATAAACAAGGGTGACATATTATTGTTAATACATAGATCGTCTGTAAATTCATATTATCTACTTCTGTCGTCTGCTTGATGTACATGTTGGGGGCACGCGTTCTACATGCATAATGTTACTAAAAATAGCCCAACCACACCGTATATGTACATTATGTACATTACTGTTATTTTTCCGGTGGTTGAATAAACAACATGTCTTAACTTCTACACCAGGGTATTTATATTAATAAGTTGTTTATGTATATATAAGTTTTTTAATGACTATATATGCCAAGTGATATTGCAACCTTCTGTAGAAATTGTTGATTATTCAAATTATAAAACTTTACCATTTGAGACTCGTGATTCTGTGGACACCATTTTCTTGTGTGTATCAAACACAAGCGATATTTCAAATACTCCCCATCACCACCCTAAATTACACGGGGTTTTTTTCGTCTTTTAGATTATTTTTTATAATTTATACAATTTGTACAATCTGTTTATCATCGGATGTAAATCTTTTCTGTCTGACTGGCGTAGGGTGTTAATTTGTACAACATGATTGACATGGGATGTTAATTTGTAGGTCTACACTTTGATTGACGTGGGATATTAATTTGTAGGTCTATATTGACATGGGATGTTAATTTGTAGGTCTACACTCTGATGAACGGGAGATGTTAATTTGTAGGTCTACAGTCATATTAACGTGGGATGTTAATTAAGTAGGTCTACAGTCTGATTATGATATAAACTTTTCTAGCGGTATTTAAAATCTGTCATCTAGCGTGGAGGTCGGGTGTTCGATCCCTGCATTGGCCGAGAAAGTTCATCCAGATTTTCCAGCGTGGTTTCCCCCTTGTCAGTGATGCAGGACGGAGGGCCTGACAAGGACAGCTATCTAGCCTTTCGAATGAGACGAAAAGCCGAGGTCCCGTGTACACATTGGCGTGCACGTAAAAGATCCCTTGACACTTGGAATTCGATATAAGAGTAGACCGTAGTGCCGCTGTCCGGGCAAAATTTCCCTCATAGCACACTTTATGGCGTATGCCCGTCTTCATTAGCCCAGTTCGGAGCAAAACAGTGGGACGTTAAACCCCATTTCATTTCATTTCCATGCGGATGTTGTTCTAATATGACCATCAAATCCTGTTTATAGATTTGTATATATGCCGTCTTCTGTGTCCGTCCGTCGGTCAACAATAAAATTGGCTGGTTAGCGCGATAGAGGTTACAATTGGAATGAAATGGGGTTTAACGTCCTATGTTTTTGTTTTTGCTCCGAGTGGGCTAATGAAGATGGAGAATACAATGGGGTGTGAAGCATTTGGGTCACAAGAGCATGACTGCTATGACCTTTCCTGAATTAACACCGCCTTTTCCGTAAAACATTGTTAGCTCGATAGAAACTACAGTATTAACGGATTTGTTTCAAATTTGATTATCTGTTACAGGGACAAAAATGTATCCCCAAATCTTGTTAATGCGATAAAGGCTGCAAATTGTAACGGATTTGTTCAGATTTGGTGTGAATTATTGGGATTACGAGAGGACGACCCCAATCGTTTACCGATGGTCCGCGACGGGGATAAATCCTGTTGATTTTCATCAATCTAAGATTTTTCTGTTGTAGTCGAGAGGGGGATAAATCCTGTTGATTTTCATCAGTCTAAGATTTTCTGTTTTAGGGATTTATTTTATGTCAGGAAAAGCTTGTTAACACGATCCAGTTTAGATTTGTTAAAGTTGCTACATCCGTATGAATTCAATTTGATCAAAATACAAGTTTTCATTTCAGACAATCTGCTGTTGAGACATGGCAGCTGTGGGAACGTATTTCTTAATCATAAAGTCTATAAAGGTAGCCAATATATCTCTCCCAGAATCGCCCCCTCCCCCTCCCCCCCGAGACAGAGTAAGCGCTACTTAAGCAGGGGCCCAGTCCCAGAAAATTAAAAGCTCAGTTCTAACATATATCCGCGCCTACGGCGCTCGAATCCATTATACCAATTTCTTTGTGGTCTTATGCTATCTCGTCACTATCATATGCATGGTTGTAGCGAACCACCCAGTTGTTAGTAGTACCACTAGTGTGTAGGTCGTGGGGGGACAGATTGTACAAATGTTCTGTCAACTCTCAAACAACAAGCAGAATTGGAAGGCATTGGTGACAAGAATTTGCTCCCATCACTGAACTCAAATGCCAAGAAATTGTCTCAAATTTTCCTAGAAATATCCATTCACGCCCCCACCCAACCCCATTCACAAACATCATGGCTACGCCACTGCCCTAAGGTTCACAAACAAATAACTACAAACTCAATAACAATCATAATACATATTCCTGAAGCAATGGCCCGAGAAATCCCTCTCTGCCCATTGCTGGATTGGTGGATTGGCGTATGATATTTGAGCTTTTGAGAGAGTGTATCTGTTCTTCCCGTTCAATCACATCTATTCTAAGTACAGCAACATGGCAGTTCTTCGTTTAATCGTGGTTCTTCCCTTAAACTTTGGACAGTGATTTAAGGTATTAAAAACGGCGAAAGTCATGTTCGTCTTCATACAGTATTGTTTATATTGTATCCGTGTTAATGTCACGCAATTATTTTTTCTGCAATATTATGCTATGCACTGGTTAATTGTGCATAATAAAATCGTGAGTCATGCCGTAACGTTATGTAAACATATTTGGTCCAATTAGGCGCTCTGTTTAAAGCGTAATCATATAGTTACGCAGTCAGCTATTAGTTGTTAATCGGACTATTGACCAGTATTAATTTGGAACAGAAGTTTACTTCCATTAAAGCAGTGTTTAGTGGGATTAGCTCTAATCAAACGAAACACTGCGGGGGATATGTCATAATATGACATGAACATTATGTCAACTTGCATAAAACTGCCTTCCGTGGAGATAACGATCGGCTAACAACTATATAGGTAATACAATCTATGTTTTACAGGGGCGCATAGATGGCCAGTATTTTGTTGACATTCATTGTGGGTGGGATTGTGGATGGCGCCAAAGATTTGGAAACGCCCCCCCCCCCCAACCCGCACCTAGATCCACTACTATTTATCGGTCTATTGAGAAACATATGACAATGTGGAGTCAACAAGAAAATAGTTTATCTCCCTGCATCATAATAATTAGATTATTTAAAGATAATTCAGCCACCCGTTCAATTATTGGTTTTAATCCGAATAACAGTAACCTTATTATTCACGTCTTTTAATGTCAGTTATTTTATTAACTGTTACCTGAATTGTAAAGTTTTTATGATCATCAATAAATCCACTGACAGGATTACTGAGTCTCTTCCAGTCAATAATATCAGTATAACAGTATGCATACTGACAACCAGGTTCAACAGTCCCATTGCATTGTTTAACTACAGATTGTCTATTATCTGTTTTATTTATGACTTTATATGTGACGTCAATTTTACATGACGTAATAGTTTTATCTTCTACATCTGTAAGATATAACAAAGCACGTAATGATGATGAGCCTTTATACACAGTGATACTCCATGTAAAACCTGAAACTACATGGTGTTTACCATAATAGAAACCCTGACCGGTCCCTGGCACATTTTGTAGATCAAAAATATCTTTAAACATATTCTGATGACAACTTACAATTTTACCAAGTTGATTAGTTAACAAAGTTTTATTTATCTCTGCTACTTGAAATGTTGAATATCTTACATCAGGTATATCCAATTTTCTACAACAATTTTCATCTTTCTCCTGTCTAACTTTAAGTAATCTTTGCAAAACTTGAACAATGGAAGAATCTTCTAAAACATTCACTGAATATTTAACACTGACTTTTAAATCTTCTGTTAGTCTTTTAATGTCTTCCATTAGTTTCCCAAATTTGGATTCTTCCTTTTCACTAGATTTCTTCATTTCCTTTTTAATATTTTCCCCGATTTTACGAAATTCTGAGCAGATTTTTTTCACCTGTGTATCCACTTTGTCGCATTCTGTTTTTGTAAAGTTTTTGACTTCAGTTAACTTACTATTTAAATTATCATAATGTTTCTGAAAATCGGTAATTTGTTTTTCTAAATCTTCATTTAGCGTTTTTAAGTCTTGCCTGATACTTTGTCGGACCTCATCTTTCTTTAAATCTAAAAACTTATGTCCGTTATGATCGGCCACCAAACAGTTGAAACAAACGGCTAGTAAACAACCTTTACAGTAGATGTTTACTGTCTCTCCTTCATGGTTTGGACAGAAATCTTTCGGATGTGTCACGGAAGTGGCTGGGGTCTTTCCTTGCATTGATTTGTTTGATTGTTGACAGACTTGTGTATCATCATATCGACAAAGAACGTGGTCTTTACAAGATTTTAACTTATTGTGCGTGGTTTTACACGATTTACATAAATATTGATCACAGTCTCGACAAAAGTATTGAGATGTATCTTCAGTACATACATCACATTGTGGAATAGTAGAATTGACCTCAATGTTTAGTTTACCCCCGTCTATAAGACACAGACATAACGGACATTGGAACTGGCCTTTAGTTGTAGAGGTTTTCTTCATATAATCTTCTAAACAGATGAAACAGAACGTGTGCCGACAGCCGAGAATTACAGGTAACTGAAATTCGTGTAAACAAATACTACACAAATCCTTGTCTGTCTGTTCAGCCATGTTTAAATACACTAGTTACACCAAATACGAGTTGAAACTAGATAAAGCTATAGAATGAACTAGTTGGTTCAATATACTAGAAGGATTGAAACGCTATACAGTCTTCCAGGTAAATAGTCTGCTAGATCACTATAACATCAACACCTCTTATCTACAGTCTTCCAGGTACATAGTCTGCTAGATCACTAACAACAACACAACATCTCCTTCTCTTATTTAAGTCACCTCGAGCACTTTATCTTGCCTTGACCCCGGTATATAAACGCGGCATATAACATACCGTATATAAATCAAAAGGATTAAAACACTATAGTCTACAGTCTTACAGGTAAATACTCTTACTAGATCACTATGACATCAAGACAAATACTCCTTCTCGCCAGCAAACGTTCTTGTCTCTCGTCACACCTGGGCGCCTTATTTTTCCTTGACTCCGGTGTCATCGATCACGTGATTTTAAACAACAACTATTTGAGATATATTTACTTCCCCGGTCGGTGATATTTCACGCTTTGTTTCAATCAACATCAATGTAAAAATTTGTCGTACAAACCACCCAATTTGTACATTTATTCGTCCTTGTGTCAGCCTGCTAGGGTCAATATAATTAAACTTGCTCCAGTTTCTCAGAAACTCAACTTTTATTTTCACATTGAAATATCACGCTAGATCTATATCTAGAATATTATCAACAAGTCACGTGTGTACCATATTCAATCATAACTTGTAAGTTATATATACATACTGGTGCCCCGCACAGCCAAAATATGTCCTATTAAAAGTTGCACATGCCACAGCGAATGTGCACACTTCAGTGACTTGTCCCGGACGGATTTCTCGCTAGGGCACGCAGAGCGGGAATACACAGCAGAAAAGTCGAGATCAATGAGGCTATAATTAGCCATCGCACGCGATATGTTCAACACGATTAAAGACGTAAACAGTCTATTGTTAAATATACAGACTAATTAATCTATCAAAATTTACTTCAAATCATTCTCAAAACATTGTATCCGAGAGGGAATACACCAGCCATAAAAAATCTGTTAAAAGAGGTCATGTGTGTGTCACCCGACTAAGCTGACGTGGTACCCAGCAACGGGTGCGTGGCCGGGGGTAGTCCGGTGGCAGAAGGTCTTGTGGTGGGAGGGGGCCGTGCGTAGCCGGAGGTAGTCCGGTGGCAGAAGGGCTTGTGAGGGGGCGGGGGCGTGATCGCCACCCGACCTGTGAATTTATGAGACCAAGTTTTTTCTAGACCCGTTGTTTGCGCAGATTCCGAATCTGGGTGGTGATGGGGCGTTTGAGATGGCGTTTTAAAGAAATCAGTTGGTGTAAAATTGACCTTAAAAAGATGCATATCGTTAGCTTTTTCGTTTAATAACAATATTGTCATTCAAAATATTAAATTATAATGGTACCATGTGTTAGTACCGAAATGACCTAGTTTGTGTCGAGTGTTAAACCCCATTTCTCTCTCTTTCTGATGATAAACATATTACACTCGAACATAGTATCCTTTGATACAGACAACTCAAATACATCTTTCATATCAACTTTTACAATATTTTTATTGAAGAAAATATTTCATGGAGTTAACTGAAGATGATAGAAAATCCATATTTAAATATGTAATCTCAATATGTAAAATTTACCAGCGGCTGCCAGGCAGGATACGCCCACATTTTCGAGAGATGGATAGAAAACAAGCTAAAACGAAAGTGATTTTTCCTACAATCAAGGGCCATAATTCAGGAAATTACAATTCGATATGCACAAATATCGAAAGGAACCAAGATCTTTGAGTTATAAACTTACATTTCAAGTTTCAACAAAATCGGATAAAAATTGTGACCTCTATAGGGTTGATATACCATATTTTTACGCAATTTGAGAACGAGGGGCAGCCATTTTGTCTGTCAGTTTTTGGCCGATTTTCACGAAATTCGAACTCAGTCGTCCTTAGGGTGTAACGGTGATATAATAATATGATTTTTTAAATCGGGTAATAATTATGACCTCTATAGGTTCCACAAGCTAAAAACGTGATTTTCCGTACAATCAGGGGCCATAATTCAGGACGTTATTGTCCGATATGCGCAAATATCGAAAGGAACCGCGATCTTTGGGTTATAAACTTACATTTCAAGTTTCAACAAAATCGGATAAAAATTGTGACCTCTACAGTGTTCACAAGCCAAAAACGTGATTTTTCGTACAATCAGGGGCCATAATCCATGAAGTTACGGTCCGATAGATGCCAATATCGAAAGGAGCCGAGATCGTAGGGTGATAAACCTATATTTCAAGTTTCATTGAAATCGGATAAAAATTGTGACCTGTAGACTGTTCACAAACAATTGTGCACGGACGGACGGACAGGGACGACGACAATATACGTCCACATGAAAATGTGGGCACGTCCACATGAAAATGTGGGCGTATAAAAATAAATATTATCAGGATATGTGGACAGCAGATAGATGCTAAAAACACCAACACGATTGTCTAGGACAAGGAAATTATGGGTACGGGACAATTGGTCCCCGGACAACTCGTTCCCAGACAACTCGCCCTATAGGACTATTCGCCCCCGGATAATTCGTCCCAGACAATTCGTCCCCGAATATCCAAGGGGATGAATAGTCCTATAGTCCTGATACGAATTGTCCGGAGACGAATTGTACTCGGGGATGAATTGTCTTGGGACGAATTTCCGGAGACGAGTTGTCTGGGGACGAATTATCCTAGAGCAGGAATTTATAACACCATCGACAAGGAAAAGGTCTATCGTCTAGGCCATCGTGATACATTGATATCAACTTAAATCTAAGTGATGACCAATGATTAAATCACATTAAAATAAACATCTCTTGTTAATGGTATTAACAAACATTTGGGCCGATTCCTATTTAAGATTCAAACTTTCACAGATATGTTGATAATGATATAAAAATACCCCCGTATAATATGGCCCAGGAACCATGCATGACGTCATCACAGCCATCGTGGAATTGTGACGTCACATAAAAAAAAATTCGAAGTTTGTCCATCGATGCAAAATGTTCAAAATTCATGTTGATCGTTCATGAATTGGCAGAACCTTGAGCTATTGTCTAAGAACATTGCCATCAAGAAGAGGGGGAGAGAAATGGGGTTTAACGTCCACACGAACAAACATAGGCGTACGAGCCAGGGGGGCAGGAGCTGCCCCCCTAACTTTCGGGCAAGCTGACTTTTCGGGCAAACGGGTAAAGTGAAAACAAAAATTTATTTCATCTGCTTGGCAAAATAAAGTGCCTGAAATCTAATAAAACACTAATTTTACGGGCTGGAATAGCAGGAAAACGCGTTTGCGGCTGTCAAATATTCCAAAATTTTCTTGCGGGGTCCATACAAGGTCAGTTCCGCTTCTTCGCCTCTCGAAGAAAACCGGCACCGCTGTCTGTAAACCCGAAATTTTTTCGGGCATTTCTAGTTTTGCTTGCCTTACTGTCATCGAGCCCTAATATAACACTAATTTTACTTTTCTTTTAATTGAATGCCACGAATTTGTACAGAGTTGACTATGGATTAAAAAATGATGTCTGGAGTCACTCTACTCTGTGCGACATTTTTCGGGCATCAATTATTATTTGTGAATGCAGCTGCAACAGTCTGATTGGATGGTTGGAATTCAGAGTGGAATTTCGGTTACAAAACCATTGGATACTTTTGGAGTTTACACGTGCTAGAATAGCAGAAAACGCATTTGCGGTGGTTAAATTTTCAAAATTTTCTCTCCGGGAGGGTATACCCCCGAAACCAGCGACGATTGATTGGTTGTTTGGAATTCCGGTCAGCCAGGTAGGCTATATTGGACCAAATTGAAGTTGCTGTATTCACAGGCTGGAATAGCAGGAAAACGCGTTTGTGGCAGTTAAATTTTCAAAATTTTCTCCCAACGGTCCCGTCTTCGTGGACTGTAAACGATTGATTGGAATTCGAGTCAGCCACCTGAGGGGGGGGTGGGGCAGGGTAAGCTCCGCTCTCTTCGCCTCTCAAGGAAGACCGGCGCTCTCGAGTTCTGCCCCCCTAGCTGTCATCGAGCCTGTACGCCTATGCGAACAAACTAGGTCATTTCGGGACTAATATATGGTTCAACTTTATTTCAATAATTTGCTTGCGCGTACGGGTCTTTAGCAGTGGGAGGAAATCGGAGGACCCAGAGAAAGCCCGCGAGGATGGACAGGCGGCATTACTCCTCCTTGTCACGTACAATCAGTGATTCGTAACCACGCTAGTTGACTCAATGACAGGCATTATGATACAGCATGCACATGGTAACCATTCAGCCATCCAACCCCTCAACAAGATGAGTAAAGCTGGGGTCCCGGATCCTTGTCCTAAAATGTCACGATATATTCTCTACCATGTGACACCAACCATTAGTAAAGAAATATAACTCATTTGTAAAAATAAACCTATATGGACCAGTAAATCGACCGGACTGACCGCTTACCTATGTACCATGTACCTGAAAAAAAAGTTGTAGAAAACTGGAATTAACTGTTTTTGTATCTAAGGCACTTGTTTATTAACATACCAAAAGGTATTGAAATAAAATAGAACCATATGTTAGTCCAAATATGACTCAGTTTGTGTTGAGTAGACTTAAACCCAATTATTTTCGCTTTCCTACTACAATTGATTATCAGCTTTCTGCCAAATATGCAATCTCATTTCTGTAATCTTTTGAAAAGTAAGTACTTTAGATACATGGAGAAAACACACAAGATTGGACAGGGGACCCCCTACTCCTTGGCTCATACTAGCGAGGGATTGACACCTCATCACTTGACTCAATGACGGACCTTTAGTTACAAAAACAATTGAATCCAACTTTCTGTCAATCTGTTCCTAGTAGAAATCTTATATAAAATAATACAACAACGATTAAAATACACTTAGAATAAAATTTAATTTATTGCACAGTCATTAAAATAATAAAACTTTATGATAGAAAATATATTTGATAAATGCTTTCCATATCTGTGTGTAATATTGATATACAAATCTACACTAGGACTTTGATAAATGCTGTCTATATGTAAGTATTGATGGATTGACGTAGATTAAAAAGTCTGACTTATTAAATTTAATTGTGTTTATCCTGCCTTCACATCATATCAGAGCTTTCACTTTAAAACCAGTACCTGTCAGTCAAAACTTGATATACGAGAGAGAGAGAGAGAGAAATGGGTTTAACGTCCACTCGACACAAACTAGGTCATTTCGGGACTAACACATGGTTCAATTTTATTTCAATAATTCGCTTGCGTGTAGGGGTCTTTAGCAGTGGGAGGAAACCGGAGGACCTGGAGAAAACCCACGGGGTTGGACAGACGACCCTACTCCTTGCCATGTACAACAGGGGAATCGAAACCCCACCAGCTGACTCAATGACAGACCTTATGATAAAGCTTGCATGCTAAAAAACTACCATATTGTCCTTATATAAACCAGATATTATGGCATTATTCAAATGTTTATAATCAAAGTAACTAACACAGAAAAACTAGATATTTCACTGTGATGATTGTGTTTAAATGTTACTAATTTCATGGTATGTTAATTGACTGACAGGTGAATTATCTACTAAGTTATTATCAATTAATGCCAATCAGTCAAGACAGGTAATTATGACTTAAACCAGAGATCTGGCCCTGGTTTCACAAAATATTCTCAGACTTAGTTAAGAATTTACTCAAAATTGTTTGCCTAATTTTAACTAAAATATAGCCCTTTATAAAAGTTTTGTTGTTTTAATGTATCAAATACATCAATAAGAAACAAAGTTCAAAGTTTTGTGCTTTTGGAACCAAGATATTTCTCATAAATAGGGATTGAAAGTTGATTAAATTCTGAACTTAAAAGGGAGCCACGGTGGCCAGGTGGTTAAGACGCTGGCTCGCTAGCCAGGAGGTCGGGTGTTCGATCCCTGCATTAGCCGAGAAAGTTCATCTGGATTTGCCGACGTGGTTTCCCCATGTCAGTGGTGCAGAACTGAGGGCCTGACAAGGACAGCTGTCTAGTCCTTTGGATGATACGAAAAACTGAGGTCCCGTGTATACATTGGAATGTACGTAAAAGATCCCTTGGCAGTTGGAATTTGATATAAGAGTAGGTGATAGTGAGGCTGCCCGGGCAAAATTTCCCTCATAGCACACTGTATGGTGTATGCCCATCTTCATTAGCCCAGTATAGGAGCAGAACAGTAGGACGTTAAACCCCATTTCATTTCATTTCTTAACTTAAAACTGAGAAATCTATGTAAAACCGGGACCGGAGGCCTGTTTTACGAAATTTTAAGTAAGATAAAATCCAAATTTTAGTAATTTGATTGGATAATATTAGATTAATTTTAGTGCTTAGCCAATCAAAATTGAAGTATCTACTAAAATTATAATTTTATCTTTAGTTAAGATTTTGAGAAACCGGGCCCTGGTTTATGCTTATACTACACTGGGACTATAAATTGATGTTTGATATAAGATCAATTGTCAATAGGTTATATTAAAAATAAATTATGTAAGATTTCGATAAAGAGCTAGCCATTCTTGCTATAATAGTTTGAAAATAGATAATGTAAAAGGAAAATATTGAAAATTTCATTCAAATTACTCTATTGCGAACGAAGATATTAGCCTTTGAAGATTTAACAGTGTGCAATAATTGCAACCACCGTACTGGTTGTTTGAGATAAGTCTCGCTCCTCCATTTTTATATTAAATCAAAATATGGCTTAACTGTTCTAATTTATTTAATATCGGAGAAATACGATGCCATCTAGAGTTGATTATGGCCTGGATCAGTTAATTAATGTCTAATTAATAATTTATATAACATTTCAGGCCTAAAGAAAGACCTGCAATAGGCAGATTTAGCTCTTGCATAATGTATTTTTATTAAGGTTACTACAGAGTATAGTAATGTTTGCTATTAGATAAACTGTCAGTAAGTTAGATATATAAGGTAATAATGTACAGCAAGAAACTTCTGCTTTCACAGAAAAAAAGTGAACATAATATCAGTCGCTACACATAAATTTTAAAATGGCCATCCTACTAATGATACAGATAAGGACGGACGTACAATGCATTTCTTTTGTCAATATCGCACAAAATATTGCAAAAAGTGACCAATAAAGAAAAGATACGTTACAGATATGCACAATCTACATCCAAGATATTTATGGTTTCATAAAAAAAATTCATAAAATTTTTGATAATTGAAATTGACAAATAAAGGCTACATTCAAGAAATTTATGGTTTCATAAAAAAAAATATTGATAAGATTATTGATAACTGAAATTGACAAAAATAAAGGCTACACCCAAGATAAAAAAAAATTATAAAATTATAGATAAGTGAAATTGACAAAAATAAAGGTAAATGTCGGTGATTATTATTAATAGTAAGACTCCAAAACGAGGTTAGATCCATTTGATAAGGCCAACTTCAAGTATGGTCAAAGGTCACGAGATATAAACAGGGCTAGCTTTAATCCCAACCCTAACCCTCCTAACCCTGGACCTAGCCCTAATGCTTACCCTAATCCTAACCTACAATCTCACCAACAACAATCAGGTGCCCTAATCTTATTTACATCTCAGCGACTTTGATGATAATTGAGTTGGCCTTAAAAAATAGATCTAGCCTGTCAATTAATTACAGAGAGTTACCTGCCCATTATTATCAAAATGGCTGCCTTATTCACTCACATTTTTACAGTCTACACTCTATTCTCTCTATTTAAAAGATATGATAATAAAAAGATAAAAAAATTCCATGCATAGTTGACTGAGATTCTGGAACACAGAAATAACAGGTTCTACAAGGGTCCCACTTATTCCACACTATCTTGTCAAGCATTCATAATAAAAATAATTAATATCGCATGCGTAGTGGATTGAGATTCTGGAACACAGAAATAACAGGTTCCACTAGCTGTCCCACTCATTTCACACCATCTTCATCTCGTCAAGCATTCATAATAAAAATAATAATTAATATCCCCTGCGTAGTAGACTGAGATTCTGGAATATGGAAAAAAATAGGTACCTATAGGGTCTCGTTCATTCCATGCCTCTTCGTATCGTCAAATAATAATAAAACAACTCAAAGTAGGAGACCAGGATTTTGATCAAATATGATTATTTATCTTTGAGATCAAGGTATCCATATTTTTTAAGATGTGCTGAAAGGAAGGAATCGTGACACTGATAGTGCTGACAGTGAACCCCTCGTGCACCCACAACGAAACAAGAAATAAAATAATCGTTTTTTTTTTTTATAAATCATTTTTTTCGGTAGGAGATTCTTTATTTTCGGATGTTTCGCCATGACGATTTCCAACTTTTTCAACTTTTATATTTATGTCTATTTTTGGCTCGAATTTTAAACCACAGGTTTCCTGGCTGTCAAGGTCACTACTGCATGTAGCACCATCAGCCTCGACTTCCAGTCCAGAATCCATCACAGACACAGTCTCCGTTTCAATCTCTGAAATTCGCATAGAATCCAACTCATCTTCTTCTGTTATTTTGAAAACATCACTATCACTGTTGGAGTCAATAAATTTTGATTCTTGATTTGATTCAACTTTTTGAGAAATCATCCTTTCGGATTCTTCTTTAAAAATGTCGCTATCACTTAATGTATTTTTATCTGAAATTCTTTCGGATTCGTCCACGGACTGCGATGAGCCATCCTTTCCTGAGTCATTTTCTCTTTGTCTACTAATATTTTCTTCTTTGATATCTTCATCATCGTGGTTAGATTTTTTACCTTTATCCATTTGGCTCTCGGTAGATTTTTTGTTATTTTCTCCGTTCTTTCCATCTTTTTTATCCAGGTTCAAATCAGAGAGTGGATCCTTCTCTGCATTTCCTTGAAATATCCTGGAGATGATCTTACGGGCCTGAACATGGGCCAATTCTTTATAGTTTGGGTTCAACGTAAACCACAGAGCCAGAGCACAACGCTGACCCTTTCGTACAGCTTTTACTCCATGGAATTCCTTTGAATCAAAACCAACCAGACGTCCACACCTTGGCTTGACTTGAACCTTAAAGAAAAAAAAAATATATTGAGTTAATCCTATATTTTCTCCTCTGTTTAGATTTCATAGCGAGAGAGAGAAGGGGGAGACAGGAACGGGATAGGTAGAGGAGAGAGAGAGAGAGAGGGAAAGAGAGAGAGAGAGAGAGAGAGAGACCTCATTTTATTTTATCTCATCTCAAAGACAAGATGCTGTTCCTCACCAAGCTGTCTGTCTTGCTACACTGAAAGGTGGAAACCACACTGTAAAACCCTGAGATGCTTACATCAGGATCAAACCCTGGACCATCTAGTTCCTGTACTAGAACCGAATCCAGCGCCCACTGGTTAGTGTACATGGATTGGGCCAAACACCAGACTTTCTGGTTAGTTAAATGGTATCTTACTCACTGAGCCACTGTGGCTTCCAGAGAGATTTTAGGACTAACATATAGTTTAACGGCCACTCGACACAAACTAGGTCATTTTGGGACTAACATATGGTTAAATTTTATTTCAATAATCCGCTTGTGTGTAAGGGTCTTTAGAAGTGGGAGGAAATCGGAGGACCCGGAGAAAACCCATGAGGCTGGACAGGCAACCCTGTTCCTTGTCACATACAAGCGGGGCATCGACACCACGTCCGTTGACTCAATGACAGACCTTGTGATCAAACGCACATGCATTAACCATTCGGCAAAGGAAAATCCCCTATATATATACAGTAGAATCTGTATGAGCAGCCACAAAATTTACAAACATTCTAAATTGCCAATAAAACAAGAAAACTTCAGTGGTTTAGCTACAGTAGAATCTGTACGAGCAGCAACTCCTATTCAGCGACATCTCTTAAATCAACGGTCACTCCTCTAACGCAGCCAGTGGTCATTGTTTTAGTTATAAATTTAACAAAAACATCGAACATTCAATGGCCATTGTTGAATGATACAATCTTGTCGTAGCTCGTAGCACCTCCGCTAATCCTGTGATTAATAGTTAATTATCTGGCCCCAACTGATCAGGTAAAAATGTCTACCCGTTCAACAAGACATATTAAAATAAAACACCATATTGTTCATGTCTACCTGTTCTGTTTTGTTGGAATGTGCAAAGAAAAATTCTCCTCCTTCAAACTCATCATTCAGATACAAGATGGCGCTAGAATGAAAATTGAAATTAATATCAATAAATACATGTACATAGAGAATCTCCTACTCGTCTTTTTTGATATAAAAAAAATATCAACATAAGTTGATAAAGTAAAAAAAAACGAAGCTCTGCCGCGCTTTTTTTTACTTTATCGACACAAATGTTGATAATTTTATTTATTACTCAATCCTTTTTTACATGCACAAATAAATAAATATATTTCTTTGCTATAGATTTCACTTTTACTGAACCTGAATACATTACGGCGTAGTGATACATCATTTTTTGACAGCAATTCAACCATTGCAAAGTCCTTTATATTGAAGTAGTGTTACCATCAAGGTCAAATAGTTCATTTTTAATAAAAAAAATGAAGCGTTCTTTGAAAATAAAAAATGAACGGTTCTTTGAAAATAAAAAATGAACTGTTCTTTGAAAGTAAAAAAAGAAGTAGTTCCTTTTCAACTGACCAATCAAATTCATGTAAAGCGATATCCCCTAAGGAGATATCACAGTAGATTATGAAATTTATCACACAAGCGATATCTACACTGTAGAATGTATTATTGGGGGATAAATAGAAAATAATGAAAGGGTCCGTCACGGGTTGGGACTATTGGCGGAGACCAAGGACAGGAATTCGCTTCATTGTCCCCAGATAAACATCTCAATCTTATATGTTCGCCATATGTATGAACATTTTGACAATGATAGACAGGGGTCAAACTTTTAAAACTTAAATAACAACCTGTAATGTCTAGAGAAGAAAGGGAGGGTATATATATGTATCATAATATCTCGACGGTATATATACCTACCTAAGATATATATATATGCCTACCTGTAAGGTATATATATATGTAAGGTCCAAAGAAGAAAAGGAAGGTATATATGCCTACCTGTAAAGAATGGGAGGGTATATATTCCTACCTGTAAAGAAAGGGAGGGTATATATGCCTACCTGAAATCACGTTGGGTAAAAGCAGGAAATGATTTAATACATGATCCATCAGGTTGTAATATACAATTATCAGCATGAACAGGATGACTTAAATCATCTCTCTCTTCGCCAGATTTCACTGAAATATATAATATATAAACATTAGAACTATCTCTTCCCCCGATTTCACTGAAATATATAATATATAAACATTAGAACTATCTCTTCCCCCGATTTCACTGAAATATATAATATATAAACATTAGAACTTTCTCTTCCCCAGATTTCACTGAAATATATAATATATAAACATTAGAACTATCTCTTCTCCAGATTTTACTATAATATATAATATATAAACATTAGAACTTTCAACATAATGTAAAGCCATTAGTAAAGAGCATAACAGAACCCCCTTCCCCAATAATTTGTAGATATTTGTAGATATGTGTTTTTTAGTTTGAAAATTGTTCAGGGGATAAAAGCACCTGGAACCCCATTTTGGCTTGCTACGTCGATAGCTCCCTCTAATATAAATTATGACTTGCTACGTCGATAGCTCCCTCTAATATAAATTATGATGTGCTACGTCGATAGCTCCCTCTAATATAAATTATGCCTAATACAAATTATGACGTGCTACGTCGATAGCTCCCTCTAATATAAATTATGCCTAATACAAATTATGACGTGCTACGTCGATAGCTCCCTCTAATATAAATTATGGCTTGTTACGTCGATAGCTCCCTCTAATATAAATTATGACGTGCTACGTCGATAGCTCCCTCTAATATAAATTATGACGTGCTACGCTGATAGCTCCCTCTAATATAAATTATGACTTGCTACGTCGATAGCTCCCTCTAATATAAATTATGCCTTGCTACGTCGATAGCTCCCTCTAATATAAATTATGACGTGCTACGCTGATAGCTCCCTCTAATATAAATTATGACTTGCTACGTCGATAGCTCCCTCTAATATAAATTATGACGTGCTACGCTGATAGCTCCCTCTAATATAAATTATGCCTTGCTACGTCGATAGCTCCCTCTAATATAAATTATTACGTGCTACGCTGATAGCTCCCTCTAATATAAATTATGACTTGCTACGTCGATAGCTCCCTCTAATATAAATTATGCCTTGCTACGTCGATAGCTCCCTCTAATATAAATTATGACTTGCTACGTCGAAAGCTCCCTCTAATATAAATTATGACTTGCTACGTCAAAAGCTCCCTCTAATATAAATTATGACTTGCTACATCGATAGCTCCCTCTAATATAAATTATGACTTGCTACGTCGAAAGCTCCCTCTAATATAAATTATGACCTGCTACGTCGATAGCTCCCTCTAATATAAATTATGACTTGCTACGTCGATAGCTCCCTCTAATATAAATTATGACTTGCTATGATGATAGCTTCCCTCTAATATAAATTTTGGCTTGCTACGTCGAAAGATCCCCTCTAATATAAATTATGGCTTGCTACTTCGATAGCTTCCCTCTAATATAAATTATGACTTGCTACGTCGATAGTTCCCTCTAATATAAATTTTGACTTCCCTCTAATACAAATTTTGGCTTGCTACGACGATAGCTTCCCTCTAATATAAATTATGACGTGCTACGCTGATAGCTTCCCTCTAATATAAATTATGACGTGCTACGCTGATAGCTCCCTCTAATATAAATTTTGGCTTGCTACGACGAAAGATCCCCTCTAATATAAATTATGGCTTGCTACTTCGATAGCTTCCCTCTAATATAAATTATGACTTGCTACGCTGATAGCTCCCTCTAATATAAATTATGACTTGCTACGTCGATAGCTCCCTCTAATATAAATTATGACGTGCTACGTCGATAGCTCCCTCTAATATAAATTATGACTTGCTACATCGATAGCTCCCTCTAATATAAATTATGACTTGCTACGTCGATAGCTCCCTCTAATATAAATTATGACTTGCTACGTCGATAGCTCCCTCTAATATAAATTATGACGTGCTACGCGGATAGCTCCCTCTAATATAAATTATGACTTGCTACGTCGATAGCTCCCTCTAATATAAATTATGGCTTGCTACGTCGATAGCTCCCTCTAATATAAATTTTGGCTTGTTACCTCGATAGCTTCCCTCTAATATAAATTATGACGTGCTACGCGGATAGCTCCCTCTAATATAAATTATGACTTGCTACGTCGATAGCTCCCTCTAATATAAATTATGACGTGCTACGCTGATAGCTCCCTCTAATATAAATTATGACGTGCTACGCTGATAGCTCCCTCTAATATAAATTATGACTTGCTACGTCGATAGCTCCCTCTAATATAAATTATGACGTGCTACGCTGATAGCTCCCTCTAATATAAATTATGACGTGCTACGCTGATAGCTTCCTCTAATATAAATTATGACGTGCTACGCTGATAGCTCCCTCTAATATAAATTATGGCTTGCTACGTCGATAGCTCCCTCTAATATAAATTTTGGCTTGTTACCTCGATAGCTTCCCTCTAATATAAATTATGACGTCCTACGCGGATAGCTCCCTCTAATATAAATTATGACTTGCTACGTCGATAGCTCCCTCTAATATAAATTATGACGTGCTACGCTGATAGCTCCCTCTAATATAAATTATGACGTGCTACGCTGATAGCTTCCTCTAATATAAATTATGACGTGCTACGCTGATAGCTCCCTCTAATATAAATTATGACATGCTACGCTGATAGCTCCCTCTAATATAAATTATGACGTGCTACGCTGATAGCTCCCTCTAATATAAATTATGACGTGCTATGCTGATAGCTCCCTCTAATATAAATTATGACGTGCTACGCTGATAGCTCCCTCTAATATAAATTATGACGTGCTACGCTGATAGCTCCCTCTAATATAAATTATGACGTGCTACGCTGATAGCTCCCTCTAATATAAATTATGACATGCTACGCTGATAGCTCCCTCTAATATAAATTATGACGTGCTACGCTGATAGCTCCCTCTAATATAAATTATGACGTGCTACGCTGATAGCTCCCTCTAATATAAATTATGACGTGCTACGCTGATAGCTCCCTCTAATATAAATTATGACGTGCTACGCTGATAGCTTCCTCTAATATAAATTATGACGTGCTACGCTGATAGCTCCCTCTAATATAAATTATGACTTGCTACGTCGAAAGCTCCCTCTAATATAAATTATGGCTAATACAAATTATGACGTGCTACGTCGATAGCTCCCTCTAATATAAATTATGGCTTGTTACGTCGATAGCTCCCTCTAATATAAATTATGACGTGCTACGTCGATAGCTCCCTCTAATATAAATTATGACGTGCTACGCTGATAGCTCCCTCTAATATAAATTATGACTTGCTACGTCGATAGCTCCCTCTAATATAAATTATGCCTTGCTACGTCGATAGCTCCCTCTAATATAAATTATGGCTTGCTACGTCGATAGCTCCCTCTAATATAAATTTTGGCTTGTTACCTCGATAGCTTCCCTCTAATATAAATTTTGGCTTGTTACGTCGATAGCTCCCTCTAATATAAATTTTGGCTTGTTACCTCGATAGCTTCCCTCTAATATAAATTTTGGCTTGTTACGTCGATAGCTCCCTCTAATATAAATTATGACTTGCTACGTCGAAAGCTCCCTCTAATATAAATTATGCCTTGCTACGTCGATAGCTCCCTCTAATATAAATTATGCCTTGCTACGTCGATAGCTCCCTCTAATATAAATTATGACTTGCTACGTCGATAGCTCCCTCTAATATAAATTATGACTTGCTACGTCGATAGCTCCCTCTAATATAAATTATGACTTGCTACGTCGATAGCTCCCTCTAATATAAATTATGACTTGTTACCTCGATAGCTCCCTCTAATATAAATTATGACTTGCTACGTCGATAGCTCCCTCTAATATAAATTATGACTTGCTACGCTGATAGCTCCCTCTAATATAAATTATGACTTGCTACGCTGATAGCTCCCTCTAATATAAATTTTGTTTCCCTCTAATATAAATTTTGTTTCGACGTGTGTCCATAATATAATTACTTGATAGAGTTGAAATTTCCAAAAATAATTAACCTTAACTTACACTCAATAGCTGTTCTACACACTAGATGAGTAAAATCAAAATATAGAGGTCGAGTCAAGTTGAAATATTTCTCTACCATTAGTCGCGCTTTCTCAGCTAAATCCAAGAATAAATTGACTTCCTCTTTGTTTATTTTACGGAGATGAGCCAACTGTAATTATAGTAAGTCATGTTAAAATATGAGAGAGAGAGAGAGAGAGAGAGAGACAGAGAGAGAGAGAGAGATTTAACATCCACTGGACACAAACTAGGTCATTTTGGAACAAACATATGGTTCAATTTTATTTCAATAATTCGCTTGGGCATAGGGCTCTTTAGCAGCAGGAAGAAACCAGAGAGGAATGAAAGGTTGGGTTTAATGTCCTTTCTGCAAGGTCATTTAGGGAAAGATATAGGGTTCGATTATTTTTCAATAATTTCCTTGTGTGTAGGGTTCTTTGGCTTTGGTAGGAAACCAGTGGACCCAGAGAAAACCCATAAAGTTGGACAGACAACCCTTATTTTTGTGACCTACACCGCTGGGATCAAAAGACACCCCCATATGAAGGAAAGAATATAACATACAGTTTATTTCGTTTTCTATGGTCACATGTTTAATAATAGGGAGGATAATTTTGTCGGGACAGCAGCGTTTCCGAGTTTATGTTTTGCATCTCATTCGAGATACAATTTCCTTATAGGGTTAACGAAACGCCACCTGTGGCAAGCGGGAGCTGGGTATGACAAATCACAAGACTTTCCTCGGCTCTACCGGGACAAAAGTTTAAATAAACATGAAAAAATACAATAATTACTAAATCTGAAAACAGTTTGCTCTGGTATAATAAATAAATACTAAATTATTGTTACAGATTCAATGATCTAAAGTGAGAGATTGGGGTTAAGAAAGGAGGTTGTAAAAATATTTTTTAAATAAATTTAATGTTAACTAGAAGGAAGAATAGGCATATTCTGTCCAGTGCACAATACCCTTAAACATATCTACTATATAAAAATGTTTGCCTATCACATTTATTATCTTCCCTGGCAGCATGTTTAGCATATTACTTTGCGATCCTTATATTCCCTTTTCTATCAACTCAATGCTTGATGAATTAAACCATGCTGTCTGTGTCAAACCCAAATCCTTATTAAGTTTTATAAAATATTGAGATTAAGAATATGACTGTGTTATATTATTCAGGTAACTCAGGTATAGGACTAGAATATATCTTGATACAGGTAATGTAGAGGAAATATATCTTGATACAGGTATATAATGTACAGGAAATATATATACTAATGACTATAAATGGTAGTGCAGTGGTGAGGTCCCCACTCCTACCTCAAAGACTTTGCATGAATACAGTAATGTAGAGGAAACCCTACTCCCACCCCCACCAATGTAGAAGACACACACTCACCATTTCAAAGACTTTGCCTTTATACAGCAATGTAGGTGACTCCCTTCCTAACAACCACCTAGACCACCCACTTCCACCTCAATGACCTTTGCCTTTATACAGCAATGTAGGTGACTCCCTTCCCCCTAACAACCACCTAGACCACCCACTTCCACCTCAATGACATTTGCCTCTATACAGCAATGAAGGTGACCCCCCCCCCCCCTTCCACCTCCAAACTTCCACCTCAATGATATTTGCTTGATACAGAAATGTAGGTGACCCCCTTCCACCCCGCCCCCAACTTCCACCTCAATGATATTTGCTTGATACAGCAGTGTAGAGTTAATCCGACCAATAGTTATATATCATGCTAAGTAATATACCAATACCAACCGTAGCTGCTCTGTTAACAGTCAGCCCAATGAACATTTCGTGTATCGTGTGAGGGGAGATAAGCGAAGGTTTTGTATGTAAATGGTCGTATCCATCACCTAGCAAAGCACCATTCTAGCAGAAGGGAAGAAAGAATGATTAAAATATAATATAAACTATACAAATCACCATTAAAAGAATGTTAGAAAACATGCAAAGCTAAAATTTCCTGAATCCTCTAAATATTGTTTATGCATAGGTTAAAAAGTTAAAACTAATATTTTGTTTAAAAGCTTAAAACCGCTGATCGCCATTTAATATTTTTCATATTGATCACAAAATTTTGCTCAGATTAAAACTAAGGTTTCATTAAAAAAATTTAAAACCACTGATGTTGAATCTCCTGTTAACTATGACATTGTTAATGTTGAATCTTCAGTATCGACAGGAATGAATTCAAAGTTTCACCAGATTCTGAACGGCCTGTTCTTAATTTGATTGTATGTAAGCCTGGAGATTATCCCTCGTTACTATTTGGGTTTTAATAATAATTCTTTCCATATTTGGATTTTGTAAACAGTCTCTCCATATTTGGGTTTTAGTAATCAATCTGTCCATATTTCGGTTTTGTAATTAACGTGGTTTAAGACGTGAAAAAGGTAAATAACGATCAGCAGTCTTAAGGTGTACATGTTTCGTTGCCATGGATTCAAATCTAGATTCACTTCTCAGATTAGATTCAAAACAGACTGAATGAATGAATCAATGAATGAATGAATCAATGAATGAAATGGGGTTTCACATCCCACGTTTCTGCACCAGACGGGCTAATGAAGACAGGCATACCCCATACAGTGTGCTATGATCGAGGGGAATTATCCACACCAACAGACAGACTCTGAACCTTTATCTGCCAGTGTCTCGTTCTCAACCTGATTCCAACATTTGTTTGAATGGCTTCCGAGATTGAAAATTTGATTGAAACAAACAGAACAGAGTCTGGTTTAAATCTTGATTCAGAATCATGACAACCAAACATGTATGACACCACAAAGATAAAAAGATATATTTATTGTTGCTAGACAACGGTCACCATGGAAACTATATTAGCCCAACACCTGTATATAGAATCAAATTAGCTACATGTCATTGTCTCTACCTTTGTCACACTGTTCAAGTTTAAACCTGAAAATGATTCTTTTTTTGTATGAGGATGAACGGAACGATATCCATCTCCTAATCCTCCATTCATCTGAAATAAATCAACTTTTCATCATGCTCATGCATTCAAAACAAATAAAATTGGGTTTTATGTCAATATGTCATGAGAATGTGGGCGTATAAAAAATTCAGCAAAATGAAATAAAATAAAATGGGGTTTAATGTCATACTTTTCCGTAACAGGATCTTTTACGTGCATGCCAATGTGTACACCAGACCTTGTTTTTCATCCCATCCAAACGGTTGTATATTTGATGACAACACCACACCGCTCTCCTGCACCACTGACAAGGGGAAACCACACTGGAAAATCATAATGTTCTGGGCCAACACCGGGAGCGAACCCACAACCTCCAGGTTATCGAGCCAGAGTCTTACTCACTTAGCCACCATGGCTCCAGAATTGATAGTACATGTATTAACACCTACAATAACTCATGCATTATAGAATTCATTTACCTTTACTAGTTTTTGTAATACTTCACATTCTCCATCTTTAGCAAGACCATCTGCTACAAATGCCTTGTTGTCACGGAGATCATTACTAGTCATAGAAACAACTGTTCCTGGAAGATGAATTAATATTTGGTCAAAGTTAAAACCGAACTCGTCTCTCAGGACAAACAACTGTGGTCTGAAGTCAAATTACCTCCCTTAAATAAGCCTGATAGACAGACGTATATTCGTAATTTCTGTTTGGCTCATATCATATTTTTATATCTTTGATTACTGCCACATTTCTTAATCTACATTTAACCTGTTCAGTTAAAGTGGGGGGAGAGACAGAGAGAGACAGAGACAGACAGACAGACAGACAGACAGACAGAGAGGGTTTGTCCAATCCACAGAAACTAGGTCATTTCGGGACTTATATTTGGTTCAATTTTATTTCAATAATTCGCTTGCCTGCATGTAGGGGTCTTTAGCAGTGGTAGGAAACCAGAAGACCCAGAGAAAACCCACGAGGTTGGACAGGCGACCCTACTCCTTGTCATGTACAACCGGGAATCGAAAACAAGCCAGTTGACTCAATGACAGACCTTATGATACAATGCGCACACGCTAACCATTCAGCCACCCACCCGTTTGGCCTGAAGACACATAACACCTCCTTGATCCCCTCCCTCAATTTTTTAAGAATCGGATGTAAAGCCTGTTTATTTCAGATGATATCCTTTCCCCTAATCAAAAGTCTAAATTAAAAATTAAAATATTTACCATTTTTCTTCAATTCTTTTAAAACTTCTTCGCTACTTTTTCTGGCAACTGACGTCTTCTCGTCTTCCATCAACTGAAGCGCGATCAACGTCTGTACATAGTCTTTCTCTTCTTCCTTTTTATTGGTTGTATATTTGATGACAACACCACACCGCATCTCGATGTCAGGTATAGTGACGTTATGATATTCATTGGGTTTCATACCCACCAATCGACCACATCTACTGGAAACATTCCGCTAAAAATACACAACTTAATATATATATATTCGGTCATCTACTGCATTGGTCGAGAAAGTTCATTGGGATTTTCGACGTGGCTTCCCTTTGTCAGTAGTGCAGGACGGAGGGCCTGATAAGGACAGTTGCCTAGTCAATTGGATGGCATAAAAAAACAAGGCCCTGTGTATACACTGGCGTGCACGTAAAAAATCCCTTGGTAGTTCGAATTCGAATTAAGAGTAAGCCATGGTGCTGCTGCCTGGGAAAAATTTCCCTCATAGCACACTGTATGGCGTATGCCCGTTTTCATTAGCCCAGTTATAGCAGAACTGTAGGACGTTAAACCCAATTTCATTTCATTTCTGTCATCTGTTGAATGACATGACATCATTAAACCAGAACGTCAAAGCACTAGCAACAATAATAGCGGATCAAGCAGCTAGAATCACGAAGAAATAGCCATAATAATTATATTTAAACATACATTATACAAGAGCTAAATCTGCCTATTTCAACTCTTTCTTTAGGCCTGAAATGTTATCTAAATTATTAATTAGACATTAATTAACATGAAAAGACTTTAATTAACTCTCAATGCCATCTTATGTGTCAGATTTTCACTGAATTCGAATCCTATCTGCTGTTCAATGCTCATTTACCGATTTTAGTAATGATGATCGTGGGTAGGCCTAAAATTCAACCACCAATATCTCAAATCAGAGTGGAGCAATTTGACTGACATTTTCAGCAAATCCCCTTTACATTATCTAGTTTTCAACTATTATAGTGCGAACTGCCAGCTCTTTATCTTATCTCCCATAATATATCTTTAACAATTTGAGAATAAATACAGATAGGTGACAGTAATTGTATTATATAACGGTATCATTGTACAAGATATGATGAGCTATGTAAGAAGTAAGGGAGATAATCGAGCTAGAATTACAAAAAAATAACAGAAAAAGCATTTTTAATGAGAGTATAGTCTCATTTACACAACTCTCATAAGTGCTAATGACAATCTTAAATGATACTGGATAATCATACATTCGTATTAACAGCATGATGTGATAAATGTCTTGTCTTAAAATTTAGCCGAGTAGTGATCCTTTGAAAAAATAAAACACAAAAATAAAATCCTCCCGGCCTTATCAGATTTTAGGAAGATTGTCTGTGAATCATAATAGTTTTTTTTTGTATGGTCTTATGAATAAATTGGAAAAATATTGTATTATTGTGGGAGATTCAATAACGAATTGCCAGTTCTCACTATAATAGTTAAAAACAAGATAATGTAAAGGCAGTTTGCTAAAAATTTCATTCAAATAGTGAAATTTCCGCCCAGCCTTGATCGTTATTACTAAAGTCAATATGATAAACAGCATAGTCTCGATTATCCATTTAATCGTTAAATCGCGAAGGGAAGTTATGCAGTAAATCGGCTCATAATCCAGTAAAGATCGAAGGCTAGCGATACCATCAAGAGTTGATTATGGTCTGGATAAGTTAATTAATGTCTAATTAATAATTTAGATAACATTTCAGACCTAAAGAGAGACCTGCAATAGACAGATTTAGCTCTTGAATAATGTATCTTTAACTGTATCCTTGTATTATATGATGAGATCTATAAATATTTGCATTATATGATGAAATGAAATGTGGTTTAACGTCCTACTGTTCTTCTCCTAACCTGGGCTAATGAAGACAGACATACGTCATATAGTGTGCTATGAAGGAAATTTTGCCCGGGTAGCGGCGCTACGGCCTACTCTTATATTGAATTCCAACTGCCAAGGGATCTTTTAAGTGCACGCCAATGTGTACATGGGACCTCGGTTTTTCGTCCCATCCGAACGACTAGACAGCTGTCCTTGTCAGGCCCTCCATCCTGCATTACTGACAAGGGGAAACCAAGCCGGAAAATCAGAATGAACTTTCTCGGCCAATGCAGCATTATATGATAAGATCTATACGTGATATATATTAATACATAACAACTTACAGATGGTGTTTTATTCTGGTTGAGAAAATATAAATCAGCCGTGTTGTTCAGATCTTTCAGATATAATACAGACCTGAAAATATAATACCTTACATCAAATAGATTCTTAATATTATCATCACTATGGTCAAGCCTGGAAATAAGGCACCTGTCACAGACAATGTCAGGCACAGATTCAGGATTTGTCAGGCACTAAAACCTCTGGTGCCTGTCATTTTGTCCGGCATTGATTTGTCTTTTTTAATGATATTATCAATACATGTCCGGCACCAAGTTGAAAATGTCAGGTACTATTTCATTAGTGCCTGACATTTTGTCAGTTACATGTAAAACCGTTATTTCCAGGCCTGACTATGATCGTATGTGGCTTATTTTGTGAAATTCACTGTTTTGTTTCTTCAGAATGGGAATTTTTTTGTAAATCTTTTTATCTAGTTCTCATATTTCTAAGACAATAAAAAGGGGTTTTATAGACATTGTTTCAAAATGTTGTATATGGAGCGTTCCAAGTGAAAGTGTTGTATTTCCTTAATTTTTGTCCTACCTAAAGCATTACAATCAAACCAATGCAGCCAGTGTTGTTTAATAGTTAGCAATTACGTGTTATTGAAATTAACGTCAAGCCTCTATTGTGTGAAATCTATGAAATTGAATGCGGTAAAGATACATCATTGCTGTATATAATTGCAAATTACAAGCTTTCACTCTTATTTCTGCACTAGATGTTTAGTCTGTTATGTGTGGATAGCTACACATGTACATCTTTTACAGAAATACTTGAGAAAATCTTTAGAAATACGTCATTTTATGTACAAAATTTCTAGTCACGTTTCTATACAACAATTTGATTTGTAACCCCTATTCTGGACCTCGTAAACAACAGTGAACATCTCTTGTCTCGCTCCTTTTACATGGGTTCGTTCATCTGTCCCTTTCTGATCGGTCCCTCTGTCACATCTTTTAGAAAACAATAACTCTGCTTCTAAATTGTGGCATAATTTTGTCTCAAGACACTTTCTAGTGATAAGAGTATATACCAACTTAACAGAGCTTAGCTCGTTAATAGTGTACTTTTATTTTTTTATAACTTAAGGGGTGAGCTCGAGGCTACCTGAAAATTGTGTTCTGAAAATTTAAAGTTATTGAATTGAAAACGACACAAGTAGTTAGGAAATGTAATACACAATAGAAAAGTAACGTTAAAAAAAAATTTAAAAAAATTGTTGCTAGCACAAATTTTTTGGGAAAAAGTATGAAAATTGTTGGTACACTATATCTCTGGCACTAATAAAGATAAATGTCTCATTTTCAGACTGCTTATTCTTTAATGATAACCCTAAAATCAGACGGGGAGTTTTTCTCTATAATTTTCATAGTTTCTTGGAAAATGGTGTTTAAAACATTTGCCTTACCACAATATTTTGTCTTTTGAGAAATATTTTGATAACTTTTGAGAAATATTTTGATAACTTTTGATTCACGGTTAGATATTTGTTTATATATCACACAAATTTGGTGTAAATATCTTAATTAGTTACAAAGATATAGTGTACCAATGCTTTTCATAATTTTTCCCCCGTAAATAAGAGTTACCCTGGCAACAACATATTTTTAAAGTTACCTTTCCCTTGTTTATTACATTTCCTAACTACTTGTACCATTTTCAATTCAATACCTTTAACAATTCAGAACAAAAATTTTCGGGTAGCCTCCCCTTAATTACCTAAATCCGTTAAGTAAATTAAGCAATCATTATACATATTAAAGTTAATTGCGCTATTTCTTTGTATTTTGGTGTTTCGTTTGCAAATTTAAACCTATCTGGAAATCTGTGATTGTTTCCTCCCTTAACATATTATTAAATTTCTTACATGTATCCATTTTCATCATCGGTGGGTAATTGTGAAATATCTTCTAAACAAGATCCATCCTCTTGAGGTAAACATCGTTTATTATACTGGGACTCTATAAAACATAAATAGAATTTAATACGCATGCGGGAGGACATCATCACACACAAACAAACAGAAATAGGAAGGAGGACAGCACCACACACAAACACACAAAAATAGGATTTAATAATCATGCAATCCACTCAAACAAATGGAAACCCTAATCGTTTGAATGGGATGAAAAAGCAAGGTCCTGTGTACTCATTGGCGTGCATGTAACAGAACCCTTGTCAGATGGGATTTGATAAAAGATTAATAGTACCGCTGTCCAGGTAAAATTTCCCCATACCTCACTGTAGCCTCTTATCACATTCATAAGCCAATTGTTGATGATTGACAACAAAATATGCCCCCCCACCCCACGAAAAAAATATAGCAATATTTACCTTTGCTGAGTCCCCAACATACGATGGAAGTCTTTTTAAAATACAGAGCTGTTAAATTATAATATTTCTGCATGTAATGTCGACTAAGTTCTGACGATCGTAACAATAATCTTAATGATAACTCCAACTCATCTTCTTTACTGCCGACTTTCTATAGAAAATATAAATAAAGATAGGTTGCCATGCAAGACAGGCCCACATTTTGCCAGTTGACAGAAGACAAGCTAAGAAAAAAAAAAATTTTTTCATACAATCAGGGCCCATAATCTAGGATGCTACGGTCTACAATGTATCAATATCGAAAGATACCAAGATCTCTGTGATATAAACCTATATTACAAGTTTTATCAAAATGGGATAAAAATTGAGAATTCTAGAGTGTCCATAACCTTGGTATTACATGCTTATAGAGAAAAACAATGTTTTCATTTTTGAAACCAACCAAAAATGTAGCTCTGTAGATCTCAAAGCCCGTCTTAGTTGCATAACTAGTTGATTGGCCTTGAATCGTTCACTGCTATTAACATGACTTGAGTGGTTGAAGGACTATAACATCTTAATGTTAAGAATCACAGACTTAAGTTAAGAATTTACTCAACTTTTCATCACTGTTTATAAGAAATATTTTTGATCCATAAACACAAAACTTTGCACATAGTTCCTTTTTGATGTATATGATACATATAAAAGTTTTATAAAGGACTATATTTTAGTTAAAATAAGGTGAACAATTTTTGAGTAAATTCTTAACTTAAAGTCTCTTAGTCTCTAACTCAATATCATCCAAAATCTTCAACATTGAAAACACGAATTATTTGTCATTTTAAATTAACATTGATGCTGTGATCTGACCGGAAATAGATGGGCTTCTGATATCCAATATATAGGACAAAATAAACATTTTACCATTGGTACACGAATTGTGTACCATAATGCGTTTCAGCCCCAGTTGTAACAAGAGACTCGAGGAACGAGGCTAGAGACATTGCACCAAATCAAATGGCGTCGCCATATTCTTATCTGGAGACCATGCGCAATAAATACAATGTAGACTGGAATAACCAGATGCTAGAAATTTGCATTTTGCCGTACATAACTGATTTGAAATTAGAGTAAAAATGGAAACCATTGAATGTAAATCAGTTTATATACATTCATACTAAGTATTATATGCGTTGAGATCCAATTGTGTCAATTTCTAGGTCCCAAATGTTACTGATTTAGCTCCTTTAAGTCTGAGAATGCTTTGTGAAATCTTGAGCTTCAACCTGGATTAAATTTGCCTTTCTCTGATTCAGTCCATGAAAAAATCAACCCTTGATAGAGAAACTGAGATCAACTATTGTTGATAGACAGGGACCTACAACATGTTAATACGGCTGTGGGCCTAGGGCAACAGTATATCTAAACAATATCTATTTACAGAAACTGTATTGGAGAACAGGCAGAATCCTATAGACCTCCTGTCCAGGGACCTGTTTCAGGAAATTTTTACTAAGATAAAATCCAGATTTTAGTAATTTGATTGGATAATATTAGATTGATTTTAGTGCTTAGCCAATCAAAGTTGAAGTATCTGCTAAATTTGTATTCTATCTTTAGTTAAGATTTCGAGAAACAGGTCCCAGGCACTCCACAGGAACCACTCCTGACCGGGTTTGACAAATCCAGAATTTTATTTGAGACCTAGATTCGAACCCATCCTAGAGTCTAGTACCACTGTGACCGATCACCTTCCGCGTCAGTCTTCTGCTGTTCATACTAAACTGACACTATCTACAATTAGCGTCGATTGACAACATCCACTAAGATTGGAGCACAGACAGAAGCCTATAGACTCCCTGTCCAGGGTTACAGTATCAACTTACATCAAATATATCCCTTATTGAGATTATTCTTGATCCATTTTCGTTGTCATAATAATCCTAAAATATAATATATTATAATAATTTATCAAGTAGTTACCTTAAAACAATTCATGGAATTATATCTGGGATTTCTTCTTATTTGAAATAAATGGGGTGTAAGTCCAACTTTCCTGCATCAATTGGGTGTATGAAGGAAATTTTGTCTGGACAACGGTGCTACAACCTACTCTTATTCCAACTGTACATAGGCTGTTAACCTGAATCCTCTGACACGGGGGGAAACTCCACTGAAAAATTCTGCAGAACTTTCTTGACCAACACAGGGATTGAACACAGGGTCTCCTGGTTAGAGAAATGGGGTTTAACATCCACTTGACACAAATTAGGTCATTTCGGGATTAACATATGGTTCAATTTTAATTCATTAATTCACTTGCGCATAGGTGTCTCTAGCAGTGCATGTGCTAACCATTTGGCCATACAAAATAAAGTAAAGAAAAAATAAAATGACAGTACAATCTATTTTAAATCCACTGTCTAAATTTGACGCAAAAGATAAAGAGAGAAATGGGGTTTAACATCCACTCAACACAAATTAGGTCATTTCGGGACTAACATATGGTACAATTATATTTTGATAATTAATTCGCTTGTGAGTAGGGGTCTTTAGCAGTGGATGGAAACCAGTGATGGGATTTCAAAAAATTTATGTCGGACATTTTTTCCCGAAAATAAAGGGGCATAACTCTTACCGTAATTTAAGCAGACGTTTTCAAAAACACAATTAAGAATCACGTGTCAACAAAATATATTCAAATTCATATGTAAAAAAAAATAGGTGCACCTCGTTATATTTCATGTTTAAAACCCGCACGGTATTCAAATTTATGTCAATAATATTCCTACAAAATTACATGACATCGTAATACTATAGAATTGGCAGCGTGCCGACTGCTGCCGATTTGTTTCAAACTCCCCCAAAATTACCGTATTTTTCGGGTCATACGTCGGTACAATTTTCAGCAAAGTCCAACTTTCGTCTGATACTCCGTTTCGATTTATATACGGAAGATAAAAAAAATGACATCCCGAAATTTATTTGGCCGTATACCGTAGTTAACGACGCTCTAATGAGCGAGTGACACCAACTGCTAAATAATTGCATTCGACTGTAGCACGCGCTATCGTCTAAAACAATTAACTACTTACGTCATTCCAATCGAAATATTCGTCAACATTTCTTAGCGTGTTTATTTATTTATTTAAAGACATAAACCCCCTTCAAAATATGATCATAAATCCGACAATATGCCATCAAAATAGAATCTTTTCTCGGACATCAGGCGTATTGAATTCAGCACGTATACATCTCTTAATTTCACGTGTCTCGCGAGATTTATACTTTCATTTTAATTACTGAACTCTAAGCGCCATGTGTGTGAAATATCTTTATTTAACTTCGGCTTCCACCGAAAATATATCACAGACAAGTTATCGGATACAATGTATGTTGATTTGAGGTGTTATATACTATCATGATATGTGACATATATGACTAATTTCTACGTGTTATTGTCCGACACAAAGGAGATTAAAACGTGAGACAATGGTCTGGAGAAATCACGGGTTAATCCGATTAAGTTTATAATCACTCTTATTGGATTGATATATCGCCCGACAAAGGAGAAGCAATGACTTCTGTTAAGGATTGATTTGATGAATTGTCCGATAAAGAATTAAGTCAGCTAATCAAGGCAGAATAGTAGTTAATCAAGGTAGGTGTGTAAGACGATATAACACGATAAATAGTCGATCACTTAATTACCTAATCAATCCAGCCTATTATCAACGATAATCGGGTTACACGGTAGTTATACACTCAGTATACTATATTAATTTTGGAATTTGAATATTATTCACCATGTCTTGATGTCCGATTGGGCATATTCCCGGTCGGACAATTTTGGGCGTTTCGAAAAAAGATTCGGACAAGTCCGGAATATACGGCTAAAATCCCATCACTGATGGAAACCCACAAGGTTACACATGTAAAATTTTGAAACCAACCTCAATCATATAACTTAATTCTGTACATTGTTCATCTTTTAAAAATCCTTCAGAGGCAAATCTCTTCGTACCATTTAAATGATTTCCATTGGCTATAATTTTCAGGCCTACATCTTCATATCTATGCATATAATGTTCAAATGGTGGTTTATACGATTCATCACTTTCTTCTTCTCTTCCATACTACAAAAAATATCATCATTTCAAATAAAAAGAGAAAAAGGGGTTTAACATCCACTCGACACAAGCTAGGTCATTTTGGTACTAACATATGGTTCAATTTTATTTCAATTATTCGCTTGCCCATAGGGGTCTTTGGCAAAGGAAGGGGAACCATAGGACCGGGAGAAAACCCACTAGGTTGGATAGGTGACCCTACTCTTTGTCACGTACAAGCAGAGATTCGAAATAACATCACTTGAATCAATGGGCCTAATGATTTCACGTACAAGCATTAAACCCAAATTTAAAATAAACAGAGCTACATCACGTGATCTGAACACTGTCTTCTAAAAATATTCCAGATAGCAATGTTTTATTGTACAGGATACAAAAAATATAACAATTTAAAATAAATAAAGCTGAATTAGTTCAAACATTCAAATCAAAAACATGGCACAAAATAAAGTAATTTGACTGAAATTTTCAATATATTCATTTTGCATTATCTATTTTTGAACTAGTATAGCAAGAACGGACAGCTCTTTATCTAAATCTTACATATATATATACATGTATATATATATATATATATATGTATATATATATATAACAGTATGTAAAAGAACATATCATAGGAAGCATAAACAAAAAGCCATGCTTAATTCTAACGATGCACAATCAACAACTAGGACTCCATCGTCAATAGCAACATGTCATAAAACAGGATTCTATCATCAATAGCAACATGTCATATAAACGCTACAGGATTTTATCGTCAATAGCAACATGTTATACAAACAGGATTCTATTGTCAATAGCTACATTTCATATAAACAGGATTCTATCGTCAATAGCAACATGTTATAAAAACAGGATTCTATCGTCAATAGCAACATATCATATAAACAGGATTCTATCGTCAATAGCAACATGTTTTAAAAACAGGATTCTATCGTCAATAGCAACATGTTATATAAACAGGCTTGGAAAGAATATATTCTAGTAATCTGACAACTTTAAGGCCTTGAAAGAATACATTCTAATAATCTTACAAACATCTTGGTCTGGAAGTAATATATTCCATGGTATAGTTATCTGACATTAGGCATGTCTCAAAAGTAAATAAGCCTAGTGAATATGAGACTAATGAATAAATATTTGGCCATGCCTATAATTACATTACCATATCATCCATGCTGTCATCATGCACAGAACTCACTTCACTGTAGTCAGTGGTTACCAGATGTTTATCAGAATACTCAATTATTTTCCTCATCTCCTCTCTTCTCTTCACATATTCTACAACTTCCTGAAAATTTACCAAATGTATTTGAGACAGTATTAACATATTTTGGTCATGATTCTTTGTGCGACAGGAATAAATATTAGAATCCATGGTTACACAACGATGCTTCATATTTCGTAAATGAAATGAAATGGGGTTTAATGTCCTACCGTTCTGCTCCGAACTGGGCTAATGAAGAAGGGCATATGCCATACAGTGTGCTATGAGGGAAATTTTGACCGGACAGCGGCACTACGGCCTACTCATATATCGAATTCAAACTGTCAAGAAATCTTTTACGTGCACACCAATGTGTACATGGGACCTCGATTTTTCGTCTCATCCAAACAACTAGACAGTTGTCCCTGTCAGACCCTTGGACCTGCACCACTGACAATTCTGATGAACTTTCTTGGTCAACACCGGAAGCAAACCTGCGACCTCCAGACTAGCTAGCCAGCGTCTTACCCACTTAAGCCACTGTGGCTCCCCGTTTATATTTCAAGGCCCCTGGCTGACTAACCTGAAGGTTCAGGGTTCCATCATAGTGTTGACTGCAAAAGTTCCTTGGGATTTTTAGCGATGCAGGACGGGGTGTCTGGCAACGACGGTGCCTATTCATTTGGATAGAACGAAAAACTAAAGATCTGTGCACACATTGGCATGGATACAAAAGAACCCTTGACTGCAGTTCCATGGAATTTAATTGCAGAATAATATGACGTTAAAGCTCATTTCATTCATACATTCACGGAAGCCAAGTCGAAGCTAAAGCCAAATAACTCTAACAAAATGTGTCTTGTACACCAAAAAAACGGAAACAATTTACATGTAAAGGTACTTAGGAGTTAACCTCATTAGTGCTACACAATATACGTTTTGTTCATCCAAAAAAAGGAGGAAAAACACAGAAACCTACCCACACGTCTAGGCTTGTGCGTTTCTTACATGTCTAGGTTACCATGGAAACAAACTTACATGTCTAGGTTGCCATGGAAACAAACTTACAGGTCTAGGTTACCATGGAATCATACTAACAGGTCTAGGTCACCATGGAAACAAACTTACATGTCTAGGTTACCATGGAATCATACTTACAGGTCTAGGTCACCATGGAATCATACTTACAGGTCTAGGTCACCATGGAAACATACTTACAGGTCTAGGTCACTATGGAAACATACTTACAGGTCTAGGTTTGTGCGTATCTTCATAACCCTCGCTAATAAAATATTCTTTATTTTTCATCATAACCTTATCTTCTGGTTTAAATGCGAGGAACGAGGCTGCTGCTTCGGAGGCCTTATCAGCCTGTAGTACTGTTAGAAAAAAATCAGAGTTGATTCAAGGTTTACAACTTACAGATTAATCTGGACATACAGCCACACAAAAATGGTAATTAATATTTTCAACATCCTTATACAGAAAGTTATAGCACACTGTAGGCAAGTGAAGATCAGTTGAAACGTGGCTGTTATTCCATATACATGTACATGTAATTAATTAGTTATTATTATTTTTTCATGCTTGCCAATTACTAAAGGTCATTTAAACAACAAATTTCACATACTTTTATAATATTACATTATAATATGCGTAATGGAGATATTGTTACATACTTTTATAATATTACATTATAATATGAAATGGGTTTAACAACCTACTGTTCTGCTCCTAAACTGGGCTAATGAAGACGGGCATACGCCATACAGTGTGATATGAGGGAAATTTTGCCCAGGCAGCGGCACTATCGCCTACTCTTATATCGAATTCCAACTACCAAGGGATCTTCTACGTGCATTCCAATGTATACACGGGACTTGGTTTTTCGTCTCATCCAAAGGACTAGATAGCTGTCCTTGTCAGGCCCTCCATCTGCACCACTGACAAGAGGAAACCACGTCTAAAAAAACCTGATGCACTTTCTCAACCAATGCATAGGGATCGAAAAACCAGACCTCCAGGGTAGCGAGCCAGCGTTTTACCCACTTAGCCACCGTGGCTCCAGAAATAATAATATGCTTAATGGAGATAATGTTACATACTTTTATAATAGGTATATTGTAGATAATGATAATGTTCTGGTAAGAGATCTTCTATATCTTCTGGGAAAACAGAACTTAATTCATCTTCACAATTATACTGACATTTAATCATTGATACATAATGTTCTGAAAAATACAAAATAGAATTTATGTCCATGAAATATGACAAAACCAAGAACAGGCTGCTAGTCCACAAAGCATTTTCAGATTTAAGTTAAGAATTTACTCAACTTTCAATCACTGTTTATGAGAAACACGAAACTTTGAACATGGTTTTTTATTGGTGTATTTGATACATTAAAACAACAAAAGTTTTATAAGGGGCTACATTTTAGTTAGAATAAGGCGAACAATTCTGAGTTTATGAGAATGTTTTGTGACCTTGGGACCTGGAGTATTATTTGGATTCTGCTGAAGTACATGTATTTAACTATAGGTTATAATAGGTGAAACAAGCCAACAGGGAGGCTGATGTCCCCGGCTAAAATCTCAAAATAAGTAGATGACATAGACTAATTAATTGCACATTTATCTTTTTGAAAAGTATCGAGCAATCAGACTGATTATCTATAATTAGTCTCAGCAGTAAATATTCACGATTTTGGATTATATCAGACAACTGGCATGGTTTCGAATCTGCGGTTGTATGTGACAAGGAGTAAGGACGCCTGTCCAGCCTCGTAGGTTTTCGCCGGATCGTCCAGTTTCCTCCCACTGATAAAGACCCCTACGCAGAAGCGAATTATTGAAATAAAATTAAACCATGTTAGTCCCGAAATGACCTAGTCTGTGTCAGTGAAGGTTAAACCCCATTCATCTTTCTCTCTTTCTCTCTCTCTCTCTCTCTCTCTCTCTTCTCTCTCTTGGAATATACCAAGTACACATTGAAGAGAATATTAAAACAATGGGGTTAAACAAGGTAATGAAAACCAGCATACATCTAACAGTGTGCCGTTGGGGGAAATTTTGCCCTTGCAGCACCACTGTAATATGGAAAAGATATGAAATGGTTTATACAGTCAACTTAATTTGATTTCAATTATAAATTATCACTTGACTCAATGACAGATCTTGTGATTTCACGTTCATGTAATACAAATAGGTTCATAACAAAACACAACACAAGGTATAGAATGGATATAACTGTTACTACTTCTCCCTTTTCATGTTAACTTGAAAACGTGACCTGTATGTGTTACGAAACATGGTTATTACATAATAGAGAAGTAGTTATATCCATATATTACGAAACGTGGTTATTAAATAATAGAGAAGTATTTATATCCATATATTACGAAACGTGGTTATTAAATAATAGAGAAGTATTTATATCCATATATTACGAAACGTGGTTATTAAATAATAGAGAAGTATTTATATCCATATATTATGAAACGTGGTTATTAAATAATAGAGAAGTAGTTATATCCATATATTACGAAACATGGTTATTAAATAATAGAGAAGTAGTTATATCCATATATTACGAAACGTCGTTATTAAATAATAGAGAAGTAGTTATATCCATATATTACGAAACATGGTTATTAAATAATAGAGAAGTAGTTATATCCATATATTACGAAACGTCGTTATTAAATAATAGAGAAGTAGTTATATCCATATATTACGAAACGTCGTTATTAAATAATAGAGAAGTAGTTATATCCATATATTACGAAACGTCGTTATTAAATAATAGAGAAGTAGTTATATCCATATATTACGAAACGTCGTTATTAAATAATAGAGAAGAAGTTATATCCATATATACCTTGTGTTGTGTTTTGTTATGAATAGTTAACCGTGCATCTAGATGTCATTAAAAGAATTGATACAAATAGGTTATTACAAAATTATTTAAATAATTTCCTTGTGAAATAGTTTTATTGGAAATCGACTGAAAGCGTGTTTAACGTCCTACTGCGCTGGGTTAAAGAAGACAGGTGTTTTATTAGAAGATGGAGGAAACTGGAAAATATCCACAATCCTTGTCTCAAACAATCGACAATCATGGAAATTATTTTTCCTTTTATTTCAAATGAAAATGAAATGAAATGGGGTTTAACATCCTACTTTTATGCTCCGAAATGGGATAATGAAGATGGGCATATACCATCCAAACGACTAGACAGCTGTCCTTGTCTGGACCTCCGTCCTGCACCAATGACAAGGAGAAACCAGGTTGAAAAATTCTGATGAACTTTTTCGGCCAATGCAGGGATCCAACACCCGACCTCCAGGCTAGCGAGCCATTATTTCAAATGACTACATTTAACTATTTGTAGACAACATACCCGATCAGAGATCTTATTGACTCCACTTAGTGACTTACCTATGTGTAGACAACCAAACCCGATCCAGGGATGTTAATGGATTAAGAAACCTGGCCTGACATGTTGACAACTTACCTGCCATTGAACTAACAAATTCTAGCGGTGCTGAAGTCAGAAGAGGTCCTTCACACTCCGCTCGACATCTCTCCTCCTCTTTATAGAACTCTAATAACGCTTTCTCTATTTCTTCCACTACTTCCTCCCATAACTCATCTTCATACGCCATCATCGCTCGAATATAATGTTCCTATAATAACAGACGAAATAATCATAGTTCAAATATAATGTTCCTACACTAAATACTAATTGTAGCACCATGAGCCTTCTGTCTGACGTGGAGAGCGTCTATGGGAAACCGGTCGCCACATCCTACATACGACCCATGCATCTTTTCTTACTACATATTTCTGTAGCCTTGTGATCGTCTAGAATTTGTCTCTAGCTGTCTTTACTTCTGCTTCACGTTGTGTATTTACTTCTTACAGTTTCTTAAGACGTCTGTCTTACCAGGAATAACAATGCGACAGTTTGCTTCTACATATTTTATATATATATATATAGCTGAATACAGGTATACAAGCATAATCGATAACAATACAAGCTAAAACCATCTCTCTACCCTAGCCAGCCTCGCGGCTGTCTAGGATCTCAGATGTAAGCCCTCTGGAACCTAATAGAAGTCTGACTTACAGGGTTCCCCGGTTTCTTTTAAAGGTAAATGAATATCATGCACCATAAAGCGTGATCATGGCCCTGAACTTGTGTAATTAACAAAATGATTGGTTACTTTAAATCAAATGATGCAATTAGAATAATTCCACTCACGTGTAATTCTGGTGGTAAATGAGTGACATATGTTTTCGATAAATAACTCTTTTTTATGTGTCAACTGTCAATTACAGACTAAGTTGATTTAGTGCACACTATATATGTGAATATGTTTGAAATTACTAACTTGCCAAAGATATTAATTAATGAAATATAAAGGCATCTTATTTCAAGAGCAAAAATTCTAGCAATATTATTACATAATGAAATGGTGTTTAAAATCATACTGTTCAGCTCCGACTGGGTTAATGAAATGGTGTTAGCATCCTACTGTTCAGCTCCGACTGCGCAAACGAAATGGTGTTTAACATCCTACTGTTCTGCTCCGACTGCGCAAACGAAATGGAGTTTAATGTCCTACTGTTCTGCTCCAACTCGGCTAATGAAATGGTGTTAGTATCCTACTGTTCTGCTCCGATTTGGCTAATGAAATGGTGTTTAACATCCTACTGTTCTGCTCCGACTCGGCTAATGAAATGGAGTTTAATGTCCTACTGTTCTGCTCCTATACTGGGCTAATGAAGACGGACATAAGCCATACAGTGTGCTATGAGGGAAATTTTGCCTGGGCAGCGGCACTATGGCCTACTCTTATGCAAAGGGATCTTTTACAATGCATACAATGTGCCAATGTATACACGGGACCTCAATTTTTTGTCCCATCCAAATGACTAGACAGCTGCCTTTGTCAGGCCTTCTGTCCTGCACCACTGAAAATGAGAAACCACACCGGAAACACTAAACACAGGAGAGAGAGAGAAAGGGATAGGGTTTAACATCCACTTGACACAAACCAGGACATTTCGGGACTAACACATGGTTCAATTTTATTACAATAATTTGCTTCTGCGTAGGGCTCTTTAGCAGTGGGAGGAAACTGGTGAATCCCATATAACCGGGGAATCAAAACCATGCCAGTTGACTCAATGACAGACCTTATAACACAACGTGCACACGCTAATCATTCGGACATTCCCCCCCCCCCCCCCCCCCCGCCCACTAAATACAAGTAAATATAGTAATTGGTAAGGGCAATGTTTTCTTAACAATTTTGTGACCATCTTTTGCCTTGTTTGCAATTTCTCTTTGATTTCCAATTGTTTTTATCATTGAGTATTATATGATTCACTTTAACCCAGGTATCATTTAATCTTGTGTATCTAGCACTAATTTCTTTCACATTCGTTTAATATCAAATCTTTGTTTAAAACTCTATAAAAAATATCATTAAAAATCAACCAAAATCATCTAATTTATACTTATTTTGATAATGAGTGTCCAATTTACAAGTATTTAATTTCCTGCCCACTGTTTAAACATTAATCATTATACATCAATAATCAGTTGGGTTGTTTATTTTGTTTAACTGTGATCGAGAAATTAAACTGGACAATTGGACACCAGGCCCCACGCTGTCGGTCGCCAAAGTCGCAATTTGCGATAAAAATATGAAAGTGGCGATTAAAGTTTGATTTTGGCGATAATTTTGGCCATAATGTTTTGCGGTACTGGCGATTCTTTTTCAGAACTTGCGGAAAAAAATCTTAAAATTCTAATCGTATTTATCCTGGATTAACCATTAATTGAGTGTCAATCACGTGGCGGAATACTATAAATTAATCAACTGGCTGATAATCGGGATTGCGTCAATGATACTAATCAGTTGTCTTGGATTAATAATTAGTTGATTGATAATTGCTAATGATGTACATGTATATAAAGCCTATAAATATTTTAATGGACTGCAGAAAATAAATGATTTTAAAAACCAAAGTTGTGATCTGTATCAAAGGACTTTTTAACTAACTTTTATTATATGTGATCTAGGTGTTAAAGGATTTTTTCACTAACTTTTATTAAATGGAAATAACCACACGGATATTTTTATTTGTAAATACTCCACGGATCTAGCTATGTGGTTTTTACTGAGAGAACTTCGCTTTTCCACATTAAACAGCGGATTCTTTTTCCCACGGGGTTTTTTCAATCCACCAAGCTGGATCTCCTATTTTAACTTGTTTTCATTATGACAAAGTGAGAAGATGACCCGCCCTCTCTTCCCACGACAACGATTTCAAAACCGTGTTTAAAACCGTGTTTTAAAGTGATTTTTAGATATACAAGAACTTTTTATTTTTTTAAATCTGTTTCAAAGTGACTTTTAGATATAATATACAAGAACTTTTTATTATTTAGTGTTTTTACCTATCTTCTATATTTTACTCATTCAGATGTAAATAACTTAATTAATATCATGCATTATGTATTGGATGTTAAATTTGTAATAAACAACAACAACATAATTATTTACTCCTAATGATTAATCCAAGCGATGATTATTTGATGTTTCGTTTCGTCTTAAAATAAATGCTAATACATGTAATCAAAATGGCCGACAATTCCTTTCGAAGAGAATGAAATAGTTTGATAGTTGAACTGTGGCTTCATATATGGCACATAAGGTATACAAGTATGCCGATCGGATATCATTATTTCAAATTATATGATCACCACTGGTCGAAAACATAAGAAAGAGTTGAATAGCGACGATTCTTGAGCGAGAAATCATTTCGCCATATGTACATGTATCATATTAGCGTCGCCAAAATGCTCTAAAGGTGAACGACGGGTATAATATAATTGTAAGCAGCTCTTACAAATATAATTGAAATTTGTATCATTTTATCAGGGATTCTGATTCTGATACCTTTACGGTACCTGAAAATAACTATAGGCCTATTGTACACACAACACATAAATTTATAGAAAATTGGCAATCCTTGAATGAGATCTGACGTGTAAATACTGAAATATATTGTGCAATACGGTGTTCAAATAGACTAAAATCACCCCCCCAAAAAAAGGATCTTATTAAATCCAAACTGTGCTAATGTATTATGTACAAACAGATTTTTAAAGTTGTTGTATATTGTATTGTATATATCGGTATTGTTTTAGAATATATATAAGCCTAGCTGAGACATAAAATGTTAGATGATTTCTTTTTTATCACACATTTTTGGCAGATAAAATATTCCAGTTGGCGGAAAAAATATGAAAATTTTTTTATATAAAAATTATCATCCATTTTGGCGGAAAAAAATTGAAAGCCAGTGTGAGCCCTGTTGGACACTCATTATCAAAATTGAATGGTCAGCGTTAAACTGGACACAAGTACAAATTAGATCATTTTTGGTGATTTTAAATCATTTTTATGAATTTTTAAATAAAGATTTGATAAAAAATGAATGTGAAAGAAATTAGTGCTAGATACACAAAATTAAATGATACCCGGATTACAGTCTTATTCAGCATTTGTCATTTTAATAAATGGCCTATTTCTAGTCACATCTCGTTGGTCCTTTAGGCAAATCAAGCCCTCATGAGTGAGTGAATCGCAAAAATAATCACCTGGGTGAATGAAATGCTACCGGCACTTAAACAGACTTAAACAACTTACCTGTAAGCCAATTAACACGCCCTGTTAAGTATATAGCTTTATTATCTCAAAACCTTTCAAATATATATGAAGAGTCCAGGGGAAGAACGATCTACATGTAAGACATATAAAAGGCAAAACAGACTTTTGGTCGAGAATACGTGAACAGAACAACAAATGGATTTAATAACAACTTCAAAATGATGTTTAATATGAATCAGAATTACCAGTACAACAACTGACTTCCACTTTTCAGCCAAATTAAGGTCAAATAAAGGGTAGATGGGTGTATTTCCACAGAAAGCTTATACAATTTGCTACCAGATGGTGCCATTTATTGGGGTTCGTTGAAAAAGTGACTTAGATCGTTCTTCCCCAGACAGGGCTCTTCATATAGAAAATTGGGATAGTTCTAAGTTCTAAAAATACTTTGGAAAACATCTTGCTAAATAAAATACCTCAAAAATTGACAGACTTGCAAAAGTTTGAAGCAAAATCCCAGTGCAATAAACCAAAGTAATAACCTACCTTATATGGGCGTAACTCCAGATCAATGAATTCTGTATCTCGAACGCCAGCGTTTTCACGATAAAATTTAATGTTACTGATGGCATCGTTATTATCGGAGTTAACCACATAATATGTATACGCTGCCGATGCGGCATTCGTCACTTTATTCAACTGAAATAAAGAAATATATAATATCAAATTAGATTAGAAATCTATGAGTGGCGAGTAGCCGTCCCAGACTCATCAGACGTAAGTGAGATTCTGGGTTCGGTTTCTCGTTTGAGGTGCCCAGAATTATGAAATTCTTAGCTGGTAAGGTTACTCCACAGTAAGAGTGAAATTTTTAGCTGGTAAGGTTACTCCGCAGTGAGAGTGAAATTTTTAGCTGGTAATGTTACTCCGCAGTGAGAGTGAAATTCTTAGCTGGTAAGTGGGTAAGGCGCTGGCTCGCTAGCCTGGAGGTCGGGTGTTCGATCCCTGCATTGGCCGAGAAAGTTCATCCAGATTTCCCGGCGTGGTTCCCCCTTGTCAGTGATGCAGGACGGAGGGGCTGACAAGGACAGCTGTCTAGTCATTTGGATGATACGAAAAACCGAGGTCCCGTGTACACATTGGCGTGCACGTAAAAGATCCCTTGACAGTTGGAATTCGATATAAGAGTAGGCTGTAGTGCCGCTGTCCGGGCAAAATTACCCGCATAGCACACTGTATGGCGTATGCCCGTCTTCATTAGCCCAGTTCGGAGCAAAACAGTAGGACGTTAAACCCCATTTCATTTCATTTCATTTCGTTACTCCGCAGTGAGAGTGAAATTCTTAGCTGGTAATGTTACTCCGCAGTGAGAGTGAAATTCTTAGCTGGTAAGGTTACTCCACAGTGAGATTGAAATTCTTAGCTGGTAAGGTTACTCCACAGTGAGATTGAAATTCTTAGCTGGTAAGGTTACTCCGCAGTGAGATTGAAATTCTTAGCTGGTAAGGTTACTCCGCAGTGAGAGTGAAATTCTTAGCTGGTAAGGTTACTCCGCAGTTAGAGTGAAATTCTTAGTGAGAGTAAATAAAATTAGAAATCTATGAGTGGCGAGTAGTCGTCCTAGATTTCTCTCATGAAGCGACTAGTTTCGTTCAGTTTGAACTCATCAGGCTTAAGTGAGATTGGATGTTCCTTTCATATAGACTAGTTTGATTCAGTTCAAACTCATCAGGCTTAAGTGCGATTGGATGTTCCTTTCATATAGACTAGTTTGATTCAGTTCAAACTCATCAGGCTTAAGTGAGATTGGATGTTCCTTTCATATAGACTAGTTTGATTCAGTTCAAACTCATCAGGCTTAAGTGAGATTGTGTGGATGTTCCCTTTATATACATGTAGTCTTTCACGTAAAAACTATTTTCACCTCACCTAAACGAAATTTGATTGTTAATATAACGGATTATGATCCCACTATTGTTCCATTTAGTAAGCCCTCCCAAGATAAATGGCATCTATTATCCTATTCGGAAATAGCCCATGCCGTACACTCTCCAAAAAAAAAGATGAAAGCCAATCACATCACAAACTAGGTCATACCGGGACTAACATATGGTTCAATTTTATTTTAATAATTCGCTTCCGCATAGCGGTCTTTAGCAGTGGGAGGAAAGAGGTGGACCCAGAGAAAACCCACGAGGTTGGACACACGACCCTACTCCTTGTCAGGTACAACCGGAGAATCGAAACCACGCCAGTTGATTCAATGACAGACCTTATGATACAGCACGCATGTGTTAGCCATTCGGCCATCCACCCGCCACCCCGCTCCATGGATGAACCCAGAGGTAAGTGGAGTAGAACGGAATGAGACCAGTGTGGATACCAAGGATGATAGTGTGCCAGGCTGTAAATTGTAAACTCCTTCTCACTTCACTGATGAAAGCAAATTTTTTTTCAATCCTGTATTTTTGAAAGAAGTTTAACCTACATATATACATATATTGAATATTTGGTACATTATAATGATTCAATAATTATCAATATATAGAGAATTAATTTAATATACTATAGATCCCATTATTCTCCTGATAATCAGTAAACTAGGGTATATACAGAAAGAATAAATAGGAGATAGATTTCTTATAAACATTACAAATAGGTTAATATGTATGTAGTCAGATAATTTAACAGCTGTCCCCCGTATATACAATGTTACTATAAACCATTTGACAGCTGTCTGTAGAATAATTTAAATCAAGTTGTTGATATAGGAATATAATATTAATTAAATATTCACATTCAAGACTAAATCGTAGATATCGCAGTATAATTATAATTTAATATTCACATTCAAGAATAAATCGTTGATATCGCAGTTTAATAATAATTTATATTCACATTCAAAAATAAAATGTTGATATCGTAATATAATATTAATTGCATATTCATAGTTTTACACCAGATTAAGAATAAATTATGTAGTAGAACTTATCCTTTTCATCTACGAATCAAGGAATGGTTGATATTGCCATATAAAATTACAGTTAAAATATTCAGGAGTTTAGAAGTACATGTATAAAATCAGAAGGACAAATACTGTAATTCAAAATGCAGATGTCTATACTCAAATATTCCAATAGAAAAAAAAGAGGCTGCCATGGAGAGCAAAAGTTGGCTCGCTAACCTGAAATGAAATGAAACCGGGTTTTCCTAATGAAGACTGGCATACACCATACAGTGTGCTATGAGGGAAATTTTGCCCAAACAGTGGCACTACAGCCTACTCTTATATCAAATTCCAACTGTCAAGGGATCTTTTCGTCCCATCCGAGCTGTCCTTGTCAGGCCCCCCGTCCTGCATCACTGACAAGGGGGGGGGGGGCACGCCGGAAAATCTGGATGATCTTTCTCGGCCAATGCAAAATTTCCCTCATACCACACTGGAAGGTTGTACACCCATCTTCATTAGCCTAGAACAGTAGGTTATTACATCCCATTTCATTTCATAACTTTTGTAAAAAAAAAAAAAAATTTATGTTCTAATTCATGACATCAATTAGAAGACTCGCACCTTTCATTCAGCAGACGATCATCATTAAGACAGATCCCATCATTTCTAATGCATTATCCTTGTATTCATTGCTAAGCTTTTCTTTGTTTTAATTGAGAGTTTCGTATTTCATTTTTTGAGTGACGCCTCTTGCATATCATGTACAAGCCCAGGTCTGGAGGCTTACGACTGGCCTACGACTGGCCCCCAGATCTATTCACTTAATTTGATATTTGTTTTTTATTGTTTACAGTGTCTGTGTAGTCTGTATCTTGTCTGCCGGTTTGTTTGTGTGTTGTGCAGTGCTCCTGAGCTTACACTATTATTAAAGATTATGGAAAACGCTTCGTAATTTTAGTCCTTCTGCTCATATTCTAGTCTATATCTTTACGAACAGATGGACAAAACTTAAATCACGGCTTGTTTAATGGCAGAAAGTTACGACTACTCACTGAGAACAGAGAAAATCTACCTGTTGAAATTTACATGTAGCAAGTACCGTATTTTTCGGTGTATAAGGCGCACTTTTTTTTACCAGGTATTTTATTTTCTAGAAGGGGTGCGCCTAATACATAGTATTTAGCAAATCTTGGCCTTTCTGTGTGTCAACATAGAGGTCTGAAGTTGATCATATCGACAACAGCAATAAAGATGGCGGCCATTTCCCATACCGATATCCCGTATACCGTTAGTCATAGACGACAGTGGCAACAATATGGGTCAATAGCGGTTTAGTGTTATTAAAATATCTGCAAAGATATCGTAAATAATTAGATGACATATTTTTCTGCTATTCCGACATTCCGATGTCGTCATTTTTCGTGCAATAAATATGGCGGCCATTTAAGATACGGTATCGGCTTTTCCGTATACCGTTAGTCATATTTCTATTATTCCGGCTTTTCCATATACCGTTAGTCATAAACGACAGTGCTAACAATATCTGCAAAATTCTCGTTAATATTTCTATTATTCCTGCGTATTTGATGACATATATTTCTGCTAATCCGTTTACCGGTACAGTTAGCCACTGTCGGCAATCCAAACATCGGGGTGTTTTCTTTGAGCAAGACTGTCTTTTAGTAACCGTTTTAAGTTACCGACGGTTTTCATTCAACATGGATTCAGTGATTGGCCCATTGTTATAATTTACCGGTATAGTTAATTATCTACCAGTGAGTTGTTATCGTTTTCTTTATGAAGTCGTTTGCAGTTGACAAAACCATTGTTTCTTTGATTGGTATTAAAAATGCTATTGTATTATTTTACCGGTATAGTTAATTATCTACCAGTGAGTTGTTACCGTTTTCTTTATGAAGTTGTTTGTAGTTGACAAAATCATTGTTTTTTTGATTGGTATTAAAAATGCTATTGTATTATTTTACTGATAGATCTAAATGGCTACAATCTGGGTATTGTCATGACGCGTGGAGTGGGCGGGGCAACAGACGCTATCGTTTGTCAGTTGTTTGCATAACTTGGAGTAAACTGGAATTGTTGTTTCTCTTTTACCGGTAGTCAGGATTTAAGTTGTGAGTAGCTGATCATGATATATTATTTCTACAGGTATTATTTAATTTGTTTATCATCAAAACCGATTCATTTATCACAGACAATTACGCACGAATTTAACACGATGTAATAGACGGCCATGTTTGTTGTGGGCGGGACTTGAATGACAATTTCACTACCGTACGAGCAACAGAATTACAGCTGAAAGTTATGCAATAATGCAATTGCGTGTTATAATTAATATAAACAAATGTAACAAAAGCAATTTATTTCATAAAGAAATATAATTATATAAAGCTTGATACGGCTAAATATCGGTAATTATTATAACTGTAAACAATAGAGTTTGACCTAGTTACTGGAGATCGCAGGTGGATTTGAGTCACATATGCTATGGCACGAGTTTCACACGCGCTGGGAAAGGGTGCGCCTAAGCCACGCATATTTTTTTTTCCCTGAAACACCTCTGCCAAAGTCGCCCTGCGCCTTATCTACGCATGCGCCTTATACACCGAAAAATACGGTAACATTGACATTTTGGATCGTGTTACACTTATGGAAAGGATACATGTATGTTGACCTAATTACTTGTAATATTTAAAATATTTATGAAGCTTTTAAGATGATCTTTAAAGTGTGTTTCAGTTTGTGCAGAAGTATCAAAATAAATAAACTGATGGGTTTAGAGTTACAAAAAACTGGTTTAAAAAAAATCCTGACAGAAAAATAATCAAAATCAATAAACTGATTGGTTTAGGGTTATAAAACACTGGTTTTAAAAACAAAGCTTTTATTTATTTGCACAACCACTAATAATTTTGAATCTACACAAAAGACAGTAGGACGTTGAATCCCATTTAATTTATTTCACTTAAAGGGAGAGAGCGAGAGCAAGAGAGAGAGAGAGAGAGAGAGAGAGAGAGAGAGAGAGAGAGAGGGGGAGGGAGAGAGAGAGAGGGGGAGGGAGAGAGAGAGAGGGGAGAGGGGGAGAGAGAGATAGCAGAGAGAGAGGGAGAGAGTAGGCCATAGTGCTGCGGCCAAGGCAAAATTTCACTCATAGCACACTGCATGGTGTATGCCCGTCTTTATTAGCCCAATTCGGAGCAGAACAGTAGGACATTAAACCCCATTTCATTTCCAAAATAGAGATCATGTAGATGAAAGATAATTATACCACAGTTTGTATGCATGTACATGTATACATGTATATATACACAGGACTGTCAACTAAGGGATAATAGTATACAGTAACCTTATACACCACACCTTGTCTAACCATGGTATAACTAAAAGGTCAATACAGTTTTGTAAGATACATGTACAAGTATATACCCCAGTGGAAGATACAAGTATATTCCCCAGTGTGTCTGGCTTAATCACCACTGCCAGGGTGATGAAATGCTTGGCTAATGAAGACGGGCAGTGGCACTATCGCCTACGCTTATATCAAATTCCAACTGCCAAGGGATCTTTTACGTGCATTCTAATGTATACACGGGACCTCAGTTTTTCGTCTCATCCGAAGAACTAGACAGCTGTCCTTGTCAGGCCCTCCGTCCTGCATCACTGACAAGGGGGAACCACGCTGGAAAATGTGGATGAACTTTCTCGGCCAATGCAGGGATCGAACACCCGACCTCCAGGGTAGCGAGCCAGTGTCTTACCAACTTAACCACCGTGACCACTGCCAGGGTGATATCACGGATATGTGTTCACTGGCAAACTTGTGAGGGGAGCAAAATAAGAGGCTTGTCTCACACAGGTTGGAGCTGGGTAAGTGATAAATAGACCCCATCATTTCACTTCCATCTGACAAGGACAGCTGTCTAGTCGTTCAGATGGGACGAAAAACCAAGGTCCCGTGTACACATTTGCATGCACGTAAAATCCCTTGGCAGTTGGAATTCGATATCAGAGTAGGCCGCTGCCCGGGCAAAATTTCCCTCATAGCACACTGTATGGCGTATGCCTGTCTTCATTAGGCCCAGGTTAGGAGCAGAACAGTAGGACGTTAAACCCCATTTCATTTCATTTACTGTGTGTATGTATGTTTAATACATATAGTAATACCAATAACTCACTGTGTATGTACAATGTATGTTTAATAGTTATCATACAAATAACTCAGAGTAAATACACTTATCATACATGTGTATATATGTTTAATAGTTATCATACAAATAACCCAGAGTAAATACACTTATCATACATGTGTATGTATGTTTAATAGCTGTCATACCAATAACTCACAGTAAATATAGACATCATACCATGTGTATGTATGTTTAATACATGTAGTAATACCAATAACTCACAGTAAATACACACATTGCTCCATATCTCCATATACAATTGTATATAACCAATAGTAAATACACACATAACCCCATGTATTAATACAGTGTATATTATCAATAACTCACAGCAGCCTACATGGAAATACACACATAATTCCATGTTTCATCCAAATGACTAAGACACTATTCTTGCCAGGCCCTCTGTTCTTAACCATTGACTTGGGGGAAACCACACCTAGGAACATCCTGATGAAGTTTCTTAGTCAACACGAGAATCGCACATGGGACCTCAATCCTGATTGGCGAGCCAGCAGCTTACACAAAGAAGCACTGTGGCACCCTTTTGGAAACACCATCCCTTATTATATGAAAGATTAGATTTAATTAACAAAGCACGTGCATTTCTAAATAATGATTTATTTGTAACCCATGTGACATAATACAAAGAATACACACGTATAATCCTAATACACAAAGGAGCCAAATCGCTAATATTTGGGATCTAGAAATTGACACAAATAGGTGGCAATGCACAGGGGCGAATCTAGGAATTTTGAAAAGGGGGGGGGCGCGCCGCAAAATGAGGGCACTGACCGCGGAGACAGGGCACGCCGGTGAGAGGGGATTTTTTTTTTATTTAGGAGGGGGGTGGGTCCTCCCAAGAAAATTATCCGTCAATTCCTTGCATCTGTAGCCATTCCAAGAGCTATTTGGCTGATATTTTCGTCTAAGTAAACGTTCAGAAATCATTGAAAAAGAGCCTTAAAATCGAGCAAAAAAGCCAGTTGAACATGCGACTCGAAAATTGTCAAGGCGAGCGAGGCATATTATGATGGGAAAAAAGACGAATCTATTCCCTAGCCACTTCACTATTTAAGCCTTGTAACTTGTACTTTGTACTGTCCACACATGAAACAATGCTACATCAAGTTGCACTCATGCGCGTTGGTGATGGGCATGAGTGTATACGCTGTCAATTCCACAAGATGTCTGTCTATAGTCACTCTATAGGATTAGGGCACCGTCAGCTAAACAACAAGAATTCGTTTGCAAGTGGAAGCATTAATTAGACCAGACTGGTGTGTTTGAATCGATGGTTTGAGTCATTTGGGATCCCTGCAACGGGTTGGGAACGGACATATTTGGGTCTGAGAAAGGGCACTTTCAGCAGTAAAAAAGGGCACTGTCGAAAATTAGGGCGGGGCACGCACCCCTCGCGCCCCCCCTTAAATCCGCCTCTGATGCATATAATAATGTAATATGAATGTATATTAGCTGATGTACATTTAATCGTTTCTGTTTTTACTCTAATGTCAAATCAGGTATGTTCATAAAAATACGCCAGAAGTTTCAAGCAAATGGCAATCTCTATTATCTGGTTATTCCAGTCTACACAAGTAGTATTTATTGTGCATGCTCACCAGATAAGAACAAGAGGTCACTGTTTGACATGACTTGTGGAATATGACTAACCTCGTTCTTAGAGTCCCTTGTTACAAATGGCGCTGAAACGCATTATGGTACACGATTTGTTACCAATTGTAAAATGTTTATTTTGTCTTAAATATTGGATATCAGAAGCCCATCTTTTCCCCGTGAGATCACAACATCCATGTTGATTTAAATTGACAAATAATTTGTGTTTTCAATGTCGAAGACTTTATGATATTGAGTTAGAGACTTAGCTACTTTAAATACGTAACTACTTTGAACTAGTTTTATTTGTTTGTTTCTTTCTTACATGTATATTTGTTGTACTGTATTAATGTACTCATGTAATTGTATGCTGTTCCCCGTGGGCGTTTGTATGCAATAAAATTTATCTATATCTTTATCTTTTAAACCCCCCATGTTTTATGAGACAATGTATTATTCACCAATGCATATAATAACTGTTAATACACACTGACTAAATATGCATATAAAAACATCAAATACACACAGCCAAGACCTACCTTATAATAACAGTACTGTAGATATTCATACGGTTTTCTTTTCTTGAATAAATCTTCTATTTCTTGATTCGAAGTGCCTGGAAGTCGGTCACCTATCTTGGATTTCTTACATTTTCTTATACACTCCGACTTCGTTAAAATCTCCATCATTATTGACGAGAAGGTGCTGTTGTTTGAATTGGTCTGCGTTTTACACGAAAGCCTACAATCTATCACAGTTTTTTTGAAGAATTTATAATCGGTCAAAGCTGTTTCGAAAATCATGTAGCATTGGTACCAGTTCGACTCGCGATAGGCTGTAACTCCTTCAGAATAAAGCACGTCATAGTTGTACTGATATTCTTGTCCAGCCTTGCAAGCGATCAACGAAAGTAGTAATGTTAAAACTATACATTCGAACGTATGAGTTCCCATTTTACAAACGTTTCAAAACTTTTAGATCCCGTTGAAAACTTTTGACAACTCTAAGCGATGTTCCATGTTGGATCGCCTCTGGGTTAATGACGTCACATTAAAGGGAGGTAACTGTAAATCACCGAACAATAGGTCGTCTGCTATTTCAGACCAGTTCAGACCAGACAAATGAATTGATTGTTTTCGTAATAGGAAAATAGATTTAAATGACCAAGAATCTAGTTTTCATATTATTAATCGATTTAGATTTAGCAGATAAGCCAAACCAAAAGGAAATTCAATGGCTATAAGTTGTAAGTTATAATTGAAACATTGTTCATTTTGCGTGGGTTATAATACAGCGTGCGTACCATGTGGTGGTCGAAGTTTAGGAAATACGTCATGTTATATGAATGTCGCAAAGAAACATTGTTGATATAACGTGCAATATTTGACCATAAATCACGGATTGTTTTTGTTATAGCTTTCATTTATTAGATATATCTATCGCATAACGTCTATCTAAACAGCAAGGGTAGACTAAGTGTCTAGTCTTTCGGATGGGTCAAAAAACCGATGTCCCGAAATCTTAGGTGTAACGTCCAATCGACACAAATTAGGTCATTTCGGGACCAAAATATTGTTCAGTTTCATTTCAATAATTATTTTGCACAAAGGGGTATTTAGCTATAAGAGCAAACCGGATGACGTACACAAAAATTAAAATGGGGTTTAACCGTCTACTGTTTTGCTCTGACTGGGACAACAAAGAGCGCATACACGTGTACACCATAGCCTACAGTGTGCTATGAAGGAAATGGAAGTTTTGCCCGGACATACGGCGGACTCTAATCTCGAATTCCAACTGCCAGCCGGGTTCTTGTACATGCATGCCAATGAGTACACGAAATACGACTTTACTAATTAATAATAATTCTTCAACATTAACTGTATTAGTAATGTAATTTAGGGAGTTGGCGTCGTGGTTAGCACGGCCTATTACTCATTTATTTAAATAGACTATTTCAGAGTCTGTACTTGAGATGGGGGGATCACGGTGGCTAAGTGGGTAAGACGCTGGCTCGCTAGCCTGGAGGTCGGGTGTTCGATCCCTGCATTGGCCGAGAAAGTTCATCCAGATTTTCCGGCGTGGTTCTCCCTTGTCAGTGATGCAGGACGGGGGGGGGGGGGGGAGGCTGACAAGGAAAGCTGTCTGGCCGTTCGGATGAGACAAAAAACAAAGGTTCCGTGTACACATTGGCGTACACGTAAAAGATCCCTTGACAGATGGAATTCGATATAAGAGTAGGCCGTAGTGCCGCTGTCCGGGAAAAATTTCCCTCATAGCACACTGTATGGCGTATGCCCGTCTTCATTAGCCGAGTTTGGAGAAAAACAGTAGGACGTTAAACCCCATTTCATTTCATTTCATTTCGTGCCTGAGATGCCAACGAAGAGTCGGGTTAAGAATGTGTAGGCCCATGGCTTATAGTTAGTGTTAGACTAGACAGATGCATGTGCTTTTAGATCAACATGGTATATCATTGAGTCAAGTTGTTTGGTTACGATCCCGCGCGTGTCGTACACTATAAGTAGTAGGGTCGCCTACCAAAGCTCTTAGGTTTACTTCGGGTTCTCCGATTTCCTCCCACAGCTAAAGATTCATACAGGCATGCAAATTATTGAAATAAATGTCGACGGCTTTCGTGAACCTGAATTTCTGCGGGTCCCCCGGTTTCCTTCCTCCACTCTCAAGTAAATTATTGAAATAAACAAACGCACTATAGTTTATGTAGATTGGCTTCATGCAATCTGAATAAAACACAGATCCTATTTCGTTTCGTTTTTTATAGTTCAAAACTTCATTTTACTTGTGGGTAAATCACTAGAAACGTCAACGCTGATTGATTAATCAATGTTTGACGTCATAGGATCAAAAGCCGCTCGTAAGACCCCTGACACGACCTTCGAGTACACACACTTCTCCGCAGTTAATATTTGCTTGGCCGCTACAATCACTGATAAGGATGACATCGATGCGACTTAATGAGCCACAAATATTAACTTTTGTCCTCCGACAAATTAAATTCTAAAACATTTTGTTTTATGTATTAGAAAAATAAATAAAGACGTTTGAAGTATTTGTAGGTAAAAATTATTTCCTATTTAGTGTAAATGGGTATTTAATTGAGTAAAAGACAGCACTCTACCCGAACCAGTCACGTCTTGTAAACAATGTACGCGTCATTGAAGCAATGATTGAAGCCGCGTGATGAGACGTCACGTGTTGAAGGTAGTCATCTTTTACAGAGATATTAGAAGACTTTCTCAATCCTCTGTAAAACAGATTGCTTCATGTAGTGTAGACCATCGAAAGTATAAAAAAAACGAAACGAAATATCGATCTGATTGGGTTTCGCGTATCCTGTATTTCTAATGTAAAACATTTATTTAGATTGTGTAAGTTTGATTGTTGCGCACCCCCTCACGTGGTGTCAATGTGGTTTTCATCACTATACCATATTGCTCAACCAGCAACAGACATACCGTGGCGTAGATGTGCTACAAATCGACTCAAGCATGGTCTACATAGCCAAATTTGCTCTGCGCCGGGTGGAGTGAGTCCCCAAATACTACCTAATGATGACCACGTTCCTCGTCAGCAGTTACCTACAGCCGCTGGGTTTAACTCTTGTGGGAATGACAAGCGTTGCAGAATCGTTCGGATGTCCGTCTATCGACGTTCACGTACAAGAGCAGTTGGCATTCGAAAAAGAATAAGTAGAACCGCCACTATCCGAGCACTATCCCCACCCTTCACGATGCATCAATCTCGTTAACTTATGCTCTAGGCAACCAGTAAACTAAAGAATAACTGGAGATCTTGTAAGATTGGCAATGTTCATTCACGACACCTAGATGCTAACATTTTGCAATGAGTTTCATTGGGTTCGCTTCTGAGCTGATCTTGCTTACTTTTTGTAAATTAAAGAAAATTAAAGATATTTTGAAAACTTGTGTTCAACGGTTTGTTTCTGAGCTGATCTAGTTCTTCTTTTTCAATTCTTTCATGGCTTTCACGATCTGCTCATCTACGAGCGCATGCCAGACATCCATATTTATGTTAATACCGTCACATGACACAACTAAAGATTCATATACTGCACCCAGCGATTCATCTAAGTCATATTTCTCAGGTGGAGCTAGCTGTAGACAGGCAGCCTAAGTTTGGGATGCTAAAGATTGGTGTACTTGAGCTAACCAGACCTACCTGTGGCACCCGGCCTAATCTTGTAAAGTTGCTAAAATCAAATCTTTATGAACACTTTTAAATTCCGTGACCAGTAACATTGCGATTAAGGTGGCAAGGTTTTATTATTTCATCATATACATTGCTATAGTTTAAATAATGAATTGAAATGAAATGAGGTTTAACGTCCTACTGTTCTGCTACTATACTGGGCTAATGAAGACTGGCATACCTCATACAGTGTTATTATTATTATTATTGTTCGATTTATATAGCGCTTCATTACACATGAGTGTTTCTAAGCGCATTCACAACAAAACAGTTCAAAAACATTTTTGAAATAAGTATGTTTTTAAGTTAGTCTTAAAGCTCTGGATGGAAGAGGACTCTCTAAGAGTTTTTGGAAGATCATTCCACATTTTAGCTGCTCTGACGGAGAAAGCATATTCCCCAGAACGATTATTATATTTGGGGATCCTCAATATGCTACGATCACTTGATGGAAGGTTGGATCGCCGGGGAGTATAGAAATCAAAGAGTTCTTTTAAATAACTGGGTGCGGTGTCAGAATAAATTGATTTAAACACATTCACAAGAGCTTTAAATTGAACCCTCGCTCGAACTGGAAGCCAATGGAGTTTCTCATGTAACTTAGCTGATATATGATCAAATTTTCGTGTTTTAGTTATAAGACGTGCAGCATTATTTTGCGCTATTTGTAGTCTGTTTAAAGCTGTTTAAAGTGTGCGATGAGAGAAATTTTGCCCGGGCAGCGACATTATGGCCTACTCTTATATCAACTTCCTTCTGCCAAGGGATCTTTTACGTGCACACCAATGTATGTACGGGACCTCGGTTTTTCGTCCTATCCGAACGACTAGACAGCTGTCCTTGTCAGACCCTCCCTCCGGCCTGACAGGTGGAAACCACATCGGAAAATCCAGATGAACTTTCTCGGCCAATGCAGGGATCGAACACGCGACCTTCAAGCTAGCAAGCTAGCGTCTTACCCACGCTTTAAAAAATGAGAATCTTGACGAATCGAGGCTTTAAAGAATATATACATGCAAAGTATAAATTGTACATAAAACTAAAAAAACAAAAATAAATTTTAAATAAAATATATATACAATTGGCCGTTCCGTTAATTCTTATTTTTTTATGTTATGATAAAACAATTTTAAAAGTAGAGCAAAGCATTTTTCGGACAACATCTTCTGTTTTAACTCTTCGGATCATCAATATATCTCGTATTTTTACTTTCTTCCATTCTTCATCCCATCATTTCCCACCCATGTCCTAGTCTTCGTCTGATTCTGGGTTGGGTATTTCCTTGCTGTATTCATCTTAAAGAAAAAAAACCCAGAAAATGGTCACATTACATTTATATGAGATCGACCTCGCAGTATCGTCACAATATTATGACATCGCCTTGCAGTCCAAATATTACAACATCGTCGTATCACCACAATATTACAGCGTCTCCCTTTCATTATAAATGAAATGAAATGAAATGAAATGGGGTTTAACGTCCTACTGTTCTGCTCCTAAACTGGCCTTTCATTATAATATTACGTCACCATATCATCAAGTCACCGCTTCGCCACAATATCGCCACGTCGTCGTACCGTCATAATATCAAAGAGCCGATCCAAATATTATAATTACTGATAATTTGTAAGCTATTTAAGTTACACAAGGCGCACATACGGTCCACTTTATACTAGGCTTCGTCATATACGCATCCACACTGATCAGTCTCAAATATTAACTTTCTTCCTCCGACAAATTAAATTCTAAAACATTTTTTTTATGTATTAGAAAAATAAATAAAGACGTTTGGCGTATTTGTAGCTAACAATTATTTCCTATTTAGTGTAAATGGGTATTGAAATGACTAAAAGGCAGCATTGTGCCCGAAACAGTAACGTCTTATGTAAACAATTCGCGCACCATTCAGCCAATGATTGACGCCACGTGCTGTGGCGGCACGTGTTAAAGGCAGTCGTCTGTTACAGAGATATTAGAAACATATTGATACGCATCTAGCAGTCCTTCGCTGACTCAGTGAGTATCAAGAGGAGCATACGTCATCATGTAGTGTGCTAAGAGGGAAATTTTTACGAATGCCATGCCATTCTCCACACGCGTCTCGCTATCGTGATCCGATGTCAATGGTTATTTTACGTGCACGTCAATAAACGTGTACACGTCTGGACTCTGTTGTAACATCCGAACGACGAGGCTCTTCTGCCTTGTCCGACCCACGCTAGGCATCCCTGGCAAGGGGGCTGGGGAACAGGCTGGAAAATCCCAAGGAGCTTACTCGACTAACGCAAGAGTCTGACCCAGATTCTCCTAGTTACTGAGCCAACACAATACACACTGTACCCCCGTGGTCTTTACACAATTCCGCTGGCACTCATGCGATTTACATGGGTTATCGTCAATGAATAAACAAATAAGAAAGTGACGCCATATGTTTCGAAAGTCACGTCAGGTGTTTCAAAAGTCACGTCATGTGTTTCAAAATTCACGTTACGTGTTTTGATAGTGACGTCAGGTGTTTCGAAAGTTTAAGCCTGTACTAGTTTATTCTTACCGTCGACGTGAAACCAGATGTCAGTGTTGGTGTCTACTGGTGTTGATGATGAAGACAAAGATGATGATGAAGTTTGTAATTTTCCTGGTTTGATCCGTAAAGACGTGACACAGCAGGGTATTTGAACTCCAGCTATAACAGAACAACCGTCTGATCCTAATTGTGGATGATGCAGCTAAAGAAGAAAATAAAGTACATTTTTTTAGGTCTAACATACGGATTGAAAATCGGGAAAAGCAACCTAAGTGCCCGGGGCCGTGACACCCCCTGGGTGCCTGTTTTAGTGTCAGAACTATTGGGACTAACATTAAAGTCACTGATTATCATTAGCATATCTTCGGACGATGTTTTAATTCACGCTACATTATACTTAAAGGGACCATCCCAATTTTAACAGAGTCTCAAAAATAAAAGTCAATGTACGTATAAAATTTAAGCGCCAAAGTATAGAGTAGAGGACTGGTGTATTTACCGTGTCTCAAAATTTTAGCTCAAAATATTGAGTCGTTTGAACGTGAACCGCTTATCCGGACACGTAACCTTTTTAAGATTTCGGATCATTTTTTTCGTTGGGTGACCTAATAATCTATTACCGTTCCTTTAGATATATTGCATGACTCACGTGCTTTACTTGCTAAAGAAAGGTAAATGTCACCTGCACGTTATTTCTATAAAATAAAAGTCTGGTTTTATCTAGACACCGTATAATACAGCTTGAAGACAGTCGGGTTTAAGTTGTTTGAAAACGTATTACCGATATTGAGTTAGTTGCCCGGCCCTTAGGTAGAGAACTTTATGGGATTTTAACACAAAATTAAGCATTTTTATTCTCCAACATATTATCGGGATTGGCCCTTTAAGTTGTTTGAAAACGCATTACGTATATGAATATGGAGTTAGTTGCTCGGTCCTAAAGTAAAGGGTTTTTAAGGGCTTTTTAACACAAAATTAGGCAGTTTTATTCTCCAAAATATAACATTTTTATAATTCACAAATCGATACCAAAATATCAACAGTAGACACTCTTCCGATTTGGATTCAATTTCATTTAAAGGACAATATCACATTGGGATCACGTGGTAGATTAAGCAACACGTGGTAGCCTCTGGCTCCAAAGCACGCATCAGGTTCAGCATGAAAAACTTGAAGAAATATAAACTGGAAGTAGAGATAAATAAACATGCAATTTTCCGCCCTACATTTCAACCAACCAACTTCTTAACCCTTGTATCCTTCGCCGCTTCATGAATATTCACTAAAACCTGGCAGAAAATGTATATCCAGCCCCCTTTTTTTTAAATTCGACACCAAAAAGTCATCAGAGATCGTCATGCAGGGGGGGGGGAAGCTAAAAATAGCTTTGGCCCTTGCTTCGTAGGAGACGGTGTAGGAATAATTGTTGAGCTCGGTCCAAGTACAATAAAGAGAAGGTACCTTCATGTCTGAGGTAAATGATGCTACCAGATTATTTGAGTGTTTATCTCTGATATAAAGAGTTTGATCTTTCTCGGCTATACCATAAGTCGTGTAGTACGGACTAGACAGATTACCATCAATTATAATCGGAGCATTGTGGGCATCTCTAACTTCATACGTTTTACCTGTAATAAAATACAACCGATTGTCCAATCACAAATATCGACTAGGCCAATATTAAGACTTGTTAACGCCATACAGTGTTCTATTAGGGATATTTGTGCCTGGACATCACAACTATCAGGGGCGGATCCAGCTACATAGAAACAAAGTTTTAAAACAATACTTTTTTTATGAGAAAATTGTAGCTTTCGTAGTGTTGGCTTTCTCTCTTTAAAACGCTCAGTGTGTTTGCCTACGTATTAAAGGGACAATAACACTCTTGCTGACTTGAAAGCTCCAGAAAATAAATAATATCTCTATCTAAGTACTAGATGTTTAAAGATACATTATGGGAGATTCGGTAACGAGTTGGCAGTTCTCACTATAATAGTTAAAAACTAGATAATGTAAAGGCAATTTGGTGAAAATTTCATTCAAATTGATCCACTATGAACCGAGAACAAAGCGACTGAAATTCCCATAAGCCTCGGTCATCATTACTAAAGTCAGTACGATAAACAGCATAGTCTCGATTATCCATTTAATCGTTTAATGGAGAAGGAAAGTTATGCAGTAAATCGGCTTACAATCCACTACAGATCGCAGGCTAGCGCTGCCATCTAGAGTTGATTATGGCCTGGATAGGTTAATAATTTAGATAACATTTCAGGCCTAAAAGAAAGACCTGAAATAGGCAGATTTAGCTCTTGCATAATGTATGTTTAAGTGTCCTACCTGTTGTGTAAATTATCCATTACAACCTATTTTACTTGTCCAGAGAGTTCGAAAATATTTTTAAATCACTGACAAGGGGGGAACCACGCCAGAAAATCTGGATGAACTTTCTCGGCTAATGCAGGGATCGAACACCCGACCTCCAGGCTAGCAAGCCAGCGTCTTACCCACTTAGCCACCGTGATCTCCCGTTTATTCTGAGATTTGATACCTTACTGCTATTTGAATGAAGGCACTTGTACTAAACGCAAACTCGGTTGTATTTTGTTTGCGTGGAGATTGCCCCCCGAGCGAATATTTGGGAACAGTTATTTACTGTTCGAGGGCTTTACTTACCGTCGTTCAGATGGGACACAACCATAAATGTACCGTTATTAAATGAACAAAGGATTTTTTCCTCCGTTATAAATACAGCATGGTCAATCCATTCATTTCCATGACGACACAATTCTGGGGAAACTGTTTTATCTGTAAAATAGAAAATTGAGCTATACTTCTACTGGTATTAAAGGACCAATAAAACATTAACGGTTAACCGTGGTAGCTAAGGTGGTTCTGCGAAAAGATCGCGGGGGTGGATGGCCGAATGGTTAGCACGTGTGAGCTGTATTATAAGGTTTGTCATTGAGTCAACTGGAGTGGTTTCTATTCCACAGTTGTACGTGACAAAAAGTAGGATCGCCTGTCCAATCTCGTGGGTTTTCCCCAGTTTACTCCCACTGCTAAAGAAATAAAATTAAACCATATATTAGTCCTGGATTGACATAGTTTGTGTCGAGTGGACGTTAAAACCCATCTCTCTCTCTCTCTCTCTCTCTCTCTTTTCGTGTAGGACAGTAGGCCGTTCAAACCCATTTCATTTTATTTCACTTAAAGGAGCCAAACCTCTAACTAAATATAATCCATAATATTGGAAATTGAAAACACAAAATAGAATTCAAAATTGGTCCCTTTCAATCAATATTGATGTTGTTATCTTACCATTAAAATATGGGATTCTAATATCAAATATTTAAGACACATTGTAACATGCTTAAGGGTGAATCTTACGTTTTGATTGGTCGATTAGACACTGTCTATTGGACAATAACACCCCTCTAAATTAGAAAAATCACTGCGTATTAATATTATGCGTACTACTTTAATGGAGATAACCACAATGGAGACACTCAATTTTGATCTCGGTACATTAGATGAAATATTTAGAGATATGTCCGAAGATGAACTTGAAACGCCAACCCCCTTGTCAGGTAACCGCTACAAACAACAAAATATACAATAATCTATTACAAAAACATAATCTATTACAAAAACAGAAACATAAAAGCGAGCCAAATCTAACATGAGCAGCCCGTTATCCCGCTACGTCACAACGTTTTCATTACGTCAAAATTGATTTCTTTGGTTTTTACGTCACTAAAAACCGATTTGCAGTGAGACGAATTTTGTAAAAATTCTAAAAAATAGCATGTTTCAATGTCGATAAACACCTCCTGTTTCGCATTTAGAGGGGTGTTATTGTCCAATAGACATGTCCTGAGATTTTACATTGGAACATTACATTGCCACTGTCCGGGCAAAATTTCCCTCATAGTACACTGTATGGCGTATGCCCGTCTTCATTAGCCCAGTTCGGAGCAGCCTGGGCCCTTATTCACGAAAACTTAAATTAAAATCCTTAAAATCGATTTTAAGAGATTTAAGTTTTCGTGAATAAGGGCCCAGAACAGTAGGACGAAAAACCCCATTTCATTTCATTTCATTTTTTTATTGATGGTCTATATATAATTGCCCTAAACATTTGTTACTTTACTTGTTTAAACACGTCGAGAGAATGTTCTCTCCCACGGCCACGTTGCCCAAATAGATTAGTTCGTCCATGGGATAAGTGTGTGTTGATTTCTGATGTAGCCTACTTACCATTAAGACGATCATATACAATGATTTTAAGGACTTTAACAAGGAAAATGATAAATTGCCCGTCCTCAGAAATAGACAGGAGGTCGAAATCGCCTCCCTTTAACTTTGTTTCTTGCATTTCGCTGCACATGTCACACTTCTTCAATTTTGTCGAAACTTTATCAATTTTGCCTTCTTTTATTTCAAAGACTTCTATCATAGATTTGCTTGATGTTTCAGCAACAAGTATCGTCTCCTGCTTGTTAACCTTAAACAAACAAAATGAAGGAGAACTGTGCAGCAAACCAAGAACAAAACAAACAATAATAGAGCACCAGCAGCTGACTTTAGATATATATATTGTATGAATGGAAAAAAATATTGGTAAATTCTCTGCAAATTAATGTACATGGCTTCGAAACTGTTACCGTCGCTCACCAACCCGGCGGTGTTTATCCGCCAACACCCGGACCTCAAGGCTCTGAGCCAGCGCCATATACTCTCTGCGTCGATAAGATCGGAAATAGCAAACCAATATATAAATGAAATGAAATGAAATGGGGTTTAACGTCCTACTGTTCTGCTCCTATACTGGGCTAATGAAGAGGGGCATACGCCATACAGTGTGGTATGAGGGAAATTTTGCCCGGGCAGTGGCAATGTAATGTTCTAATGTAAAATCTCAGGACATGTCTATTGGACAATAACACCCCTCTAAATGCGAAACAGGAGGTGTTTATCGACATTGAAACATGCCAACTGCCAAGGGATCTTTTACGTGCATTCCAATGTTTACACGGGACCTCGGTTTTTCGTATCATCCGAAGGACTAGACAGCTGTCCTTGTCAGTCCTCCGTCCTACATCACTGACAAGGGGAAACCACGTCGGAAAATCGGGATGAATTTTCTCGACCAATGCAGGGATCGAACACCCGACCTCTAGGCTAGCGAGCCTGCGCCTTACCCACTTAGCCACCATGGCTCCCAAACCACTGAAACTATTTATGGCATAACAATTACTGGTTTATTAAAATGGAACGTTTCGACGAAGATACTCTCATCTATATCAAGCAAATGATATATAACACAAATTACTAAATGCCACTGAAAGAACAATACATGTATATATAACACAATGTACACAAATTTAAACCTAATTTCGGCCCGCGCATCAGTGACAGAGTTCCTAGTGCTTGACCTCGTAAGGAACCCCCTACTACTGCCCCCCCCCCCCCGCGCCAGGAGAAAATATTTGGAACATTGTCTCTAAATGGTGTTTAATCCTAATTGTGGTACGCGCATCAGGGATGGAACTCTCTGCGCCTGACCCAGCTACCAGTTCGTCCCGACCAGGAGTAAATGTTAGGAACACTGACAGTAAATGGCGCTTTCCAGAGTATATTGCATCCAGATGTTTCTAACTTATGCACAAATTAAGTGCGTGGCAATCTTTCCAATTCATCAAAAACGACGTACATTCAAGACCCAAACGACGTAAAGACTTTTGGGGCCCTAAACTATGTGAGCCCCCCCCCCCCCCCCACACACACACACACACACGGCCTTCTATACTAACAGACACCTTCGCAGTCTATCGATACAGCACAATCAGAATATTTGTCTATTTACCCAGTATCCGGAGCATCTATCGACATAACGTTCTGACTTTTTATCTTCTATAGATATTGTAATTAAGCTGTTTTCATCACCATGTATGCCGACAATACCTGTAAAACAGTAGGTACAAAGTAGGTATAAATTAATCATTTAAACTATAACACATGCTTAGTTTCTCCTTGCAGTAGTCCTGGGCGCAACAAGGCAAAACATAAAATGAAGTAGTGCAGGGCGCAACAAGGAAACACATAAAATAAAACAGAGCAGGGCGCATAAAACAACACATAAAATAAAATAGAGCAGGGCGCATAAAACACATAAAATAAAATAGTGCTGGGTGCAACAAGGCAACACATAAAAAAAAATAGTGCAGGACGCAACAAGACAACGCATGAAATAAAATAGTACAGGACTCAACAAGGAAACACATAAAATAAAACAGAGCAGGGCGCATAAAACAACACATAAAATAAAATAGTGCAGGGCGCAACAAGACAACGCATGAAATAAAATAGTACAGGGCGCAACAAGGCAACGCATGAAATAAAATAGTACAGAGCTCAACAAGGCAACACAAAAACAACATAGTGCTGAACGCAACAAGTCAACACATAAAATAAAATAGTGCAGGGCGCAACAAGGCGACACATAAAATTAAATAGTGCAGGGCGCAACAAGGCAAAACATAAAATATATTGCGATTTTAGCAATCTAAGACCCCAAGCCCACCCTCATTCTGCTGATAAGAATATTATCATAATAATAATTATAATAAATTGTATCTGAAATCAGATATAAAAGAAAAACACCCTTACTCATGTTTGATTGAATGAAGCTGAACGATGAAAGGTCCACGTCTTTGGTTTCATCATCATTATCATCATTGTCTACCTTGTAATCATCCTCTTTAATCTCCATGGTATTCAGATCCAATCGATATATCTTCTTGGTCTCATTCCGTTGGCGTTTGGGTTGGATGATGATTGAAGGGTCTGGGTTGGATTCTGATGTAGGTATCACTTCAATATCTGTATCTGTAGTCCTCCACTAAAATCACAAAATACGCACAAAACTAGATTCTAAAAAACGTATTATATTTGTTAGATTAAACACCTAAAACAAATCGTGAAAGTGTTGCGATGGGAGAATTCAAAATGATAAAAACCTTACCAATTAATAGACTTGCTATTTTCAGAACAACCGATACAGTTTATCATTCGGTGAGGTTACATAGCTAATAAGTTTTGTTTGCGGAATAGTGGACTACCGTGAACGTCATCTAGATTTACATATTTTATATGTGCGTTTGTTGTTTGAGGGTGTCTGTGTATATTATGTCCTGTTCACAGGTTACGTCATCTAGATTTACTGACGCCATCTAGATTTACTGACGTCATCTAGCTTTACTGACGTCATCTACATTTACTGATGTCATCTAGCTTTACTGACGTCATCTAGATTTACCTACGTCATCTAGATTTACTTATGTTACACTCGGCAAACCTCGGCAGATTCCGATACCCTGCATCTAGCCTCGGCTGTATGACAGTAAGTGATATGTACCCACACCTATACAATTGCGATGCGCCACCGGCTTACTTATTAGGAAAACTTGCCGCTTTTGGAAAGAAGTTCTCACAATTGCGTCGTTCGAAGAGTGTGTAGAATTCTCAGTGCAAACCTTTCATTGTCTAAAGAAAATCGGATAAACTTGAGACTTCAGACTTTGTATGATAAAACATTTTTCAAATGCGTCGCCATGGGCAACGCCGTTGGTAATCCAGGAACTTGAAAGTAGTTTCAAAGGCGGATTTCGTCATACCGCCGAAGCCAGATGAAGAGTACTGGAATATGCTGAGGTTTGCCGAGTACTTATGTTATATGTGCGTTTGTTTTTTGAGGGGTCTGTGTTTATTATGTCCTGTCCCCGGGTTACGTCATCTAGATATACTGACGCCATCTAGATTTACTGATTTCATCTAGATTTACTTACATCATCTAGATCTACTGACGCCTTCTAGATTTACTTACGTCATCTATATATATTTATGTTAGTTATGGACGTTTGTTTTGTAATGTGTCTGTGTTTATTATGTCCTGTCCCCAGGTTACGTCATCTAGATTTACTGACGCCATCCAGATTTACTGATTTCATCTAGGACACACGAACTACATATACATTGCAAGATAAAAACAACCAATATCATCTAGTTTTACTTACGCCTTTTAATTGTGACTTTCTAACCATTTTGTTTTCTATAACATCCCAAACTGATATATAATGGACGTAATCCTTTTCTTTTATTTCTACTGACGTCATCTAGATTTACTGATTTCATCTAGGGCACACAAACTATACATACATATATACACATTGCAAGATATTAACAACCAATATCAAATTAAGTGATCTAGTTTTACTTACGCCTTTTAATTGTGACTTTCTAACCATTTTGTTTTCTATAACATCCCAAACTGATATATAATGAACGTAATCCTTTTCTTTTATTTCTGCAGAATGTAACACACAGTATCTACCATTGCCTGGAACACACTTCACAGATCTGTCGCATATAAAAATTTTATTAGACATGAATTCTAAAGAATACATTTTATCGAGCAGTTTTCAATTAAAAGGTCATGATGATGTAGGCTGATTAGGAACTATAACCTACTTTCTACCAGATCAGATACAAGACATCTCGGTCATGAACATCCAGCACCATTGAATACCAAACCCTGAAGCACATTTGTGTCCATAGAAACACCATAAACCTCAAACAAATGTTTGTCCATGGAAACACAACAGTTATTACATCAGGAAATTTATAATTAGCAAACGGCATACCTACTATAGGTCACTGGGTGCACAAAATTTCAGAGAGATAAATTGAACCGGCTGTGGTATGCTCTGAAAAACTTATTCTGGATTCTGGTTAAAACTCAGATCCTTTCGTTTCGGTGTTTTAGTTCACTGCACTGTGATCTGGAAGAGTTGATAAATGACACACATTCTGTTTTGAAACAACGACGCTAATCGGTTAATTGATTGACTGACATCATAGGGCCAATAGTGTCTTGTATGACCCCTTACGCGACCACTCACTACAAACGGTCCGATCGTCATGTAGTGGAGGCTACCGAAAGCATAGAAAAAACACAAAAGCATAAATCTGTATTTTAATCCGATTGAAAAAACGGAAGGACCGAAGGACGCAGAGATGGAAGGCTCGATGGAGCCCATTTCAGTATGCCACCCTCAACTTCAGTCGGCACAGAACAAAAGATGTACACCGTGGCGATCACGTCACAAAACCCATGAATGGCATGGACAGAAAAGATTCCGACGCCCCCTTCCCATTTGAGATGCTCAGATGACTGACAAATAATGAATCTACTTTTATATAAAGAAGACCACCTTATTATCGGTAGCTTGTCACCAACATCCGTGTTTTGAATGTCGTCCGATTCTTTCAATAACTTGGACAGGTTTTCGTATTTCCATATCCTGAGATTGCCATCATCACCAACAGTAAGGACACGACTTGACGACGTGCCACCACCATCATTCTCACTAGATAGTGAAGACTGTAGAACTGTTATACCAGCCACTTTTAAATGACACGGATGGATATCTAACCACGCCCTCTGCTGAGTTTGAACATCAACCAGAACTACTCTCCGTTTAGATGGGAAGTACAAATATTTGTCGGAGAAGAATCTGAAATCCTGCGGAGAATCTTCATCGTACCCTGAAATAAGTGTAAGATTGGTTATGGGACCGGATCTGGTTACAGATCCGCACAAACTACAGAGCGAAACCCGATTTCTGATTGGTTGTTTTTTGAGTGACTTCAAAAATGGCTGCTTCCGCCCAAGTAAGAATTGTTTAGTTTGTGCGGGTCTGTAACAGTAAATATTTAACAATATCAATTCAATGAAATTAAAATTAAAAATAAATAAACAGACAAGGAAAATATATTGATCTGAAAGATCCACAATTCGTCGCTCTTCTGGCGAACCGACGAATCTGATATATTTAAGTATTGAGAATTATGTGTTTAAAATTTGCGATCTGTTGTTATCTCTGAAGCCATCGTATAAAAACATTTATTTGTGATTTAATATTTTATACATATACATCAGGACACCGAACGCCATTTACATAAACGTTATTATTTGATGGCTACAGAGATAACAACAGAACGCAAATTTCAAACGCATAATTCTCAATCAGATTCGTCGATTCGCCAGAAACGTGACGAATTTATAGAAAACATATAATGCACCCCAAAATTAATCCGTTATACATGACTTCGAATATTGTCATAGTAAAATGAAATGAAATGGGGTTTAACGTCCGACTGTGCTATGGGGAAAATTTTGCCCGGACAGCGGCGGCCTACATATATTTCGAATTCAAACCGTCAAGGGTTATTTTACGCGAATGCGAATGTGTACACGGAATCCGCCGTCCTGCACCACTGCCAAGGGGGGGGGGGACGCTGGAAAATCTTTAGGAGATACTAGAAAAGAATGCTTTTCTTGGATTTGTTTGTTTTTCAAAGTGAGTGAAGCTTGTGTCACTACAGACCCGGGACTGTACAATGCGATGGGCGCTTACGACTGGCCGCTGGATCCATTAACTTATCTGATATAGGCACTTGTTATTTTTTGTGTCGTCTTATCCACAAATTTGCCTTGTGGCTTCTGTACAGCTGAGTCGGGATTCAGGGATAGCTCAGTCTCTGCCCTCACGCCGCTAGATAGATTACCGTGAAACTTTCATCTGGAATTTGAATTTTTTCTCGTTTTGCCATGATCGGCGGTAACCCCTAAACCGCGGGGCCCTGGTCCTGGGCCCCTCAGGCCCATGCCTAAGCTAGGCTTTGGCCGTAGTGTTTAATAGCCTGATCAAACTGAAGTACCGCAGTAGACGCTTACGGCTAGGCCCTGGATCCGTTTATTTGATCTGGTATTTACGTTTGCTATTTGAGGTGTCTGTGTAAATTGTGTCGTGTCCCTGGTTTGTCTTGCGCAGTTGTTAATGTGGCGTATTATTAGAGAGAGAGAGGGAGAGAAATGGGGTTTAACGTCCACTCGACACAAAATAGGTTATTTCGGGACCAACACATGGTCTTTTAGCAGTGAGAAAACCCACGAGGTTGGACAGGCGACCCTACTCTTTGTCACGTACAACCGGGGAATCGAAACCCCGCCAGTTGACTCAGTGACAGACCTTATGATATAACGCTTAGACACTACCTTTAATAAAATGAAGCTGTTTTAAATCTGTGGATGAGAGAATCAAAATATATTTATCACATTTACTGCTGATCACTATACCACTACCATCACCAGTAAAACACATAGCATCAATCTTGTGACTCTCTTCGCTATAAGGCTCATCCGATCTTTCGGCCGTCTGTTTTCCAATATCAAACACTCGCAGTACACGACGTGTTTCGTCCGTCCACGCCATGTAATTCTTGCAGCCTGAAACAATAAAAATGAAATGGGGTTTAACGTCTTACTGCTCTGCTCCGATTTGGCTAATAAAGACGGGCATACTCTTACATCGGATTCCATCTGCCAAGGGATCTTTTACACAGGACCTCGGGTTTTCGTCACACCCGAAGAACTAGACAGCTGTCCTCCGTCCTGCATCACTGCGCCCCCACTGTGCCAGTCCCCCCAACTGTCATCGAGGCCGCGCCTATGGATTTGTTTTCAAATCTAGATTACTATAATGATGAACACAATATCATCAGTGAGACAGAAGACCGTTGCGGCCGTCTGTTACCCGAAATGTTTTCGGGCATTTCGGATTCTGCTCCCACTAACTGTCATCGAGGCCGTACGCCTATGGATTTATTTTCAGATCTAGATTACTATAATGATTAACACAATATCAGCAGTAAGACAGATTACAAATACAAAGCTAGCACCGAACGCAGAACAGTTTTGGCACATGTAACCAGCAGAACTTTAGAATGGGAGGGCAGTCCACGAGACTCCTTGTTTCCAATAATGTAATACTCTTAGTTTCTTGTCACATGGTGAATGTTGCCTGACTTCCGTTCTATTTGCAGCATTATACTAGACGTTAAGTAGCTGACAATGTATAAAATTCTCGCGAGACAATTATGATCCAGTTCCCCACAAATGTTAAGGATATGGTCGTGGGGTCCCAAAATACCCCTTGCATGCACAGATCTACATGATGTTACTCATTTTATTGTCAATGACGTTATACGTACCTGATGTTAATGACTGTAGACCTACCTGATGTTAATGACGTTAGACTTACCTGGTGTTAATGGCTGTAGACCAACCTGATATTAATGACTGTAGAACTACCTGATGTTAATGACTGTAGACCTACATGATGTTGATGAAGTTAGACCTACCTGATGTTGATGACGTTAGACGTACCTGGTGTTAATGACGTTAGACTTACCTGATGTTAATGACCTTAGGCTTACCTGATGTTAATGACATTACACCTACCTTATGTTAATGACTGTAGACCTACATGATGTTGATGACGTTAGACCTACCTGATGTTGATGACGTTAGACGTACCTGGTGTTAATGACGTTAGACATACCTGATGTTAATGACGTTAGACTTACCTGATGTTAATGACCTTAGACTTACCTGATATTAATGACATTACACCTACCTTATGTTAATGACTGTAGACCTACCTGATGTTGATGACGTTAGACGTACCTGGTATTAATGACGTTAGACCTACCTGATGTTAATGAACGTAGTCCTACCTGATGTTAATGACGTTAGACTTACCTGATGTTAATGACTCTTTACCAGTTTTATAATTTTGTAACGGGTCCATTTTCTGTTGTTCATAATCCTTTAAACTCCCATCCTTCACTTTAAGCAATTTCCAATAATCATTCCAAAACAATCCGACATATTGTTTAGCATCCTTGCCTGCAACTTGTTTAGCATGTCCGCCTAGGCATATTATCGGCAATTCGGTGTTTGAATCAATAGGTGGTCGATGGTCCTTGAACGTGTACGTTGATAAAAGAATCCTTTTCTGGGTATCGTAAGCTGTCAGCGCATCCTCTGTCATCACCAAGATAAATCTATCATCCATAGTGAGTAATGTTTTTGAAACACGAGGTCCTGTTAGTGTTAGAGTATTTATTGGTCGCACCTCATGCACGTCCCAAAACTGCAGCAAACATTTCCTTTCATTGGTTCCACCTGTAAAATGGACGTTAGCATCTTAAACATACAATATGCAAGAGCTAAATCTGCCTATCGCAGGCCTTTCTTAGGCCTGAAATGTTATCTAAATTATTAATTAGACATTAATTAACTTATCCAGACAATAATCCACTGTCGATGTTATCACTAGCCTGCGATATTTACTGGATTAGGATCCTATTTGCTGCTCAACTTTCATTCATGATTAAATCATGAACTGGATAATCGAGACTATGTCTTTTATGGTACCGACTTTAGAAAAGATGATCGAGGCTAGGCCGAAAATTCAATCGCTAAATTCTCGGTTCAGAGTGGATAAATTTGACTGAAATTTTCAGCAAATGCCCTTTACATTATCTAGTTTTTAACTATTATAATGAGAACTGTCAGCTCCTTATTTAATCTCCCATAATGTATCTTTAAAGTTATAATCTAATTTTAAACCTAGCAAAAACACGCCCCATCTTTACATGGAGTTAAAATTGCCTTCACACAATCATTGAATCTCAAATACAGTGTATGAAAATAAAACATTTTGGTGAGAGTGATAATATTTTTAATCCATAAACAAAGCAAAAACACCCCCATCTTTACATGGACCTAAACATGCCTCCACACAATCATTGAATCTCAAATACAGTGTATAAAAATAGAACTTTTTAGTGAGAGTGATAATGGTTTTTTGGGGGGAGCCATGGCGTATTTCATTAATCGGTGCCCCGATCTGGTTCTTTGATTTGCGCTTCAAAATTTTAAAACCCAATCTATATATTGGTTGGCACATTGACCGTAATAGGGGGCCTGACATCCAAGCGCTGGCTCACTAGTCAGAAGGTTCTTGGTTCCATCCTCGTGTTGGCTAATAAAGTTGCACGATATATTGACAAGGAAAAGGGATTTAGACGTCCGGATGATAAGAAATCCCGCTGTTCGGGCAAAATTTCGCTCATAGCACATTGTATGTCGTATGCCCGTCTTCATTAGCCTGCCCAGTCGGAGCACAACAGTAGAACGTTAGACCCCATTCCTTTTCATTAATTTTCATCTGCATTAAATCTTCCTTCTTCAATACCCCAGTTAGTGTAGACAAGTTGGACGTTAAACCCCAAAACTAACTTACATGTGATAGCCGTGGTTCCATCCCTGGTTACATGTAAATCTATGATGTCACATCCGCCATGAACCGGAAGACAACATGTTAACCCCTGACCCACACTGGACAAGATTTTACTCTTGGTGGATATTGTCGTAAACCCAGCATCTTCACATTTATGCAGCAAGGTTTCAAGTTCCTTGGATTTCTAAATAAAAGAAACACGTGGATGAGTGGATTATTTCCCGAGGGAGGATTATTTCGGAGGAGTGGATTATTTCGAGACGACCATCCATTGGATATATGGTTTTATTTCAATAATTCGCTTACCTGAACGGGTGTCTTTAGCAAAGGGGGGGGGGCGTAGTCAGGTGAGTTTAGAATACAAGCCTGGCATCCAGGGCTCACGCTATGGCTTTCAATTTCATCCCCCCCCCGCCAACTGGAATATTTATCTGTAAAAACTGAGCTATAGAACACGGAACATGTAAGAATTTCAGATTGGCCTATATGTTCATCTGAATCCCTACAGTAATACTAGAACCTACTTTGGACGAGGTGATTCGGCCAAGAACCTGTACCGGAAGTTGGTGAGGATCCCTTGACAATGCATTCTGGGATATCTGTAAAACAACTTTTATCATCATACAATCCGCCATTTTGTTTTCACCATAAACGTTGACAGCTTCTGCTATATCGGATATGACACTTCTGAAATACACACACTTGTGGTTTGAGTTAACGGTAGGTTGAAATAGGGGCGGGGCAGGGGGCGGGGAAGGTCCGGGGAGGAGCTGTTGTGGGTGTATTTTATTTATGGTTTTATATATGGTGTCCGGAGCCACGGTGGCTAAGTGGGCAAGACACTGGCTTGCTAGCCTGACGGTCGCGTGTTTGATCCCTGTGCATTGGTTGAGAAAGGTCATCGGGATTTTCCGACTTGGTTTCCCCTTGCCAGTGGTGCAAGACGGAGGAGTCGTTAGGATGGTACGAAAAACCGAGGTCCCGTGTATACATTGGCCTGCACTTTAAAGATCCCGTGGCAGTTGGAATTCGATATAAGAGTAGGCCATAGTGCGGCTGCCCGGGCAAAACTTCACTCATAGAACAGTGTATGGCATATGCTCGTCTTCATTAGACCAGTCGGAGCAGAACAGTAGGACGTTAAACCCCATTTCATTTCATTTGTTATCAATGTACACAGTTGTAGCGAATGCATATTCCTGGGGGCAATGCCTTGAGGCACTGGCTTTAGGGGGCTGCAGCCGATGGGTCGCTGTCAACTGGGGGCCCTTCTTGGATTAAGTGAAAAGTCATCAATGAATCAAAGACAGAAAGAAAGATATGGGGTTTAACGTCCACTCGACACAAACTAGGTGATTTCGGGACTAACATATGGTTCAATTTTATTTCAATAATTCGCAAGTGCGTAGGGGTCTTTAGCAGTGGGAGGAAACCGGAAGATCCGGAGAAAATCCATAAGGTTGGACAGGCGATCCTCCTCCTTGTCACGTACAACCGGGGAATCGAAACCACGCCAGTTGACTCAATGACAGACCGTATGATACAACCGCACACGCTAACCATTCGGCCATCCAACCCCATTTACAGAAATTTATTAAAAGTCTGTTTTGAGAAATAAAATACTAACTCAACTCCAATGTGTTTAATCTTTGCTACCAAGAATTCCAGATTACACAAACACCGAGTCTTCAAATCATCCGGATTATATCCTGTCATGATCCATGGCAGGTTGTTTAACTTCCGGATGCTGTCATTCGTGAATTTTTTGCTGTCTACAAAATATCAGAATCGTATCCAGTTATTAAACAAAGGCCAGACTAAAGCTTAGTGTAAATAATATGGACACGGTAAAGAAGTATGGACACGGTAAAGAAGTATGGACACGGGAAAGAAGTATGGACACGGTAAAGAAGTATGGACACGGGAAAGAAGTATGGACACGGGAAAGAAGTGAGAAGGGGTTTTTCAACGGCCTACTTGTCTGTACAAATCCAGAAAAGGAAGACTTGTGTGATTTTAGAAAATACAAAAAAATTGGCGTGGATCGCGGCATCTCCGCCTACTCTTCCCTGAATTCAAAGTCGTTCTTATAGACACTGACTGTTACAATTAAAAAATGTATCGCCCGTATAGGTGTGCAAAATTTCCCTCATGACGCATGTCTTTCTTCATTATCCAAGACGTTGACAGAAACCCAATCTCATCTGTATGCTGGTTGTTATTGGAGAGAGAGAGAGAGAGAGAGAGAGAGAGAGAGAGAGAGTGAAATGGGGTTTAACGTCCACTCGACACAAACTAGTTCGTTTCAGGACTAACATATGGTTTAATTTTAATGCAATAATTCGCTTGCGCGTAGGGGTCTTTAGCAGTGGGAGGAAACCGGAGGATCCGGAGAAAACCCACGAGGTTGGACAGGCGACCCTTCTCCTTGTCACGTAAAACTGGGGAATCGAAACCACGCCAGTTGACTCAATGACAGGCCTTATGATACAGCGCGCACGTGCTAACCATTCGGCCATCCAACCCCAGGTTGTTATTCGAACAGTAATAATAGCAGCGAGATATAGTCGATATTATGATCAAAACCCGGTCTAGATATACCATTACCAACCATCGAAGTATGTTTTCAGTTTGTCCAAAAGAATATTTCGTAATGGTCGATGTTCTGACTTGTCAGTATCTGGACATGATTCCTTCTTCTGAAGAAGATACACTTCTGATACTTGCTGTCTGAATTCTGTTTGACCCAACACCACAACCGACAAATCATCGAAATCACGCCGTTCTAAAAGAATAAACAGAATATTACAGTTAGAAATTTGGGCTGGCATTTCAGGAACGCGCCCGGGAGAGGAAAGTATCGGTATCAGGTTCGACCCCGGACAAAAGCATAGCCTGCGATATGCACAACACTCATCAATACGAATGAATGTGCTATTCCTTTACCATTAGCTATCATATAGAACAGTGCTTCGCAACCAAGGCGACCTTCGGTTATCGTGATTTTCTGACTATGGTCGAACTAACTGAATCCGAATTTCATTTAGACCGGACCATAGTCCGAAAATACTGAACCATGCTATTGTGGCATGGTCGGAGTAGTTCCAAGATGGCGGTGTCGATGAAACCAAAGTGTAGAATATTTCAAAAGAATCTATTTTTGTTAAGTATATGATTTTAGGAAAGTTTGAATGAATTTTAAATGGTTGCTACTTCTATGATCAGATATTTTGTGACCCGTTTGTTATGTCCGAATCTAAAAATACGCATAATTTCAATACTTGCGCTATGCAAAAAGTAAAGTCAAATTAGAAGGAATTTTGTCGTCTCTAAAATTAATTTGAGTAGCGCAAATTTAACTTCATGAAAGTATTATTTGTTTATCAAACTATATAACACAGCGATTCATTATCCTCCATGGAGAGAATAGATATAGACCTTCCTTGTGCTTAGGGGGATTTTAGGGGTTATGGCCGAGGTCTAAAGCAGAGTAAAATGACATCCCTATGTCCCTGGGGGCAGCCATCTTTGAACAGACGATGGCCCGGACCATCCGCGTACGGTTTCTAGTTCCGACCACTAGTCGTGAAAAAACTATAACCGGTGGTCGCCCTGTGTGCCGCGAAATTTTGAACGGCACATGAAGAAAATGCAAAAAACCATGTGATCCCAATTGAGTATTCACTGGTGTCTACTGGTCTTTTTCTTTATTTAGATGGGGTCATTCTATATGTTTTTGACTAGTCTGTATGCAGTCTATGACTTAAAACGTTTTTATTTTGCAAAATTCAAATATTTTTCAAATATATTTAGCCAAGTGTGCCGCTATTTTTTATGTGTTCCAAAGTATGACGTTGGCAAAAAAAGGTTAAGAACCACTGATATAGAACGATAACTTACCAATGGCGACATCCAGATCACGGAGAAGCCTTAGCAGTATAGAAATAGGTATACGTTTATCGGGTATAACCCAGTAGCCATTTTCTACTTGTTTTACCACATCATTATGAAAGGATAACAGATCTATTAATTCTTTCTCGGTGAACCCTCTTTTAGCTGGAAAAACGAGACAGCAAATAAAATTAGTTTGAAGAATGTCGCATCCTTTAAATAGCCTGAAATATTTAGGGAGAATGATCTAGATGTATTTATTCCGTTTAAACGCCTTTATGTTGTGGGGGCTTAAATGGTCGAATGGTTAGCACGTGCGTGCTGTATTATAAGGTCTATCATTGAGTCAACTGGCGTGGTTTCAATTCCCCCGGTTGTACGTGACAAGGAGTAGGGTTGCCTGTCCAACCCCGGGGCTTTTCTCTGGGTCATCCCGTTTCCTCCCACTGCTAAAGACCCCTACGCGCAAGCGAATTATTGAAATAAAATTGAACCACGTGTTAGTCCCGAAATGACCTAGTTTGTGGCGAGTGGATGTTAAACCCCAATCCTCTCTCTCTTTCTTTATGTTGTCATGGTTACAAAACAAAATAAATAATAACATGTTTACCTATAGTGAGATACCCCAATGTCTTTTTGACTAATTCTATTCCATGTATTTTCTCCAGACTCTCAAATATGGCTCGAATTCTAAAACCTATGGCGCTGCCTTCATCCCCATGGCTGACGAGTTGAGTAATAATACTTGCACTAGGATCTGCTGTGTTCGTTTTATTTTCTTCATTGACCTGCAGACATTCAAGCAAATAGCGGGTGCGATTTTATGACGATTATGGATAATCTATGGTCGCTTTGATATAAACAAACTGGTGTCACGTATACGCCTTAGCTAAAATCATTTCCAGGGAGAGAGAGAGAGAGAGAGAGAGATAGAGAGAGAGAGATGGGGTTTAACGTCCACTCGACACAAACTAGGTCATTTTAGGACTAACACATGGTTCAATTGTATTTCAAAAATTCGCTTGCGCGTAAGGGTCTTTAGCAGTGGGATGAAACCGGAGGACTGGGAGAAAACCCACGAGGTTGGACAGGCGACCCTACTCCTTGTCACGTACAACCGGGGAATCGAAACCCCGCCAGTTGACTAAATGACAGAACGTATGATACAGCGCAGCACGCACGTGCTAACCATTCGGCCCTCCAACCTTCCCATGGGCATATCTCATAGCACATTGCATTGCGTAGGGTTGGAGAAGAACGATTGCACGTTAAACCCTATTTCTTTTCATATCCATTCCTCTCAGAACACAAGATTTATAAAATATTAAGTATTTGCCGTGCAATAGTAGATATGTCTCGTGATATAGACGTATAATATTACATGTTCAATTTTTTTCAACCAATATAACCTTAACGTTACAATTTCAAATTTTCTAAGAAAGTCAAAACATAATTATTTCTATGTCTTTTGCTCAATAGGTTGTCAACTCACTATAATACGATCATAGGTGCCATTCTCACACTTAAAACTCATTTACACCGGAAATAATAACACTATTACCTCCCTTGTTTTTCTACACCCCCCCCCCCCATCTTCAAACGTTTGAATTTGAAGAGGAAAATGATATTTTTGCCAATTTCTCAACTGGCAATAGTGAATTATAAGATTAATAGGATTATTCTTTAACAAGGTAGGACGGTTTATAGATACCATCTATTTTAGGGCTTTATTTGAATACATTCTAAAAATATAACTTAAAAATATGAAATTGCAACTTTAAAGGTACGCATGGTCAATTATTTAAAAAAGAACATTCTACAATACTTTAAGAATGCAATCTTTTTATTGGCTTACCACTCAAATCTCTGCTATGATTTTAGTGCTAAGCCAATGAACCATTACTATTCTTACAATATTTCATGATGGAGATATTTTGATTTTGACGACGAGGGACTGTAAATAGAAGCGATATTTAGCTTACCTGGTTGACGTCATTTAGATCATATGACGTCCATTTTACAACCACGTCATACAGTAAGCGAACCATTAGCGGACTGTGAAATTTTTCTAAAACTTGTCCAACTATTTTCTTCTGAATGTCTGTCAATCTTCTATTTTCTTGTTTTAATAAATGAAGGAGAACATTTTCAGCCTCTTCTTGTGTAAATTTATTTATTTCTAGTTTGTCCTATAAATATAAATATATTTCAGAAACCATATTGGCCTCGATGTTCTTGTGTGTAATTTTAGTTAAATACCATTATTGGCATGGATATTCACGAGTAATGAGTAAACATCTCTAGGCAAACGATGTGCATGGATATAGTAGATCGATACTAAAATTGTATTTAGCAATAAAGCATACAATTCTGTGCTCTACTTTTCGCGGCATAAATGACAAGGTTCCAATTTATCATTCGGACCTACGGGAACCGTACACCCCATTAAGAACACTAAGATCCCAAGATAAAAATCTTCTTGTTGTGCCAAAAAGCAAAACGTTTCGTTTCGGCCAGATGTGCTCCAACAGAATGGAATGAATTGCCAATGGTCGTCAAGAACTCACTTTCTTTAGAAGCATTTAGATCTAAACTCAAACCATACTTTTTCACAATAGCGTTCACCGTGTGACTTTGTGGACTGCGTTTCAAGCATTCTTAGTCATCAAGAGAGAGTTTAAAGATACATTCCCGCGTAGAAACTGGGTGAAGAGAGAGTTTAAAGATACATTCCCGCGTAGAAACTGGGTGAAGAGAGAGTTTAAAGATACATTCCCGCGTAGAAACTGGGTGATTTAAAGGTATATATGGACTAAAAACATATTCAAACAATTTAATTTGTTATAATTTTGCTTTAAATCCTTCTCAAACATTGTAATTGCCAAGGAATGCCCTGCTATAAAAATTCGATCAAACCAGGTCATGTTTATGTCACGTGACGTACCTCTCTCGCAAGTCAGAGGAGAATTCATTGCATACATAAGACGATGTTGTCTTTAATCGTTTACTATTTATTCAAATATCGAATCCTAATTAAATTCTCGGATTAACCACCACCTGCCTCTTTTTCCGTCATTTTTATCTCAGAAAGTGTTGTACGTCTAACTCTTCATAAAGTTTATCAACTTGTACATCAAGCGTTCAATGTTCACGTGTGACCTTCGACATCACGCGTGCAGAAATTCCTAATCGTCGGGCTGTCGATTAGGGGAACCCTTACATTTTTGTCCTGTATACGCGCCATGAGTGCTTTTCGGGGAATCCAGTATTTTTCTAGTAAGATTGGATATCTATACTTTCCATATATTCCAAAATTGCCATACTTTTATTGGAAATAACCACCCGATAAATACTTTTCTGGGAACCCATCTTTCATGTCCACTCGACACCAACTGGGTCATTTCGGGACTAACATATGGTTCAATTTTATTTCAATAATTCGCTTTCACGAGAGGACACGGAGAAAACCCACGAGTTTGGACAGGCGACCCTACTCCTTGCCACGTACAACCGGGGAATCGAAACCACGCCAGCTGACTCAATGACAGGCCTTATGTTTCGGCCATTCAACCCATATTGTAAATAGACTATTATTATTTGATTATTATATTCTTAATCTTTAAGTGGCATTTAGCGATTGGAAAACACATTAATAGAACACAATTTTTATGGGAAACAATCACTGGTTTATTCTAAAAGCACGACGTTTCGACAAGTTAATGGACTATGCAATGCCTACATTAATTTATTATAAGTGTTATCCATATCTTAGTAAATGGTTTCATCCCTATTACCTCATTGAAACAACATAACAGCATCCAACGGCTCCCTTTGATGGTCTTCATAATTAGCTAAATGTTTTCCATTTGTTGTTGATTGTCTAATTAACTACCCTACTTATCCTATGTCTAATTTGTTTAATCCTTTATCTTTATTGTTATTGTTATTTTATCTTATTATATGGTTTCACCATGTCCACTCTTATATATTCATCTGAAGTTTATGAAATGTCATTGTGCTTGATAACGATAAGAGGATACTTGTCGAAACGTCGTGCTTTTAGAATAAACCAGTGATTGTTTCCCATAAAAATTGTGTTCTATTAATATTATATTCTTACTTACCGCCTTGTCAAATCCCACAGGACTGTCAGCGGTGATTATAACTGTAACACACTTTGATAACTGGTCTGGAATCCAGGCGCGATTTGACGCCTCTTCCGGGGGACTCAGACGATCCAAAGAGTCAATAATGATGACTATTTCCTTTAAAGTTCTCGCCAACATGTCGTTCAGTCCATGACAGATGGCGCTGTAGTCCGTCTCCTTTAGCATGTCCTGAAAATGTAATGAAATGGCGTTTAATTGCCCGCTTTTCTGCACCGACGGACTTAATGAAGACGGGCAGGCACCATACAGTGTGCTTAGATGGAAATTATACCCTGACAGCAGCAGCGCTACGCCCTACTCTTGGGGGGGAGCAATAACCGAATGGTTAGCACTCGACACAAACTAGGTCATTTCGGGACTAACATATGGTTAGCAGTGGGAGGAAAACTGAGGAACAAGAGAAAACCCACGAGGTTGGACAAGCGACCCTACTCCTAGTCACCTACAACCGGGGAATCGAAACCACGCAAGTTGACTTAATGACCGATCTTATGATACAACGCGCACGCGCTAACCATTCGGTCATCCACCCCTCCCCTCCCGCGTGTCAATCTGGACAACAGAAATGAGGGGGTATCGAACGGATCCAGTCTCAAAACAGATCTCAGTAAGGAACTTTGCGCACGCGCTAGTGTTCAGTTTGACCTTGACCCTTTGACTTGTTTCCCTGTGACTGAAATAATTTTTTTGTGAAGAGTTCCACAATTTAGTGTGCCAGGGGCGGTTCGGAGAACGGTTATTACATAGGAATTTCTTAAATATCATCGCGGCCTGGACCGGTTCCGAGCACAGGCCAGCTTATGGGGCCTCGAGGTTCATGGTAAAAAGAGGAAAAAAAAGCTATTAAATTCCAGATGACAATTTCATTCATCGGTCTTGCGGCACGATGGGCGGAGACTGGATGAGTGTGCGATTCTTCAACGTTCTCTGTGATTGGTCGAAACCCGTGACATAGGCGAATGCGTGCCATTCGAAAGGATATAATGATCTTTTCGTAGCGGTAGGGGTCCCACGATTCTAGTCTGGCCGCAGGCCCCGTTCCGTTTAAGCTGGTCTTTGGTTCCGAGTACGGTACGCTTATCGCAGGAAAGTGTACACACAGTTTAAAGCGAGAATTTCAAATTTTCTAAGAAAGTCAAAACATAATTATTTCTATGTCTTTTGCTCTATAGGTTGTCAACTCACAATTATACGATCATAGGTGTCATTCTCACACTTAAAACTCATTTACACAGGAAATAATAACACAATTACCCCCCAATTACCTCCCTTGTTTTCTATTCTCCACCATGGAGTAGCTTAGTTTTCAAACGTTTGGATTTGAAGAGGAAGATGATATTTTTGCCAATTTCTCAGCTGGCAATAGTGAATTATAGGATTAATAGGATTATTCTTTAACAAGGTAGGACTGTTTATAGATACCATCTATTTTCAGGCTTTATTTTAATAAATTTTAAAAATATAACTTAAAAATTTGAAATTCCCGCTTTAAGACTCACCGGTTCGATCACTGTATCATCATTGATTACCCTGCTGATCTGAAGATAAATACTAATCAGTGTAGATTTAACCGTCATACTTTCTGGAGTCAGACCACCGAATCTAAAATAAAAAGTACCTTTGTCGTATGAAATGAAATGAAATGAAATGGGGTTTAACGTCCTACTGTTCTGCTCCTATACTGGGCTAATGAAGACGGGCATACGCCATACAGTGTGCTATGAGGGAAATTTTGCCCGGGCAGCGGCACTATCGCCTACTCTTATATCGAATTCCAACTGCCAAGGGATCTTTTACGTGCATTCCAATGTATACACGGGACCTCGGTTTTTCGTCTCATCCGAAGGACTAGACAGCTGTCCTTGTCAGGCCCTCCGTTCTGCACCACTGACAAGGGGAAACCACGTCGGAAAATCCAGATGAACTTTCTCCGCCAATGCAGGGATCGAACACCCGACCTCCAGGCTAGCGAGCCAGCGTCTTAACCAACCAGCCACCGTGGCTCCCCCTTTGTCGTATGACACTAGGGCGGTTTAAGCTCTTCTCAGAAAATGGGGTGGGAGGTTGATCAGCGGGGTCGCTGCGAGCAACTGTTGGCTAGAACCAGAGATGGGATACTTAAACTGAAATAACATTATTTTTTCTACAAAGAAAACATCTGCAAGTGTGGGGGTGGGGTGGGGGTGAAGCAGAGGGGACGTGGCATAACCCAGTGCAAACATCAATTCGCCATTGTTTATGCTGGTTGATATTAGCGCAACACAAGATCCATGCATTCGGGCTCGTCCATGATTTTACTCTTGGGAATCAGACCACCAAAGCTTAAACTGTATTCTCTTCACACCCGGCATTTATAGTCCGGTCGCCAAATCCAATGTTTCGAGTGAACCTGGAAATTATATACAAAGTTTTTTCTATGATTGATTTTAGTAGCCTAGGCTGTCCTCGTTCAGAATCTGCTGGGTGAACATCGGTCACCCTTGAGCGTTTTGAGAAATTCAAGATAGCGTCCAAGTCGGCCGCCACATCAATTAAATCCCCTATAGCTCCCATAGTATTTATTCTAGGATGTATACAATTTTGGTGTATACAATTTCCAGGTTCAGCCATAGTTCTGTCGGACTAATTTGAAGGCCACGGATCATGCTAAGCTAAATTATATTTGGAGTCCGTTTAGACTATTGTATATGTGGACGGTTAGCAATCAGTAATAATGTATGTCATGCAGAAGGCAGGGTGTCCTTAGTTTAGTTTGAACACCTAGTCAATACTTCCAATCAAGCTTACAAAGTGTGTAAATAGTAATCGTGTAATAATAACTTCAGTACCTTATAATAACTGCTGATGGTGTATCTAACTCCCAACACTGCTGGACAACCTTAGCTACCAATGATGACTTTCCACATCCAGTCTCTCCATGTATAAGCAACGGAAGCTTGTTATCTTTTTGTATGTGGTCGCGAATAATCTGTAAAGAAATGTAATGAAATGAGGTTTAACGTCGTACTGTTCTGCTCCTAACCTGGGCTAATGAAGACGGGCATATGCCATACAGTGTGCTATGAGGGGAATTTTGCCCGGACAGCGGCACTACGGCCTACTCTTATATCGAATTCCAACTGCCAATGGATCTTTTACGCGCACTCCATGTGTACACAGGACCTCGGTTTTTCGTCCCATCCGAACGACTAGACAGCTGTCCTTGTCAGGCCCTCCATCCTGCATCAAATCTGTAAAGAAGTCCAATAATGTGTATAAATATGTGTACCGAGAAAGTTCGCCCAGATTTTCCGGCGTGGTTGCCCCTTGTCAGTGATGCAGGACGTAGGGCCTGCCCAGGACATCTGTCTAGTCATTCGGATGAGACGAAAAACCGAGGTCCCGTGTACACATAAGCGTGCACGTAAAAGATCCCTTGAAAGTTGGAATTCGATATAAGAGTAGGCCGTAGACCACTGCCCGGGCAAAATGTCCCTCATAGCACACTGTATGGCGTATGCCCGTCTTCATTAGCCCATTTCGGAGCAAAACAGTAGGACGTTAAATCCAATTTCATTTCATTTTGTTCCCATCATATTATAATAAACATCATAGACTCGATTGTCCAACTAATGAGAATTTGTGCGTATTGCGACTGGTTGACAGAATGTAGGTGAGTGTAACTTTGATCCCACCTTTCGTTGTCAATATGTTTCTCACCTTTGTATTTTAAATCCACTGACAGAGATTCAGTTTTAGACGAGTTATTTGCCCCTGATTTTGATAATCTCGCTTGCGAATGAGAACAATAATAATAATAATAATAAAAATCAATCTGTTTTACAGAGGATTACTAAAGTCTTCTTATATCTCTGTAAAAGATGACTACCTTTAACACTTGACGTCTCATCACTCAATGGCGCGTGCATTATTTACATAAGACGTTACTACATCAGGCAGAATGGAGGCTTTTACTCATTTCAATACAGGAAATAATTTTTACCTACAAATATTTCAAACGTCTTTATTTATTTTTCTAATATATAAAAAATAATATTTTAGAATTAAATTTGTCGGAGGAAAAAAGTTAATATTTGTGGCTCATTAAGTCGCATCGATGTCATTCTTATCAGTGATTGTAGCGGCGTAGCGAATATTCACTGCGGATCAATGTGACTAATAATTTATTTTACGAAAGTAATAGACTTTAGACGTTTTACTATTTCATAGCTTTATGTTGTTTATGATCAAGATTTTCAATGTTGTTTTTTTTTATTTTTGTTTGGGCTACAAACCTTAAGATAGTGTTCTTTTCTGTCTGAAAAATTGCGACACAAATTTTGGCAGTGTATGATATGGCGTGAGATATCCTTTAATAGAAAATCCAATTCCCTTTCTTCTCGCTCTTTGATTCCACTGTTTATCATGTCGGATAGCTTGGTTACACAACTCTCACAGAATTTACTGATGTAAGTTTTATGTTCAGTAGAATCATTTGCTGCTGTAACAAAATAATAATCAGTTATATCTGTACTGAAATGTCATATTATTAGAGTCATACGCTCCTAAAGTGCTAATTCCAGGCCAAGGGGGGGTGGGGGGTGGGGGTTGGGTGGCCGAATGGTTAGCACGCACGCGCTGTATCATACGGCCTGTCATTGAGTCAACTGACGTGGTTTCGAATCCCAGGTTGTACGTGGCAAGGAGAAGGGTCGCCTGTCCAACCTCGTAGGTTTTCTCCGGGTCCTCCGGTTTCCTCCCACTGCTAAAGACCCCTACGCGCAAGCGAATTATTGAAATAAAATTAAACCATATGTTAGTCCCGAAATGAAATAGTTTGTGTCGAATGGACGTTAAACCCCATATCTCTCTCTCTCTCTCTCTCTCTCTCTCTCCCTTCCAGGCCAATAAAGAAAGACATACAAATTCCAGCGTATAGTTCTTTACGTTTATGCCAATGTATAAACGGGGCTCCGGTTTATCATCCTATCTCAACCACCCTGATAATACCAATGTACACAGAATAAAAAAAAATAAAAACCATATTATTATTACAAACCGACTATCCACACTCAAAACCAATTCCAACACTCAAAGCCAGTTATAACACTCCAAAAAAAGGGGATGGAGAGTGGTAGTGTCCAGTCAACATAAACAGGTCATTTCGGGGCTAGCCTATGGTTCAATTTCTGGTTTCAATAATTGGCTTGCTATTCAATTGTAATTAACTACTATTGTACTATAAATTGGTTTCTTTAATATTGGCTGATGTCAACGAAATTAGTAAATAGTATTTCACAGGAAATAACAAGACGGATCAAATAGCATTAGATTATACTGATATTGAATAACGAATTCTAAAACATTCATTTCGAATAGCGTTGAATAATTATTGTAATACATGTATGTGTGGGATCACTAGGAGATATTTACCTTCTGTCCAGGAAACATCAAAGTTTATAATATTCTGTTCCGGTAACTTATCTTTCATTTTCTTTTCTTTTAACTCTTCAAACAGTTGTTTAGATACGTCATTATCTGCTGAGATATCTGAAATAGAACCCAGACGTGTTCAACTACTACGTCATTTAAAACAACCCGCAAATCAACCCGCAAACGCAGAACTGCCTGAAGGGGTTATTTTTCACCCTAACCTCGATTTCCAATCGGCGACAATTGGTTACACAAATCAGGTGGCAAGCACGGGAAACTAAATGATTGACCTTAATCCTACGCCCCTAAGCAAAGTAAACGATTTTCTACACGATAATCATCTCACTGAACATGCCTATTAGATTCTGGATAATATGCAATATTTCTCACGCTTTGTCCTGCATTCTAAAATGTAACCTGTAGTTAGTGAAACAATCAAGTCCGTCATATATACTCACAGTTGCGTTCTATATTTAAAAAAATGTGTAGTTTTATCTGAATATTTCAGTGTAGTTTTATCTGAATATTTCAGTGTAGTTTTATCTGAATATTTCAGTGTAGTTTTATTTAAATATTTCAGATACTGTGTAGTTTTATCTAAATATTTCAGTTAATTACTATATTTAAGATTGTGGACGATATGGCATCGTCATATCTCTGCAAACTCGACGACGTCAGAGGCACACTAAAAGTCACCCGTTTTACCCAAGCACCATCACTTGTCTACCCCAAAGGTCGAGCGAACAATACATTTTACGGTGACCGAATCTTCTCACGATATGCCCCTATCTTATGGAATGGACTGCCATGCGAAATTAGAGCCGTGATAAACATTGAAACTTTCAAAAAATGAATCAAAACTCGTCTTTTCCGACCCCATTTCGGATGTTAAACCTTTTCTTCTTATGTAGTTTTATTATCTGTAAGTTTTTATCTTATAGTTTCTCTTTTACATATCTTATTACAGTTTTACTGAAATTTTACTTAAGTTTTCCTCTTATGTAGTTTTATATTATCTGTAACAATCTTATTTTAAATATTTTTTTTTGTAAGGCGCTTTGAAAATGTGCCATGCTTTTTACTGTGTAAATAGTTATGTTTTAGAATGCGCTATATAAGAATGTATAATTATTATTATATCATAATTATGTAGCTTTATCTGAAAATTGTAGGTACGGTGTAGTTGACGGTGTTGTTCTATCTGGATATTTGAGGTACTGTGTAGTTGTATCTGAATATGAGAGGTACTGTTTAGTTTTACCTGAATATTTAGGTGTAGTTTTTGGATCCTGTTCATGTATATCTCTAATAGTTCTATAAAACCATAAACACGTCTTCTTTACTTCCTCTTGATCTCTATTTAATATACCAGCTTCTATCTCCTTCTCTGTCACTATATATAAACCATGAAATAACAACATAGAAACCATGACAACATAGAAACCATGATATAACAACATATAAACCATGATATAACATCATATAAACCATGACAACATATAAACCATGATATAACAACGTATAAACCATGACGTGACAACATATAAACCATGACATGACAGCATATACCCCACGCCAACCCCACCCCACCCCCACAAACACAAGAAGTACCATAAGGTGTAAAACTTACATGTAATTCCCGCTATAGTTTAAAAAACCACGAGAAAAATTATCAGGTGTAAATGCATACAAGTAATTGACGAGATAGTTAAAGTTATTTACCGGAAGTGATATATTTTCTCTGCCCCTCTCTCGACATTTTACTAACAGCTTGTCTGGCTATGATCTTGGTAAACTCCGCTGAATCTGTTCCAAAACTGTTTTGACCCTGCTCCTGCTTTTCATTTTTTGTATAATCAGGATAGATCTTGGTGACTGGTAAAATAACATACTCTGCTGGAATTCTGTTCTCGTCATATTTATACCATCTATACAAAATATACACACAATATATAGACAGAATATACACACAATATATAGACAGAATATACACACAAAATACACACAAAAAATATACACACAGAATATACACACAAGATATACACACAGAATATACACACAAAATATACACACAGAATATAAACACAAAATATACACACATAATATACACACAAAATACACGCACATAATATACACACAAGATATACACACAGAATATAAAAACAAAATATACACACAAAATACATACACAAAATACACACACAAAATATACACACAATTAATGAATGCTATGAGGTTTAACATCCTTCTTTTCTCTTAATATAAACGGGCACACAATAAGGTTAACGTCCTTCCGAAATTATCCCTCTTCGTCCCATCCGAACGACTAGACACCGTTCCTTGTCAAGCTCTCCGCTCTATACAACATAGCAAGAAACAAACACGCTGGAATACTCAGATTTAATATCTCTGGGATCCAACTCGGACCGACTTGTTAATAAGCCAGCGCCATACTGAAGGATCCACTCAAGAGAATTACAGAACAGGACATAGAGCGACAAAAAATTGAAACTGCAATTTAGAGTTGCCCGGTTGACAACGCAGGAGAATTCCCGAACACACACACACAGCAAAATGTTACAAGGAGAAATATTCTGGGTTTTGATTCTAATAATAACCAATCGTACTTATCAATCAGCTCTTTTTCTTTATACTGTAGACCATCGGTTAGGATGTTATAATCTGTTTCACTTATCTCGGTAGGATACGGACACCAACCATATCTCTGGGCATACAACGTCTAATAAATAAACATATGTAAAACAAAAAATACGGACTCAAACCATATTTGTGGGCATACAACGTCTAATAAATGAATGTATTTAAAAAGACTATTGAATATTTCCCACCTAACTCAACTATAAAATATAGCCCACATGGCCGAACTATTAAATATGGCCGAACTATAAAATATTGCCCACCTAACTCAACTATAAAATATAGCCCACCTAGCCCAACTATAAAATATATACTTAACTTACCACAAATGAGGGTCCTGTGGATATTTCATTACAAAGTTTGATTTCATTTAGACAAATTTCGGTTGTTTTATGAAGAATCTGCATTTCTTCTCGAATTCCCCACCTCATATCTACAACCTGAAAATCGTATCCTCTCTCCTTACAGAATAGTTGTAGCTTGGGGTAACTTATTTCCATCCAAGCATTCCTTTCATGCTCAGTATCTGTAAATTCACATAACAAGTTTGGAAATGAAATGGAATTTTAACGTCCTATCTCTCTGAAACGTAGGGTTATTTAGAAGCGGGGGGGGGGTACCCGGAGAAAACCCACGAGGTTTGACAGGCGATCCTACTTCTTGTCGCGTACAACGGGGAATGAAACCACGTCACTTGGCTCAATAACAAGCCCGATGACCCATCGTGCACGCGTAACACCCCCTCCACCCCCCCCCCCCCTAATAAAAACAAAAAGCGGGTTTCGGATGATACTCTTCCTCGAACCCTTGGCAACTGGAATTCGACATACAAATAGATTTTACCATATGTTAAGTTGAAAATAATCGAAATATATACTGATGGCAAAAAACATTGTCAATTTAATACCTGGAACTTATTTCGAGTAAGTTATTCAGCTTCAACTGTGTTTGAAAACCACAAGGGAATGGCTCAGTGAGTAAGACGCTGGCCCGCTAACGTGAGAGTCTCGGGTTCGTCCCCGGTATTTGCCGAGGAAGTTCACCAGGATTGTCCGGAGTAGTTTCTCTTTGTCAGGGGTGCAGAATGAGGGGTCTGACAAGCGAAAAATATTATGAAGCCATATCAGTTGCTTGCTTAGCTTAATATGTCATAAACACATTACTGGCAAAGACTAAACAAAACGCTGATTCCAACCTGTCGGAACCAGGAGTGGGATTGTCGTCTATACGCCATATAGTACATTGTATATTCACAAGGTAATACTTTAGATCGCCTCGTACAACTTGGGATCCGCCCTTGTTCGTACATCTGCCCATCAACATTTTAAAATTTAAAATACCTGTAAATGTGCTACTTGTAAATATTCGAACTATTTTAGCTACTGGCGGACATTTTACATTTATGTTTCCATGAAGTATTTTATCTTTGATTTCTGCATCACTGGAACCACCTGTTCCTACTAGAGGCAAATCATCCTGCCGTTCAGTGGGGTTCTCCTGCTAGAAAAGAAAAAAGAGCAATAGAAACATCAGTGCAACAATCAACACATTACGGCTAGCACCCATTCAACTGGTCTAATATTTAAGCCCGTTGTCTGTTGCTTGCAATGTCTGTGTGCTGTGTGAATTTTGAGCAACTGGCTCAATAACCGGTTTGGTCCTGGTCCAGTCTAGTTTCCCCTTACCGGCGGTGCAGAACAAGAGTCTAGTCGTCCGAATGGGACGAGAAGCCCACCCATTTACACTTGGCATGCACATAAAACAACAAGTTGGTATCTAATGAAAATTAGGCGAAGACACCGCTGTCCGAGCAAAAATCTACTTCACGTGAAAATAGAAAAAATGAACAAACATCGTGTTGGGGTGACATTTTAAAAAAAAAAACAGTAATATTTTGAAATATAACAATAATATTCTCTCAACGTTTTAAAGTACTTGCTTGGTAACCTGGGAGCTGGATGGCTGAATGGTTAGTCTGTCATTGAGTCAATTGGCGTGGTTTCGATTCCCCGGTTGTACGTGACAAGGGATAGGGTCCCCCTGTCCCAACCCCGTGGGTTTTCTCCGGTTTCCTCCCACTGCTAAAGACCCCTAAGCGCAAGCGAATTATTGAAATAAAATTAAACCATGTTAGTCCCGAAATGACCTTGTTTGTGTCGAGTGGACGCTCTCTCTCTCTCTCTCTCTCTCTCTCTCTCGCTTGATAACGTTGAGAGAATACTCTTCGTAACGTCTGCCGGTCAAATAAATTAATATGACCAATACTTTCTTCAATGGATCTTACATTTTGACTTGGTGCTGACTGAACTGTAGTGGGTGTTTTGCTGATCGGAATATACCTGAAATTGTATAATATACATAGCCTGTTTATTATGTTGGAATAAAATATAACTGTTTATGACTGGGAATAAACAGTTTATGAGCCACCCTTTGACTAGGATTCTGGAATCTTTATCAACAGTAAATGGGGTTAGCGTCCTACGTTTTTGTACCAATATGTAGACCAGGTAGTATGCCGTTTTATGAATATTGCACACACAGCGGTATTTCATAGGGACGAGGTCGGCGCCAACTCTGGACCCAGGGTGTTCATCCCATGGGGAAACCAGGCTGCCAAGATTGGGTCACGTGGCACTCTATAGTCATATCTGCAGCATGACGGCAGGTAATATTTGATAATATCGAGAATATGACGTCATCCAATATTTCATAATATCCGACAAACAAAATACGAACCTTGCTCTATATTCTGTAGAAGGACGAACTTCCAGTTGGGTATTCGTGATAACATCAAAACTTTTTGAAGATCCGCAACCCATTTTATTGATGACAGAGAAAACAGATTCTTTAGCTCAGATAAACAATGGATCCCGAATAGATCTTGTTATATTCCAAATCCAGCACTGACCAGCAGTAGAAACATTTACACAGCATCTGAACAACTTCTGATTTCAACAGTTCTCGACCCTACAGTAGAAATAATAAACTATCAACTTACTGTATTTCTCCCCAAAATTAGAAATAATAAAACCTAGATACTAATCGAGATTCTTCCTTCTCTTTACCGATCATAAGATGTCCAGTTTTTTGTGGATTACGATTTGAATTAAAATATATATCTTCCTTCTCCTATTAACAGAACACAGTTTTTATGGGATACAATCACTAGTTTTATTCTAAAAGCACGACGTTTCGACACGTATCCTCTTATCCTAGTTTGGTGATTATACATTTGCCAATACCAGAATACAAACTAACAAGACACAGAAACTTAAAAATGAACGTCCTGGCAAAGTTATCCCAAGATTATTCCTTCTTCTTAACGATCATAAGGTTCCAATTTTTTGTGGATTACGATTTGAATTGAAATATATAATCCTCCTTCTCCGTCTTATATATTTGCAAATGCACGAATACAAACCATACAAACCAACAAGACATAGACACTTAAGAATGCACGTCCTGGCAAAGTTATCTCAAGACTTAAAATGGTCGAGTCGACACCTGAATGACACATATATCCATTAAACAACAACAATACGTTAAGTATATCCTTGGGTCGATTGGTGTAAAATAGTTTTATTTAACGTCCGCTTCTCTAATAAAAACATACATATAAATATCGCAGTTGCTTGATTTATTAAGTCCTTAATAACCCCGTATTTAGTTATTTTTATAAAGTTTTAATTGCATAATACATGTATAATATAATATTGTACAGTATATAACTTTAACATAAAGAGATCGTTTTTACGTCCTTAGTTACCATGTGTGTTTACACAATTTAAATATAAACAGATTATCTTTTTAAAGGAACACGACTGGATATAGACATTTCTAGCTTCCAGTTTCTGTGACATATGGGAGATGCTAATTGTAGGCCGGCTGGTGAGGTTCGGGAATTTCCGGAGTCCACAATGGCTGCTTTATATAATGAGTATTTTGGGGAATACTATTCCTAACCCTAACCCTGTTTAGAAGACTGAACTTGGATCCAATTTTTCCTTTTAGGGTTAGGTCTAAGAATTTGGTGGAAAGGGTTAGGGTTAGTATTCTCCAAAATACTAATTTATATAAAGCGGCCATTTTGGACGCCGGAAATTCCCGAACGTCTCCAGTCGGCCTACAATTAGCAGTATATATTGAAAGCATCAATCCTCCAGACGGCCATTTAATCAGTGTCCATATCTAAATTTTACCAAAATAAGGGTCAGTAATTTACATGATTCAAACAAAAACCCTAAAATGATTAGATACCATCTGGAATCAAAATTAGTTATAATTTTTCACAATCAACACTACTTGTCAATTTACCTTTTGATAACATTACTTTTTATAATAAATGGTTGAAAAGTCTTTTAATTTTGAAATACTGAGTGAAAACGCCATTGCCTGGGCAATATTCCCGTCCTACTGTTTTGCTCCAACTGGGCTAATGAAGACGATCATACGTCATACAGTGCGCTATGAGGGACATTTTGCACAAGGGGTCGATTACGTGCACGCCAATGTGGAGATGGGACCTCGGTTTTTCTTCCGATTCGAACAACTAAACAGATGTCCTTGTCACAAGGGGAAACCAAACCGGAAAAAAAACCGATAAACTTTCTCGGCTAACACAGAAGACCGAAGCTAACGAGACAACGTCTTACCCACTTAGCCACCATGGCTCTCTAGAAATAAAAATGACCGTATAATTTTAGGGCTGAAGTGGAAAGAACGTTAAAACCTCATTCCATCCAAGCTTTCGAAGAAGGAAAAGGCTATATTCTTAAAGTAGTGTAGAATGTTTTGTTTTAACAAGACCATGTGTACCTTTAATGTTTTAAACATGTAATATTATACGACTATCGCACGAGGTATATCTAATATTACACGGCAAATAATTAATATTTTATAAATCTTTTGTTCTGAAGAGAGAGAGAGAGAGAGAGAGAGAGTGGGGGGGGCGGGGGTAACGTCTACTCGATACAAACTAGGTCATTTCGGGACTAACCTATGGCTCAATTTATATTTCAGTAATTCGCTTGCGCTTAGTGGGTCTTTAGCAGTGGGAGGGAACCGGAGGACCCGGAGGACCCGGAGACCTGTCACGTACAACCGAGGAATCGAAACCACGCCAGTTACTCAATAAAAGACCTTATAATACAACGCGCTCGCACAAACCTGCGGACAAGACAAAGATATTGTAAGAATAAACAACACTTATCAAATCAAGGGAATGGATCTGGGGCCGGGTCTGTAATGACACCTGTAGGGTAAATAGTTTTCTTCTGTCACCAGTCCAACCTCGTGGGTTTTACTCCGGGTTCTCCTGTTTCCTCCCACTGTTAAAGACCCCTACGCGCAAGCGAATTATAGAAATAAAATTGAACCATGTGTTAGTCCCGAAATGACCTAGTTTGTGTCGAGTGGACGTTAAACCCCATTTCTCTCTCTCTTCTTTCACCAGTATTGCCAGTCACGGACTATACTGTTTATAACGGTCAACACAAGTAGCTGTTATTCATTTTATACCGTTATCTAATCATCTCTCGCAGCCATGTTTACAGCGCGTCCCTAGCAACCATACAGCTATAGTAGTAGTAGACATAGCCGACACTTATAACTCATGTTTATACAGGGCGGATCTCGGGTTATTTTAAAACACCATCTGGTCATATTCTGTTTGCTTATATCCACTGCCCACAAAGGCTGAGGTGGATGAGGCGCGCAATTTTGTGAATGGTCTTTGACGTATGACAAATTGTGGTAGTTGCTACGACCTTACGTTCTTCGTCTTTTGAAGACATGGACTCTTATTGACGACTGCCATACACGAGGGTAAGACTTGTAAGAAAACCCAACGCCACTTTTCACCCTTCTTTTCACATTGCCGTTCTTTCTGTTTATTTATTTTAGCGCATTAAACAATGACAGTGGGGCTTAATTGTAGATATTCTTCAAAGGGCCGTCTCTAAAACAAATACAAGCCAAGGGGACCGCGGTGGATGGGCTCGATCCCGGTGAACTAGCGTGTACACCATTAGTTATACGTTAAAGACCCAGCTTTCTAGGCGAAAAGTTGGTTTAAACAATATTTAATTAAAATATTTCATAACTAAATTGGAGAATACGAAAACTAGAACAAATATGTTTATAAACATCGCTTGTATCGTCTTCATTATCCCGGTTGATGCAGAAAACTGGGACGTAAAACCCCATTTTATTTCAAAAAAATGAAATTTACCCTTAAGTATAGGTCCGCCTTATTATGAAAACCCCTATGTATATGGGCGGTGTATACAAGGATAACAGGCAAAACAGGAGTAGAGCTTAATCATAGACTTATTATTGGAGGTTAGTGATCCTTGAATACCCCTTAAGTATAGGTCCGCCTTATTATGAAAACCCCTATGTATATGGGCGGTGTATACAAGGATAACAGGCAATACAGGAGTATAGCTTAATCATAGACTTATTATTGGAGGTTAGTGATCCTTGAATACCCCTTAATGATAGGTCCGCCTTATTATGAAAACCACTATGTATATGACAATACAGGAGTATAGCTTTATGATAGATTTATTATTGGTGCGTAGTGATCCTTGAATACCCCAGTGATTGTCTATATACCTATCATACATAGACCAGTATATTATATATAAGGTAACACGATGTTATAGTCTAGTAGATTGTGTAGTAACTGTGTAATCTCTAACAGCCCGTCATGTTAGGTATGTTGAATTAGTTATGCGAACATTATTTTCGTGTTTTGACTATTGACTTGGATCATATGCAAGTGGAATTTATTTGAATAATTGTTGAGAGGAATAATCCTCATGTTCGACAAGTAAGTTGAATTGGTTTTGTAGATATATTTTCGTGTTTTTACTATTGACTTGGATCGTATGCAAGTGGAATTTATTTGAATAACTATTAAGATGAATAATCTTCTGTCAACTGTATGTTGTTTTTATTTTTAATCTAATATAAACAGATGTCATGGTTGTCAAGAGGGCCATGGTAGTCAAGTAACAAGCCAACTGGACTCTCGACTGGAATGTCGGTTAGATTTTATCAAAGGCCATGAGATATAAACAGGGCTAGCACTACCTCTTACTCAAACCCTGGACCTAGCCCTAACCCTTGCCCAAACCCTAACCGACAATCTCGTCAACAATCACGTGACCTAACCCTATTTACATCTCAGCGACCTTGTGGAAATCGGGAGGTGGCCTTAGGAAATAGATCTATCCGTGTCCTAACCTTATTTACATCTCAGAGACCTTGACAAAATCGGGAGGTGGCCTTAGGAAATAGATCTAGCCGTGGCATGTCCCGGGTGGGGTTGGAATTATTATATCGTCGATCTGTTCAACTCCACTCCTATGTTATAATCCGACCCATGTCATCGTAGTTTAATTCAAGTAGTACACTAATAATACATCATTGAAATTTCATAGGTCCTGTTTAGAATCGAAACGATAAGAGGTGTGGTTTCCCAGCTATGCCTGATAAGGGGGAACCACATGCAGGACTGAGGGGCTGACAAGGAAAGCTGTCTAGTCGTTCGGATAGGACACAAACCGAGATCCCGTGTACACATTGGCGTGCACGTAAAAGATCCCTTGACAGTTGGAATTCGATATAAGAGTAGGCCGTGGTGCCGCTTTCCGGGCAAAATTTCCCTCATAGCACACACTGTATGTCGTATGTCCGTCTTCATTAGCCCAGTTCGGAGCCGAACAGTAGGACGTTAAACCCCATTTCATTTCATAGCACACTGTATGGCGTATGCCCGTCTCCATTAGCCCAGTTTGGAGCAGAACAGTAGCACGTTAAAACCCATTTCATTTCACTTCGAAACAATAAGAATTTAATCAGCCCCATGTCACCTGACGTGTAATTTAGTTCAAGTAGTACTTCATTGAAATTTTATACTAAAACGGTTGTACGTGACAAGGAGGAAGGTCGCCTGTCCAACTTCGAGGGTTTTCTCTGGGTCCTCCAGTTTCCTCATACTGCTAAAGACCCCTATGCGAAAGCGAATTAGGGAAATAAAATTTAACCATATGTAAGTCCCGAAATGACCTGGTTTGTGTCGAGTGGACGTTAAACCTCATTTCTCTCTCTCTCTCTATCTCTCCCTCTCTCTCTCTCTCTCTTATACTAAAAACTTCGGATCAAGTTATTTAACGAAACGAATTGTTTTTATATAAATAATATACTGTATAAATAATATTCCTTGCATTATATAAGCATATAAATATTTACACACATTCACGATAGATCAAGTCATGTCACTGGTGTACAACTTTGGCCGCTGTAGTGATAATGGCCTACGTGTTATTTAATCTCCAATGGTGGACAGTATTTAAGGAACGTTATAAAATGTCTATATATCGGTTATTAGTATTTTTATTTCTACTAACAACCGTTAATAGTCCGGTAAATCATTGTACCTATGTTAGATATCTTTACCTATATCAACTATTATAAATACCTATATAGATTTATAGCGTGGTAAATCACTTGACAGTGACGGACATCTTGTACCTATAGATAATCATAAAGCGATAGTTGTATATTATAATATTGGGTGGTTGAGATGGTCTAGTGGTCTAGAGAGTTGCGCTTCAAGTTCTAGCTGGCCGGTCATCTCTGGCTTGAAATCAACGTTGGTGTTTTAACTAGAAAATGGTATATTTGTCAAATTCTCTTCTAACACTTGATTTATAGGATTTAGGATTATTCTTTAACAAGGTAGGACTGTGTGTATATATTTCATATGTTTTAAGGCTTTATTTTAATATATGCTAAACATATAATTTTAACATATTCTAAACACGTAATTTTAACATATTCTAAACATATAATTTTAACATATTCTAAACATGTAATTTTAACATATTCTAAATATAATTTTAACATATTCTAAACATGTAATTTTAACACATTCTAAGCATGTAATTTTAACATATTCTAAACATTCTAAACGTCCTACTGTTCTGCTCCGAACTGGGCTAATGAAGGCGGGCATACGCCATACAGTGTGCTATGAGGGAAATTTTGCCCGGACACCCGCACTATCGCCTACTCTTATATCGAATTCCAACTGCCAAGGGATTTTTACGTGCATTCCAATGTATACACGGGACCTCGGTTTTTCGTCTCATCCGAAGGACTAGACAGCTGTCCTTGTCAGGCCCTCCGTTCAGGCCAATGCAGGGATCGAACACCCTTCTTTCTAAAAGCGGCAAGTAAACCGATGCCGCATCACAATTGTATGGGTGTAGCTACGTATTACTTACCGCCATACAGCCGAGGCTAGATGTAGGCTACCGGAATCTACCGAGGTTTGCCGAGTGTATTTGAATCAGATTGGATAAGTGTGTAATACAGCCGAGGCGAGATGTCGGGTACCGGAATGTACCGAGGTTTGCCGAAATTTGCCGAATATGATTACGAGAATGATTGGCTTGGTCTCAATGTTTTATTATTTTATTTACAGGTTTAACGAATCAAGAACCAGAGCGTAAACTAATCTGTTATTTCTTGTTCCTAGAACTAACAATGGTCGTGTGAATTCCTGAGTGACGAATACAAGAGTACTTGATTTAATCAAATTGGGAAATACGCAAGTTGCATCTGAATTACGTGAACTAGAGTGTGGCTGACTACATGAGAACAGGAGTGTGTTATAGGAGACCAATTCAACCATTGATTAAAATTGTTTATTGTGATCAATTTTGTAGGAATTGATTTATCGACAGATACGCCATTGTTGTGTATGATTAACGACAATCTGGTCACGCGCTATTACATTCATATTTTGTGCATAATAGGACTCAAAACAGTCTGCTGTAGGCCTACAGCCATTTCTTGACAAGGAATTCGATATAAGGCCTATTGGGTTAACTGAATCGTGAAAATTAATTAGAATTTGATATTACATGTGATTTGAGATAGGCTCAGACTTGATGTTTATGCTGACGCGTACTTAATTAAAATGCTTGTATTGCAAATATTTTGACATTAAGTGAAAGATATAGTTTCTGAAATCATGTGTAAAACGTGAACTCTAGACGTGGAATTGATTGTGACGTCAACATGGCTATTATACCGGGAGAAGAGATCTTATTGGACCAGTCATTTATCAAAGTTAAATATGGCGGTAAGTCTTTGTTTATCAAAATGTGAAAACAAATGCAGTTACGTGCGATCTGTCCAGCTCTAACCGTATTAAATAATGGAGAGAGAGGGAGACTAACACATAGTTCAATTTTAATTTAATAATTCGCTTTCGCGTAGGGGTCTTTAGCAGTGAGAGTAAACCGTAGAACCCGGAGAAAACCCACGAGGTTGGACAGGCGACCCTACTCCTTGTCAAGTACAACAGGGGAATCGAAACCACGCTAGTTGACTCAATGACAAACCTTATGATACAGCGCGCACGTGCTAACCAATCGCCCATTCGCCCCGCCCCAATCATATAATGGACAATGCGTTTCACTGAATACAATTTACAATGCGTGTTTAACGTGCACTCCGGTGCCTACAGAGGACCTGTATTTTTCGCCCCTTGACTTATTAGCCCGGCAATAACAACCTCTGTCAAGTGGTGAACTTGGTTTGAAAAAATACTAAGGTTCTAGGGGTACGCGCCAACACTGAAATCCCCGAACACCATGGGCGTCACAATTGTTTTTCTGGGCGGGGGGGGGGGGGTTGAATATACTTGGACCCCCGCAAAAATTTACATAGTAGGCCCTAACTCCTATTTATTTACAACAATTATAAGGATTAGTTAAGATTCTATCTGTATAAACCTGTACATATCCCAATATGTTGGTGTGATGTTTTAGTTTAATCCCGTAAAATATGCTAAAACCGTGTTTACAGAATACTGAAACTTTAAAGAAAATTCACGAGGGTGACCCCCCCCCCCCTCCCACACTCTCCCTATCGCGCTAAATCGGCTGCTGCGCAGCTTGTGCCTCCGGCGTCACAGATTATCAACATTTTATATAATTTCATTTGCGGACCCCCACCCCCTAATATATATTTCACGACTACGCCTCTACCGAACACACTTTTCGTGAGTCTATTCCTCGACTAAGAGAAATCAGGTTAATCTATATTCCGACTAATCTGGCCAAGTACCTGCTAATCTGGCCAAGTACCTGCTAATCTGGCCAAATACCTGCTAATCTCTCTAATTACAGGTAAACGTTGTTAAAATACTTTAATTGTAATTGAACACTGCCAAGGAATATTCTTACTGGCAGATCATATACAAACGATTATGTCGAGGCTGGTGTATTTCCAAATCTATTCTGCTCCTATACTGGGCTAATGAAGACGGGCTTATGCCATACAGTGTGCTATGTGGGAAATTTTGCCCGGACAGCGGCGTTATGGCTTACTCTTATATCGAGGGTTCCTTAACGTGCACGCCAACGTGTACCAAAGACCTATCTTGGCCAACCAACTTCGGGAGAGAAACCCGGACCACCCTCTGCTATAAACCCCTAGTCGCCAGCAAATTATAGAAATCTAATCGAACCATATCTTAGTCCTGAAATGACCTGTTTGTGTCGATTCCCCAGTTATACGTCCTACCTCGTGGGGTTTCTCCGGGACCTCCGGTTTCCACCCACTACTAAAGACCCCTAACCGCAAGCGAATTATTAAAATAAAATTGAATCATAGGTTCGTCCCAAAATGACCTGGTTTGTGTCGAGTGGACGTTACCCCCCCCTCTCTCTCTCTCTCTCTCTCTCTCTCTCTCTCTCTATCTCCCCCCTCAACCCTTGTCTCATAGTCCACCAGTTGTTTATATATTGATATATTACATTACAGATAATGAGGAGGCTATATTTAATCCCTGGTGTTCTACATATACACTATTAGAATGGATTAGAAAAAGATGTAAATGTGGCCATGACAGTAAGATATTAATTATACATAGATTGTAAATTATATGTAGTAGGAAAAATGAAATAAAGAAATTCGATTAAAACATAGATCCTATTTCGTTTCGTTTTTTATAGTTCAAAATTTTGTTTTACTTGTCTTTACTACACTAGGATCTGGAAGAGTTGTTTTATAACCCACGTTCTGGATGATGTGAGGGATTAGTCAATGAAACGGTCTGTACGGCTAGCTTTTGGCGTGAGCTGCATGGAACTACGGGTAATCCACTAGAAACATCAATGGTTATTGGTTAATCAAATATCTGACGTCATAGGGTCAAAAGTCGCATGTATGACCCCTGACACGATCTCCCACTATAACTGGTCAGCTCTTCATGTTGTGTAGGCTATCGAAAGTATAAAAAAACGAAACGAAATATAGATCTGTATTCTAATCAGATTGAAAATAAAATGGATCGTGTACGTAAAAAATCAGTTTGTGCACGGGACCTCGTCTTCTCTTCTTATTCCAAGGTCGTCTGTCCTGCATCACTGAGCAGGGGGAACCAGATTGACGGACAATTGGATAATATCAGATTGTCCCTCGTTAAAATATACACAGATGGATTATTTGATATAGAATCAAACTATTAACGATAGATAATCTCCTGGCGGGGACATCTCACTGTGCCCCCTGCTATTGTTCTCATGGGGGGATTAATCAAGTAAGGGGATTATCGAATACAATGGTGTTAAAAGTATAGTCTGTTTTTTGAAACTACTAGGTTTAAACTAATTAACAACTTTATTCACAATAAATTTCATAAAAGTAACAACAAATACATGTATCAAACATAAATCATAACCCTACTAAATGTGATATGGCGTCAGTATATTCAATTGCACTTTTTACTCCATTTAACAGTTTGATTTTTAGATCATTAATAGATTCTTCTACTCTTTTATATTTTCGTCTTTTAGGGGGCAATCGTCCCCCGTTAGTTATCCAATTGAACTATTGTATTTTCAGTAAAAGTCTGCTGGTGCTATTGGGTTTCGTATTTTTTTACTCTGTAATTATACCCCAAATTAACTAAATTTTGACCTCCTTGAGAATTAGGAATAAACCCTATGCGAACTTGAGCCATTTTAAAAGATATAATGTAATTGGGGTTCGTTCGTTCGTTTCTGGGGTTTTACGTCCACTTCCACCTAAGGTGATATCGTAGACAACTATCCTTATATAATGATAGTGAGTTTCTAATCATATATTTGATTGATTTATGAGTACTGTCTGAATGAAAGGTAGGTGAATAATATTTAAGATACTCGTTAACCGATGACACGTGAACTTAACTTATATATTTTAATCATTAAAATAATTAAATTTTAACTAGGTGAACAGTACTAATAAGGATACAGTCTATAATCCTTTGTTTACTTAAATTTTCACACCACTACCCTATAACACCAGTTGATTGGGGGGCACAGTGAGATTAAACCCTCCTGGCATGTATTCAATCAGATTTTAAAAGAGGCCCATCAGAAGAATGTAACGAAGATTACAGGTGGTGCTCGCTTGTTTTGACCACTCCCAGTGTATTTTGTCTGTAGAGATTGGCATGACAAATGTTCGTATCTTTCTAAATGTTATGGAAGATTCGATTTAGAGCTAGCATTTCTCACTATATAGGTTAAAAACTACTGATGTTCAAAAGAAAGTATACAAACTAAAAGTATGACTAAGTTTTGTTTAGATTAAAAACATTTGATGAAGCATTACTGAGTTTGTCTCTTGCGTCCGAACTCAACATTTCTAAGCAAAATAAAAATGTGAAACAAATTGACATTCTACCCAAATACTGTATACAATGAAAAATGATTTTGGTTGATGCAGCACAAAATGCACAGTGTATACTTTCTTTTTGGACATTAGTATAGTTAATGTAAAGGGCATTTGCTAAAAACAATTCAATCAAATTGATCCACTCTGAACCGAGATATTAGAGATTGAATTTTGGGCCTAGTCTCGATCATCATTACTCAAGTCGATACGATAAAAAAACATAATCTCGATTATTCATTTTTTGATTTAATCATGGATGAGCGTTGAACAGCAGATCGCATTACCATCCAGTAAATATCGCTGACTAGCAATAGCATCGAGAGTTGATTATGGTCTGGATAAGTTAAGAAATGTCTAATTATTAATTTAGATAACATTTCAGCGTAAAGAAAGACCTGCAATATGCAGATTTAGCTCTTGCATAATGTATGTTTAACGTCTAATTAATAATTTAGATAACATTTTAGGCCTAAAGAAAGACTTGCAATTGTCAGATTTAGCTCTTGTATAATGTATGTTCAACATTTACGACTGATATTCTTTTCAGAGCTTCAACTTTCATAATATTATAGTTTGCAATAATCCCTTAAAACTTACAGAAATTGTAAAATTATTAGACTTGTTGCGATTTCTATAATATTTGTCTACAATTGCAGTTGTAGATATATAGGCTTGGGTAAAAACCCAATAACGTGGCGTATATTGTTTTTAATTGATATATTGTTCTTTACTTGGTATATTTCAGTTACCATAGATCTAATAGATCTAGAAGGTCACGTGAGAAACTTGTCAACTGGTATTGAGGAATACGCCAATGATCTACTTCATGGAAGAGAAACCTATATACTTATTAGAGTAGAAAGTAAGATATGGTTTTATTTTAAGAGCGGTGTTGATGTATGGTCATCCATTCAGTCCTGGGTTCGATCCACGATTGTGAGTGACAAAGAATACGGTTCTAGCTGTGTTTGTGTCAGACTTTTACTATGTGTACTAAATAATGTTCTCCGTTATGTTAGAACGTAGGAGTCAGTTTCCTTGGATGGATTGGTTTCCAGGACGGCCGGAGTCAGTATTTCCAGAACGACCGGCTTCTTCTGGGTTCAGTTTGTAGGATCAGTCGTTCTTAGACGGATTAATTTTATTCCGTGGGAGTTTTGCTAACCAGTCTTTCAAGGTGAAGCCACTGTTCTCCGAAAGGGCATGTTCCTGGGATCAGTCTTCGACGAATGGGTTGCTGCTTGAATCAGTCTTCCCTTGATGGGACCCTCCCAAGCCCTTTATTTCTTGAGTCTTTCGTCTCTAGGTCCTCCGGTTTCCTCCCACTGCTAAAGATCCCTACGCGCATGCGAATTATTGAAATAAAAATTGAATATTTGTTAGTCCCGAAATGCCCTAGTTTGTGTCGAGTGGAAGTTAAACCCCATTTCTCTGTATTTAGATGGCAGGACTTGCCTTTTCCAGGAATTATTTACCCAGGCATGAACCAATGGTGTTGGATTGGGGACCAAGAAATGTATAACAATTAAACCCAGACACCCCTTGTTAAAGTTGGCCCTCAGTGCAAATGCCCCCCTTAGCACATTTTATTCTTCCCCTTTATTCCATTTCAAGGAATTGTTTTCAAGGGAGAGAGAGAGAAATGGGGTTTAACGTCCACTCGACACAAACTAGGTCATTTCGGGACTAACATATGGGTTTTTTTTAAATTTTATTTCAATAATTCGCTTACGCGTAGGGCTCTTTAGCAGTGGGAGGAAACCGGAGGACCCGGAGAAAACCCACGAGGTTGGATTGTTTTCAAGGATGTATGATAAAGATGTGAGTTGTTTGTTTCAGGAGAAAGTGAATCTGGGCCTAACAGATATATTTCATTATTAAATAATCTAGAACAAACTAATCCAGAATTAATGGGTAAGTACATTACTGAATAATCTAGAACAATCTAATCCAGAATTAATGGGTAAGTATGTCGTCTATCTACAGTGCCGACAATCTCATTAGAATACAGATCTATAAGTTGTACTCGAAGGTCGTGTCAGGGCTCGTACGAGTGACTTTTGACCCAATCAGTGTTGATGTTTCTAGTGGTTTACCCACAGTTGTGTGCATGACAAGCTAGGAAGTCGCCGTAACAGATGGTTTCATTGGCTAATATCTCATGCCACCCAGAATGCATACTATATAACAACTCTTCCAACGAAATTTTAAACTATTAAACACGAAACGAAATAGGATCTGTGTTATGATCAGATTGCAGTGCCCAATTATCCGAAATGCCTGCGGTATTTTGTTTCTTGCTGACAAGGATGTCTGATCAGACGATGTTGTTATATAATTTGTTACTCCATTAATTAATGCATTTCTAATAGATTGTACGAAAAGAGAGTGTGACATTTAAGTTAATGGGGTGGGGAGTCGACTGTCGAGGGGCCCAAAGAAAGTTGAAGTTTAAGGGACCTGCCGTGGGTTAATAAGATAATGTCTATCCAGTGAGGGGTCATTGGTGAGTTATCATCGCTTATATACCCAAATTAATCCTATAGATTAAACGTAACAATAATCAGTGATGCAGGATGGAGGGCTTGAAAATGACAGCTGTCTAGTCGTTCGAATGGTACGAAAAACCGAGGTCCCGTGTACACATTGGCGTGCACGTAAAAGATCCCTTGACGGTTGGAATTCAAAATAAGAGTAGGTCATAGTGTCGCTGTCCGGGCAAAATTTCCCTCATACCACACTGTATGGCGTATGCCCGTCTTCATTAGCCAAGTTCGGAGCAGAACAGTGGGACGTTAAACCTCATTTCATTTTTCTATGTTTCCTTTCAGTGAAATTAAATAATTTATCCAGGCCGACTACAAGAAATAAGAAAGATAGACCCAAGAAGAATAATAACAACCACGGTTCGAGATCACTTAAAGGGCATCGTCTGGAATCCCCGACCAAACGTCCAACAAGCAGTGAGAGACACAATAAACACACAAAATAAACACCCCACCCCATGCTCCTTATTTACCACAAATAAACACCCCACCCCATGCTCCTGGTATACCACAAATAAACACCTCACCACAAATAAACCAGACATCACACGACCATTGTATACCACAAATAAACTTAAACTTGAGAAATTTCTAATTAGCAAAATGCCCAATAAAGCAACAATACTAAGGCTGGTATCTTAGATCGTTTATGGGATGTGGCTTGGGTTCGTTTAATTATCCCTCCCAGAACGTTATTGAAGGGGTTGAAATATATCTGTCAATAAATGGTTCAATTTCATTCAGTATTTACAAAGATATGATGAATGAACAAATTGTCCACATTCACTATCCACTACTGATGATATAAACATGTAGACGGTCAAAGGAAGTCAGTGCTACCTATAATCTTCGTGAAAATGTTGAATCCAGGTCGGGAAGTTATCTTCCGATAATTCATTGTTTTCTTAATTAAATTTTATTGTGCAAAATGTAAGCCAAATGTAAACAGTAATCAATGGTTTTAGACATTTAGAAAGCAAATGATCGATGTTCTCGGACCTATATTTATATAAATTATGCTGCCAATAATTGTAACCCCACCCTTCCCCTTACCCATACTATTGTGTTTTGAAGAACTGTAGCAATCGCATGAACTATAAAATTGTTTCTGATGTAATGAGGGTCTTTAGTTAAGACTGGTTATCAGGAACTCCCTAAAATAACCCTACATCGAATATTGTTTTAAAGATAAAGACCTTAATAATCTGTGATTTAATGAAGACTGCGGGAAAAACTTATGTTTGAGATGTACAGCTTATGTTTGTGATATACAGCTTGTGTTGGAGATATACAATAACTTGCAGTGTGATGCAGCTTCTTTATCATCAACAGAATATTCTCCAAGACTGATTGATATATGCTAGAGAATATTTGAGCAGACCACCTTTTGTTTTATAGTTTCATTTGACTGGTGTTGGAGAAAAATATCGCAAAAATCTGTTCGTGTTATTTGGTAGTGATTATTACTGGAAATATCCAATAAAGATTTTAGCCTTATCAAACACTGAGGGGGTTTCAGGATGAGGAAGGGGTGAGTTAAATGGGGTTTACGTCCTACCTACCGAGATAATGAAGACGGTTTCAGGTGAAATATGTACCTTTGATTATCTCTGATACACAGCAATGTAAATCTGGGATTGACGATGTTTGAGTAGGTGTATCTCAGATCCATTCTCCCGTGCAAGTTTCGCTATCCAGCAATCGTCAGTGTACACTGCAAGGGAAGACAACTCTGCTTGGGAGATGTATCCCAGATCACGTATTTGTATTATACAGGGCAGCAGCATCTACAAAATCAAATTTAGGACTGCTGCTTATGATGATATGTATACGGCTACCAGAAACCTGTAAGGTTGCAAACTGTCTATACCCACGACTTGTAGGATTGTAAACAGTCTATATCCTAGACTTGTAGGATTATAAAAACGTCTATATCCGAGACGTGTAGGATTGTAAACAGTCTATATCCGAGACTTATAGGGTTGTAAACTGTCTATAACCGGGACATATAGCGTTATAAACAGTCTATATCCGAGACTTATAGGATTGTAAACCGAACCACTTTAATCAATGACATATCGATCTTGTGATTTTACGCGCACGTGTTAAACCACTAGACACCCCCACGCACACGCACACACATACACACCAATGTGTACACGGGACCTCGTTCCCTTGCCAGGCCCTCTGTTCTACACCACTGACAAGGAGGGACCAGGCATGAAAACTTCCTATGAACGTTGGTGAAGTTAGAGAGCAAAGAAATGAACTCAAATGAAATGGGGTTTAACTCCTACTGATCTGCTCCTATTCGACTGAAGGCTTAAAATCGACTACAGAGCACAATACTATCTGTGCAAGAACAGGTTAAAATTGGTTAGGACTAGTAAACTTTCTAGAACCTCAAACATGGCCGTCTATTTGAATGTATATACATACGCTTATATTGCACTTCCGAGGTGGGAAGACGAGAAGTCGAGATTGTGACCACAGGAATGTGACCTTCTATCCGTATATATATGCATACACCATGTCGTACCAGACAATATATAATAAAAATCAACAGGAATGCAATGCCTGTTGAAAACTCGATCTTACCTGCTCTCGCTTCGGCTCGTTTTTTTTCAACAATTCGTAATGTCAGGCAACCAAACCTCTGTCAATTCACTCGGATATGTTTTTTCTTCAATCTAGTCGTTTTGATTTGCATAAATACTCCCACAAAACGATATCATCGCCACTTGTTTCCAATATTTACATCGTTTTCGTCCATTTTCATTTTGTCACTGCCGCCATGCGCTGACGTCACACAAATAGACGCATTCGGCAGACCTCGTTTTTTTTTGTTGCTGGGGTTGAGGGATTCTACCGATATTCGCCGAATATGTATAGACGTTTCACTGACGCATGAGACGACCCTACTCCTTATTATGTGTTAACCATTCGGCCATTTTAGTAGCTTTTCATGTAAGCAATTTTAAAATGGGAGCTAAAGAATAAAATTTGCCTAATTTTTTTAGTACCGTAGCTTTTCATGTAAGCAATTTTAAAATGGGAGCTATAGGATAAAATTTGCCTAATTTTTGTGATTTAAACAATGGTTTTTTTTTAAAATCAACTTCATAGGGCTTTGGCAGAGTAACACGAAATGTTAAATCAGATGAACTAAAAATTATATTGATATCACATAATATTGTATTTATAAATATTTTTCCAATTACAAGACCTGTCACAGCTTGTGTTATCCTATAGCTCCCATTTTAAAATTGCTTACATGAAAAGTTACGGTACTAAAAAAAAATAGGCAAATTTTATTCTTTAGCTCCCATTTTAAAATTGCTTACATGAAAAGCTACTAAAATTGCCGAATAGTTAACACATAATAAGGAGTAGGGTCGTCTCATGCGTCAGTGAAACGTCTATACATATTCGGCGAATATCGGTAGAATCCCTCAACCCCAGCAACAAAAAAAAAACGAGGTCTGCCGAATGCGTCTATTTGTGTGACGTCAGCGCATGGCGGCAGTGACAAAATGAAAATGGACGAAAACGATGTAAATATTGGAAACAAGTGGCGATGATATCGTTTTGTGGGAGTATTTATGCAAATCAAAACGACTAGATTGAAGAACAAACATATCTGAGTGAATTGACAGAGGTTTGGTTGCCTGACAATGACATTACGAATTGTTGAAAAAAAAAACGAGCCGAAGCGAGAGCAGGTAAGATCGAGTTTTCAACAGGCATTGCATTCCTGTTGTTTGTTATTATATATTGTCTGGTTCGACATGGTGTATGCATATATATACGGATAGAAGGTCACATTCCTGTGTTGTGACAAAGCGAGAACGCGAGAAAAACTAAAAGGCGATAACGCGAGGGCCCGAGGAGTCGATGATTTTCAAATTCGAGAACGCGAGGGAGCGAGAGGTCGAAGGCGAGAACTCGAGGACGGGAGTGCGATGATTTTCAAATGCGAGAAATCGAGAGAGCGCGAAGTCAAGGGTGAGAAGTCGAGGGAGCGAAAAGTCGACGTGAGAAGTCGAGGGACGAGGGAGCGAGAAGTCGATGTAAAGACAATCCCGTGTTCTCGGGGTGCGATCCTCGCATTCTCGCCCTGTTTCCTCGCGATCTCGCACTTCCGTTCTTGACTTCTCGGTCCATCGACTATAATACATATATACCTTATATAGGTCGGCGGAGGTGGGTTTGGGTGGCAGAATGGTTAACGTGTGCACGCTACATCGTAAGGTCTGGCATTGAGTCAACTGGCGTGGTTTCGATTCCCCGGTTGTACGATTTCCCCCACTGCTAAAGACCCCTACGCGCAAGCGAATTATTGAAATAAAAGTTAACCATATGTTAGTCCCGAAATGACCTAGTTTTTGTCCAGTGGACGTTAAACTCCATTTCTCTCTTTCTCTTTCCCACACGAAATACCCCCAATTTGTCTGCGATATCCCCCTCGGTTGAAACAGACGTTAAACAGTAATAGACCAAGAAGAAGAAAATAAAATGAAATTGAGTTTAACGTCCCACTGTTCTGCTCCGAACTGGGCTAATGAAGACGGGCATACGCCATACAGTGTGCTATGAGGGAAATTTTGCCCGGACAGCGGCACTACCGCCTACTCTTATATCGAATTCCAAGGGATCTTTTACATGCACTCCAATGTGTACACAGGACCTAGGTTTTTCGTCCCATCCGAACGACTTGACGACTTGTCAGGCATCATTGACAAGGGGGAACCACGCCGGAAAATCTGGATGAACTTTCTCGGCCACTGCAGGGATCGAACACCCGACATCCATGCTAGCGAGCCAGCGTCTTACCCACTTACCCACTTAGCCACCGCGACCCCTTCCAAAATATGATGTCTATTTCGATACACGACGTGAAGTAAAGAATTAGCGATCGTGACGAAGGACACTAATCCTTATTTTTTTTTTGGTGCTGTTTTGCAGACTTTAAACAGGGTAAAAAAAACCTCCAAATTTTATTTTGATTGCTCGATGCTTTATACCGAATCCCCCCCCCCCCAAAAAAAAACCAACAAAAAAACAAGCCAGTAATTAACGCGTACCACCTTGCGACATCAGCTTCACTATTGGTCAGTAGTAATCCATGTTATTTATGATGTTGCTACTATTACTAGCTGGGAGCGGCGGGGGGGGGGGGGGCGGTGTCAACGTCCACCTTACTGCCCAGGTCGCCAAACTAGTAGCATGATTGTCCAATAGAAATGGTATGAATCCTAGATAAAATTAAAGATATTCGTATCTTATAGTTAACACTACAGTTTATTACAATACTATAATAAACAATATATAATAGACAATATAGAATATATAATACACAATATATAATAAACAATACTATAATAGTCAATATATAATAGACTATATATAATGGACAATATATAATAAAGAATATATATTATTTAATTACCTGTATTGTTACTTATATTTCACTCGTGATATATCGCATGTATACCTTAGTTGTTAAACGGTTTGTGAAATATTGTCGTGTAAGAAACAACAGATCATACATACCAGCTATACTAGTTTTATATTACAAGTGCCCCTCGAGGATAATAATTAATTAAATAAGTAATTAAATTGATAAAATGCGAAAGGTTATATATATACATATAACAAAGTCTTGAGGGTGTTGTTACAAATTATTTTATAAATGTCAGATGTACTTTATGGTTTATTCATTAACCGTTCTTATAGAGTTGTATTCCTAAACCAACACTTGTAATCATTGGAGACAAGTTATATTTCATCATTCCAGTGATCTATACTGGAAGTTATAGATGATCACTTCCAATCTCGTGGGTTTTCCTCCGGTTTCCTCCCACTGCTAAAGACCCCTACGCGCAAGCGATTTATTGAAATAAAATTGAACATATGTTAGTCTCGAAATGACCTAGTTTGTGTCGAGTGGACGTTAAACCCCATTTCTCTCTCTCTCTATAGATGATCACTAAACCAGCATATGATTATCATATCTATTATTGGAGAATCCAGAAATAAACAAATTCTACTACTACTACTACAACTACTACTACAACTACTACTACTACTACTACTACTACTACTACAACTACTACTACTACTACTACTACTACTACTACAAATACTACTACAACTACTACTACTACTACTACTACTACTACTACTACTACTACTACTACTACTACTACTACAAATACTACTACTACAACTACAACTACTACTACTACTACTACTACTACTACTGCCTGCTACTACTACTACTACTACTACTACTACTACTACTACTACTGCCTGCTACTACTACTACTACTACTACTACTACTACTACTACTACTGCCTGCTACTACTACTACTACTACTACTACTACTACTACTACTACCACCACCACTACTGCCTACTACTACTACTACTACTACTACTACTACTACTACTACTGCCTGCTACTACTACTACTACTACTGCTACTACTGCCTGCTACTACTACTGCTACTACTACTACTACTACTACTACTACTACTACTACAAATACTACTGCCTGCTACTACTACTACTACTACTACTACTACTACCACCACCACTACTGCCTACTACTACTACTACTACTACTACTACTACAAATACTACTGCCTGCTACTACTACTACTACTACTACTACTACCACCACCACTACTGCCTACTACTACTACTACTACTACTGCTACTACTGCCTGCTACTACTACTGCTACTACTACTACTACTACTACTACTACTACTACTACTGCCTGCTACTACTACTACTACTACTACAAATACTACTGCCAGCTACTACTACTACTACTACTACTACTACTACTACTACTACTGCCTGCTACTACTACTACCACTACCACTACTACTACTGCCTGCTACTACTACTACTACTACTACTACTACTACTACTACTACTATTACTACTGATGCTACTACAACTACAACTTCTACAACTACTACTACTATTACAACAACAAACTACAACTATTACTACTACTACTACTGCCTGCTACTACTACTACTACTACTACTACTACTACTACTGCCTGCTACTACTACTACAACTACTACTACTGCTACTACTACTACTACTACTACTACTACTACTGCCTGCTACTACTACTACTACTACTACTACTCCTACTACTACTACTACTACTACTGCCTGCTACTACTACTACTACCACTACTACTACTACTACTACTACTACTGCTACTACTACTACTACTACTACTACTACTACTACTACTACTACCACTACTACTACTGCCTGCTACTACTACTGCCTGCTACTACTACTACTACTACTACTACTACTACTACTATTACTACTGATGCTACTACAACTACTACTTCTACAACTACTACTACTATTACAACAACAAACTACAACTATTACTACTACTACAGCACTATATAAATGTCGCCCGCGTTCTCCAATGAGTAAGTCCTCTAGGTATTGTGTCGTATGTTTACAGTCCTATGCATATGGCCAGGTATATCTAAGTTATTGTTCTGTCTACAACCAACCAGACCAACATGTAGCTGTTAAACAAAGATGTCAGAGCTTTAAGATGGATGAAAACCCTGTATTTACTACAAGCCAGATCTACACTGACTTAAGTTGGCTAGATTTTGTAGCCTGTTCACTTGAGCCCGATTCAGTCCCACTTAACAGTATTCGCTTCCATTTAGAAAGCACAGATTTATTTAATATAAAGGACCACAGAATGAAGACCCCTTGAGATGCATTAAAAATTACAGACAAATATTCTAAAGCCCAACTAGTGATAAAATTGGATAAAACAGCTAGCAACCAAAACAGACCCGTCAGAACAGAAAGCTTTGTATAAATTACAATATTGTTTCGTTCTCCAGATTGTTTTCCCTGTTGTTTAACGCGAGAGATGGAGATAATTGTCCACAAAAAGAAAACAATATTTAGGATAATGATAAGACATAAGGGTAAAACAAAACAATAGCCAACAAGTTTTTTAGAGGATAGATAACACACATTACCCCCATAACCTATCTCCATCCCCCCTGACAACGTGACATTTGCAATAACTATACAAACTATCAGTATCATTGGTAACCCATTGGCATAAACAAGGTATTTCAATGTCTGAATACCGTGAGATTGAGCAGAATGTCTGACCAGTTTCTGTAAAACAAATACCTTGAACATGTGATAGGTACATACATTCATCCATAGTGCCATACCGAGCCAGAGGTAATGGATGCTTATTCCAATACTTCTACACAATATTTTATCTTGTGTCTGATCCAGGCCCGTAATTAACATTAACTGAGCCAGAAAAAGATTAAGCATTAACCCTATGTTGTTGATGCCTGGCTGTGTTCTCATTTCTGGGAACATACCATATGTTATTAAAGCTATACATATAGATATCAAAGACAGAGTGATCAAAACAATAGTTAAATACCGGAGAATCCAATCAAACTTTGTGTGGGTGTCATAGTACTCTATGGTTTCGTTACTATGCGTAAAGTTGGTTTTATTGAGAAACGTTTGAAAACATACTCGAAGGTCATGCTGATACACTGAATACTCACCATGAGATAAGGTAAGATTGAGATGTTCAACAGATGCCAATGCTTTATCGGTATCAAACTCTTTGTCTTTCTTATCAAATTCGATAAATGAACAGGACATCTGGTGGCTTATTGGTTCATAGTTGTATTTGGCGGCTATTATTTCTCCGACCTCTGAAACAGGCTTTTCGGAACAACACAACTTCGTGGTTATGTTGGAGACAAAATGTCGCATTATAGGCTGCGCATGGGATACGTATGTATAATTTATTTTGCGCTCAAGTGATAATGCTGAAGCCCAGAAGAATCCACTACCACTCCTGGGGATAACAGTTTCAAAGTCCTTTAATGTGATGTTGCTATTCACGATAAACCAAATATTCATATAGAAATAGGAAGATTCCCCGATCAACACTGGTTTAGAAGTAGTGACTGTATAATCAGTAGAGTATATCAGTAACGATATTGATGTCATCATGTTTCCTATCATTTGTTTAAAGAATGGAACCCGAGCTCTGGTTGGTATCTTTAAATTAATCATCATTTGATAGGTATTACCCAATGCTGTCATATTATCATACTCACACTCTCCACCTCGTAGTATCTTATTAGAGTAACACTGAATGGGTCGACATTTGTTCTAAAATAAATAATATAACAATAAATTAATTAATATAATAGTTAATTAGTAATTTGTGGTAAATCGTACGAACATGTGCATAAAAGTTCTAAAAAGTGGTCACAAATCATGTTAAGACTAAGTGTATTGCTTTTTGTCTTAAAGGGACCGTGAATTTAACCAGAGCCCCAAGAGAGAGGGAGAGAAATGGGGTTTAACTTCCACTCGACACAAACTAGGTCATTTCGGGGCTAACATATGGGTCTATTTTATTTCAACAATTCGCTTGCACGTAGGAGTCTTTAGCCCTGGGAGGAAACTGGAGGACCCGGAGAAAACCCACGAGGTTGGACAGGCGACCCTACTCCTTGTCACGTACAACCTGGGAATCGAAACCCCGCCAGTTGACTCAATGATAGAGACCGTATGATATAGCGCGCAAATGTTAACCATTCGGCCATCCACCCCTCTAAGACGATTGAATTAAATTTAAAGGTTTTGGAGAACAATTGGTACTGATAGGAATAACAACGACTTGCTGTAATATACCTGTGTTAGGAATAAAAACCACGTGCTGTAAGATACCTGTGATAGGAATAACAACCACGTGCTGTAAGATACCTGTGATAGGAATAACAACCACGTGCTGTAAGATACCTGTGATCTCAATATAAACAGCAACCTCAGTGAAATAATCATATCATTCATTATTAGTCCCAACAGCGTCGTGGTTAACCTTGGCCCTGTGCATCAAGCTTAGTCCCAACAGGGTCGTGGTTGACCATAGCCATGTGCATCAACCTTAGTCTCAACAGAGTTGAGCTTAACCTTGGCCATGTGCACCAACCTTAGTCCCAACAAAGTCGTGCTTAACCTTGGCCCTGTGCATCAACCTTAGTCCCAACAAAGTCATGGTTAACCTTGGCTCTGTGCACCAACCTTAGTCCCAACAAAGTCGTGCTTAACCTTGGCCCTGTGCATCAACCTTAGTCCCAACAAAGTCGTGGTTAACCTTGGCTCTGTGCACCAACCTTAGTCCCAACAGAGTCGTGGTTAACCTTGGCCCTGTGCATCAACCTTAGTCCCAACAGAGTCGTGGTTAACCTTGGCCCTGTGCATCAACCTTAGTCCCAACAGAGTCGTGGTTAACCTTGGCCCTGTGCATCAACCTTACATGCATTTAATGGGTTTTTTTGTATAAATAATTCCAAGTCGTCATCTTTATGAATTTGTAATAATTATGAATCATGCCATCAACGTTACGGGATAATCTATCGTCATTATTTTTTATTTATATATCGTATTTTACAGTAAACGCATGATGTCAATTATTCTCATGATTGCATGTGAATTAATGATATACCAGAATGGTAGTATCAACGTGACATTGTCGTGTTTAACTCTTATATTATACTATCAATGTGACATTGTCGTGGTTAACTCTCATATCAAACTATCAATGTGACATTGTCCTGGTTAACTCTCATATCATACTACCAATGTGATATTGTCGTGGTTAACTCTTATATCATACTATCAAAGTGACATTGTCGTGGTTAACTCTTATATCAAACTATCAATGTGACATTGTCGTGGTTAACTCTCATATCATACTATCAATGTGACATTGTCATGGTTAACTCTTATATCATACGATCAATGTGACATTGTCGTGGTTAACTCTTATATCATACGATCAATGTGACATTGTCGTGGTTAACTCTTATATCATACTATCAATGTGACATTGTCGTGGTTAACTCTTATATCAAACTATCAATGTGACATTGTCGTGGTTAACTCTCATATCATACTATCAATGTGATATTGTCGTGGTTAACTCTTATATCATACTATCAATGTGACATTGTCGTGGTTAACTCTTATATCAAACTATCAATGTGACATTGTCGTGGTTAACTCTTATATCAAACTATCAATGTGACATTGTCCTGGTTAACTCTCATATCATACTATCAATGTGACATTGTCCTGGTTAACTCTTATATCATACGATCAATGTGACATTGTCATGGTTAACTCTTATATCATACATGTACTATCAATGTCACATTGTCGTGGTTAACTCTTATATCATACTATCAATGTGACATTGTCATGGTTAACTCTTATATCATACTATCAATGTCACATTGTCGTGGTTAACTCTCATATCATACTACCAACGTGACATTGTCGTGGTTAACTCTCATATCATACTACCAACGTGACATTGTCGTGGTTAACTCTTATATCATACTACCAACGTGACATTGTCGTGGTTAACTCTTGTATCATACTATCAACGCACTATACGAGTATATAGTGTAAGTTTTATACCAGAGGTCAGATTCAAAATGACCTCGCTGTGATTATAGAAGTATTTAGTGATTTCACACAGCCATAATTTTTTATCTGAAAAATTTATATATATATATATATTATCAAATATACTCGTATTAAATCTGAAAAGTTTAGATATACATATATCATCCATGTATTTAATCAAATTTCATTTTTCAAACTTTATGGCTCAGACACTTATGGGTATATGGGTCCCGAGACCTACGTTTCTGGCTGGATACAGGAGACGAGGTACAGTGTAATATAATACTAGTAAGATACTTACCGCTCGAGCATCCATCCAAGAAATCCTTCCGTCGCATGATTTCACCGATTTTTCAAACTGATCCGTGAAACCAACTAGAGTTTTCACAGGGTAAATTGGTTGGCCTTTAGCCATTGCCAATCTATACCCGTTGCATAAAGCGCAATACATGTTCCTGTAAACTTTCTTGGTTTTTGAGTTCTGGACGAGGACAAAGTATTTGGTACAAATTTCAGACAATTCTTGGTATAATCCTGGGAATTTCGGATCGCACTCAGAAATTATTGGTTCCGATCTCCGAATATCACAATATCTCAACTTTGCAAATTGTGGTGGAACAATGTAATCCTCGCAGACAGCAACCCTGTTTTTATTGTATTTACATTCGCCTCGAATTTTCCAATGTGTACATGAAGTTTCTTTGTTAAGAAATGCACATTGGTTGTTGATGTATGTTTTGCCAGTTTTGGGACAGGAAACAGGTAGGACCGTATGGTCACAGTTTTCTAGAAGTCCATCTTGACGTTTATAGTTAGCAACCATATAGAAACCATCACCATGTGATAGGTCCTTAAATCGGTATTTTGATTCTCTGGGTGTTGCGATGCACGTGAAATCCGACTGTATTTCCTGTGTGTGAAGGCCGTTATTAACCTTTATATCAACACAACAATCTCCGTAAAACAGACATTCCTCATCACACATACAACGAAGACAATCCAGTCCTCCGAGTACGTGACGTTCATGTTCAAGACAATGTGGACACAGCAAGAGAACGTCCACATCGTCGGTGGAAACGATTCCTGGCAAGGTAACAACTACAATATAAACTAAGATTTGCACAGCTTTCTGAAATAAAAATAAGATAAATATTTCGTTTTATTATCAGATAAAGTAGTTTTCAACAGTTCAAGAGGCGATATCGCTGTCACCAAGAAAATGAATGTACTTAATTTTAAATAATATATTTGAAATAATTCTAGAACCACCTTTAATTCTTACTTAACATCCGAGCACTCGGCTAGTTACGGGTGATATATTTAGAAATGAAATGAGGTAAGTTACAGGTGATATATTTAGAAATAAAATGAGGTAAGTTACGGGTGATATATTTAGAAATAAAATGAGGTAAGTTACAGGTGATATATTTAGAAATGAAATGAATTTCGTTACGGGTGATATATTTAGAAATAAAATGAGGTAAGTTACAGGTGATATATTTAGAAATGAAATGAGGTTACTTACGGGTGATATATTTAGAAATAAAATGAGGTAAGTTACGGGTGATATATTTAGAAATAAAATGAGGTAAGTTACAGGTGATATATTTAGAAATGAAATGAGGTTACTTACGGGTGATATATTTAGAAATGAAATGAGGTTAGTTACGGGTGATATATTTAGAAATGAAATGAGGTTAGTTACAGGTGATATATTTAGAAATGAAATGAGGTTACTTACGGGTGATATATTTAGAAATGAAATGAGGTTAGTTACGGGTGATATATTTAGAAATGAAATGAGGTTAGTTACGGGTGATATATTTAGAAATGAAATGAGGTTACTTACGGGTGATATATTTAGAAATGAAATGAGGTTAGTTACAGGTGATATATTTAGAAATAAAATGAGGTAAGTTACAGGTGATATATTTAGAAATGAAATGAGGTTAGTTACGGGTGATATATTTAGAAATGAAATGAGGTTACTTACGGGTGATATATTTAGAAATCAAATGAGGTTACTTACGGGTGATATATTTAGAGATGAAATGAGGTTATTTACAGGTGATATATTTAGAAATGGAATGAGGTTAGCTACGGGAGATATATTTAGAAATGGAATGAGGTTAGCTACGGGGATATATTTAGAAATGAAATGGGGTGTAACGTGATATATTTAGAAATGAAATGGGGTGTAATGTGATATATTTAGAAATGAAATGGGGTTTAACGTGATATATTTAGCCCAAACCCCTTAGAATATTTGTAATGGTAAATTGAAAATAAAATCTTTTATATATCAGGGGTGGATGGATAATATAGTTGTCTCAGTTATTGCGTATAGTCTAAAGTTAAGTCGAGTCGCATCACATCGATAAAGTTATTTGTTTTACCAATAGCGCTAATTGCTATTTTAAGATCCGGTACAAATTTTAACTTGCCAGACAGGGACTTTGTTCATGAAAACTGAAGCTAAAATACGTTTTGAATATATAATATTTTACATGGACGAGTATCCAAAACAACGAAACACAATCTTCCGAAATTAAACAAAATATACCGAAACATAATAGAATAACAAAGAAAATGAAAGGAAATCTGCTAAGAAGAAACCCGAGGAGAAAGGTAGTAGCACCCGTACGTCCACCAGTGCTTGTATTCACTTACTCTCGAACCCGAACATGATCTTCCGAAAAGAAACAAAATATACCAATACATAATGAAATAACAAAATATTGAAAAAAAATCAGCTAAAAGGAAACCAAAGAAGAAAATTCGTCCACCAGTGCTGGTATTCACTTACTCTGCAATCCGAACATGATTAGAGGTACAAAATATTTCTACATGTATTTATAAACACAATATAGTTTATTAGTTCACAAAACATACCTATCACCATCACCAACATTACTTCTATGTCATAAATAATTTTATGTCTATGTCATGTTTTGGACCTGCGGATTGGTCTACGATTATTAACAATATGAACATATGTCTTCTAACTGTCGTGAAAAAAAATAATAATTCTATTTTTATGTCATCTTATTATAGTTTAATAAAACAAGTATATATACTGATGAAAAATGAAACCCACCTTCATGATTTTAATATTGAACATACGGACATCCTTCCTTTAGTAATCTTAGTTACAAAACAAATTTATCTGATGGAAGAACATTGGTTTTATTCCACCATAAATTTATTAATGAGATTATATAAATATTCATAACCACCGATAGTGGAACGAATAATGATCCACAAGATGACCGTCACATTTACAAATCAAACTTAGAATCTCTCGGTCATCCAATGGAAATGAAATGAAATGAAATGGGGTTTAACGCCCTACTGTTCTACCCCGACTGGGATGGAGGCCGAATGGTTAGCACGTGTGTCATTGAGGTGTAGGGTGGCCCGTCCAACCTCATGGGTTTTCTTCCGGGTCCCCCGGTTTCCTCCCACTGCTAAAGACCACTACGCGCAAGCGAATTATTGAAATTAAGTTGAACCATATGTTAGTCCCGAAATGACCTAGTTTGTGACGAGTGAACGTTTACCCCCCCCCCCCCCCTCTCTCTCTCTCTCTATAGCATACTCTTATATCGAATTCCAACTGCGAAGGGATCTTTTACGTGTACGCCAATGTATATACGGGATCTCGGTTGTTCGTAATATCCGAACGACTAGATAGCTGTCCTTTTCAGGCCATCAGTCCTACACCACTGGCGGGGCAATTACCATTTTCTGGTATGATGGGTATGTGTTCTATTTGGGAACCTTCTTAAGTCAACTTTATTGCATATAATTGGACTAATGTGTGCATCAGATGGTTGGACATCAGTATTCCACTTCCAGAAATTGATAGTGACAGAACTGTCAGTGAGTTGGTCTGGGAAAGTCGGAGAATAATGTAAGATATCTACTTAGCCCAGTTCTCGCTGTCACCCATTTTAAACATACATTATGCAAGAGCTAAATCTGCTTATTACAAGTCTTTCTTTAGGCCTGAAATGTTATCTAAATTATCAATTAGACATTAATTAACTTATCCAGACCATAATAAACTCTCGATGTCAAGGCTAGCCTTCGATGTTGGCTGTATTAGATTCCTATATGCCGCTAACGGCCGTTGATAATTAAATCAATAAAAGTGGATAATCGAGACTAAGCTGTTTATAATAATGATTTCAGTAATGATGACCGAGACTATGCCAAAATTTCACCCGCTTCTGTCTCGGCTCATAGTGGATCAATTTGACTGAAATTTTCAGTAAATTACCTTTACACTATCTAGTTTTTAACTATTATAGCGAGAACTGCCATCTCGTTATCTTGAAATGAAATGGAGTTTAACGTCCTACTGTTCTGCTCCTAACCTGGGCTAATGAAGACGGGATCTCGTTATCTTATCTCCCATAATGTATCTTTAATATCTCAAACAGGGCACCATTCATAGAATATATAGTATTGCATATTATATAGTATTACAATTGGTCCTACCAGTCATTGGGTTATCGTTTGTCGTGGTTCAAATAGTAAAAATCAATAAATTGCCATCATTCGCCATTCGCGGGGTTTCATTGTGAATTACAGTATTGTGGGAAAACACGTCATTTTTTTAAAACTGACCTCTAGAAGAGAAACCAATCATTGGGTTATCGTTTGTGGTGGTCCAAATAGTAATAATCAAAATAATGCGTTTGACATTAAAACTAAATGTTGGGCCAGAATATATCTATATGTCACACACTCACATTGCGTTGTTGCGTTGTGTTTTACAGTAAAGGTACTTATTAATAATTTAGCTCATCACTATGAAATTTATTCACACAAATCATGCTTTACAATAGATATTTATATCGTCGGTATGATGGTAGAACTCTACCATTTTCAAAAATTTACATTCGAATTAAAGTCTGATTAAAATACAGATCTATATTTCGTTTCGTTTTTTTTTTTATACTTTCGATAGCCTACACTACATGAAGATCTGACAACTTGTATTGGTAGTTCGTGTCATGAGCCGTGCGAGCGGCTTTTGACCCTATGGCGTCAGACATTGATTAATCAATCAGCGTTGACGTTTCTAGTGGTTTACCCGCAGTTCCGAACATGATACGCCAAGACGGCGGTAATATAACAACTCTTCCAGATCCTAGTGTAGTAAAGACAAGTAAAACGAAATTTTGAACTACAAAAAAACGAAACGAAAAAGGATCTGTGTTATATAACAACTCTTCCAGATCCTAGTGTAGTAAAGCACTGAAAAAAAACTTGTATTTTCAACACAAGTTAGGTGTCTCTATTTAACAACACAATCTTGTGTTAAATGTTGAAACAACACAAAACTTGTGTTATTTTCAACACAAGTT